GGGTTGTGGCTCGATCCCAAGTGGGGAGTGTGTGTGTGTGTGTGTGTGTGTGTGTGTGTGTGTGTATATATATATATATATAAAACTAAAAATAAATAAGTAAATAAAACAATTCAGGGGACAGAGAGTGGGTGCTGCAAAGACGATCACCTATCCTGAAATCGAGGGGAAGATCACTCACTCACAAATCTGGGGAGAAATCAGCATCTTGCAGACGATGTCTTTGTGGGGAGAGGGGGAGGTGTATGTTGCCTGCCCACCGGGGGAGAACGGGGTGAGGGGCGGGCGGGCTCACGTTGTTGTTGTAGTCCGTGCTGGCAGCGGCACCCAGAACCTCATAGTAGCGCTGCAGGAAGGGATGAAGGCGGCTCTCAAGTCGCTGGAGCTCCTGGAGCACCTCGATGTACTCCGCAGGGGAAGGATGGCTGTGGGCAACCCCAAGAGGCAGTGAGCCAAGGCTTCCCTCAGTTTCCCATCTCGCAGTTGACAGGGACCAGATCTGTTGTCTCCCTGGCCGCCCAGAACCCTGCCCTGGCCCAATCCCTTCCTGGACTAGCAGAGCCTGTTCTTTATCCCCACCCATGGGAAGATGGGGAGAGGAAGATAAACTGCTCAGGCTGCACCTACAAGGGCAAGATGCTGACTCTGTTAAGAGATGGGGCCTCTGAACTCAGGGGAGAATCTTGTCAGGAAGCAGCATGTGGTTTTCCTTGTCCCGGGGAGAACAGTGCAGCTCAGTTGCCCAGTCCTAACTTCCTTTACCTACTCCAGAGCCCCTCCTTGACTACAACCACCTCCACATAAGACCTCCAAGAAATCCCTCCTTCCCAATTACACCTGTGTTCCTCATCCTCCACGCAGGATCCCAAACACCTCCCAAAGAGCCCCATCTCTCACTTGGGTGCATTTGTCTCTGGGACAGGTGTTGGGCCCGCTGGGGCTGGGCCAGGAGTCAGCTCCGGGCTCTGGGCTGGGGCACGATCCTCCACTTCTGCCTCCATGGGCTCCCGAGAAGGTGCTTCGCTTTCACCCGGATCTGATGGCTGAGAGCTCAAGGCTCCTGGTTCCTGGGCCACAGTCTGTGTCTGTGCAGGCGGCTGACTGGGCTGTGCTTGGGGGCCCCCTCGACACTAAAGTGGGGGAGAATTAGGGTGAGCCTGCTGCAGAGGACGGCTAGGTCTAAGGAGCATGAGTGGACAAAGTGCTCTGGAGGCAAGGCTTTGCATCTGGATGTCAGACTCCCTAGCAACCACTATAAGACTGACAAGTCGCCGAAACTGGTTTGACTCAATGGATAGAGCGTTGGCTTGGGGACTGAAAGGTCCCGGGTTCGATTCCGGTCAAGGGCATGTACCTTGGTTGCGGGCATATCCCCAGTGGGCAGTGTGCAGGAGGCAGCTGATCGATGACTCTCTCATCGATGTTTCTAACTCTCTCTCTCTCTCCCTTCCTCTCTGTACAAAATCAGTAATATATATATATATATATTTTTTTTTTAAAGACTAACAAGTCAAAGGCTTAATAAATACCTGAAATTCTTGCAAATGAATTACTAACAAAAAGTAGATATTATGGTTTTCTAATCTTCTTCAGAAGAGAAAAAGCCATACATTGCAGACACAGCACAAACTAATGGAATTTGGACATTTCAGTATCAAATATCACAATTAAGAAATTAAAGGCCCTCCCTTGGCTGATGTGGCTCAGTTGGCTGAGCATCAACCCACACACCCTGAGGTCCCCAGTTGATTACTGGGTTGCAGGCTCAATCCCCAGTAGGGGGCATTCAGGAAGCAGCCGACTGATGGTTCTCTCTCACTGATGTTTCTCTCCCTCACCTTTCCCTTCCTGTCACTCTAAAGTCAACAAAAACGTTTTCAAAAAAGGTAATTAAAGGCTCTCGCCAGATAGTTCAGTTAGTTAGAAAAACCTTCCGATATATCAAGGTTGGGGGTTCAATCCCCAGTCAGGGTACATATAAGAAGGTTGGGGGTTCAATCCCCAGTCAGGGTACATATAACAACAAATGTATAAATGAGTGGACCAACAAAATGATGTTTCGCTCTCTCTCCCCTTTCCTCTCTCTAAAATCAATAAATAAAAGTTTAAAAAAGTTATAAAGTATAAAATCCTTTTTTAATTGAAAAAAAAAATGACATGAGAGTTATCTGACAAGTGTAAAACAAACTTCCCAGACACCAGTCACCAAGAGGATTGGCAGGGACAAGAGAGCCTCACAGATAATTTTTTTCGCCCAAAGAATGAAGAATGCAGAGAACAGACCAGATTAGAAAGGAAGCGGCCAAAAACAAAAGAAAGGGGGAAAACAATGAAAGGAACCGGCTAGTCCTGCTTTCACTGCCAGGCTGAGACAAAGGGTAGGGAGGACAGGGAGAGTGACAGGCCGCTTACCTCCATCCGGGACAGCAAGGTCTGTATATCCCTGATCATGTGCTGAGCCATCACCAGTCGTACCCGGGGTTCACTCTATGATGAGGGAGAGTTAGGGCAAGTTTGAGAGAAAGCCATGGGCTCCAGAGCCTACTGAAACAGGTCCCAGCATCTCCTCAGCCAAGTCCAAATCCCACCTCATGGCCTCCTTCTCCCAGATCCCCTTCCCTGACCCTCCCAGGCCCCTGATACCTGAACTGGGGCCTGCTCCATGTTGATGTGAACATCCACAGCAGAGCCGTCACTCTGGGGAAAGGGTAAGGGAAGTTGCTCTGGGAGAAGCCAAATACTAAGGCCCCCACATTTCCAATTCATTCTCTGGAGACCCATCCTTTTCTCATGTCTGAGGCCATTAGTAGACCACAGGGCCCTCCAAACCCCATCTAAATACTGAGCTCTTGGCTGCTACCACAACCAAAACTATCCTTCACCACAGAAACCGCCCCAGGTGGAACACAAGCTTACAGGAAGATTGAAGGTTCCAACCATGACATAGCTGTTGGCATTCCGGTCATGAACAGCGGCCCCAGGCCCCCGAGTACCAAGTGGGGGTCCCCCACCATGGGTGGCTGAGGCAGACCCTGTCCCAGAAGATGCCCCAGAAGGGAGTTGAGTCTGAGGGGGTGCGCGTTCTACCAGGTGGATAACCTTGCCCCCAACATCTGCAAAAAATAAATAAATTAATTAAATAAAAATCTATTTATCAGGTTTCAGCTCATCCCTGTGCACTGCCTCCGAACTGCTTCCCCAGCCCCTTACTGTATTCCTGGAGCTTCTTATCATCCTGAAGAACTCGTCCCTGATAGATGAGCCGTTGTTTCTCAGAGGGGATGCTGACAGAGGCAGCAATGTGCTCCTTAAATTCCTTTACATTCATCTGCAAGAAGGGACAGAGGTGTCAGGGAATGGAGGAAAAGGAAGGACAGAGGAGGGACAGTTGACTTGGAAGGGTGAGGGGTAAAAACCACCTCATTATAAAATCACTACCTGTTTCTCATAAGGTAATTATGTGCAAAACCCCAAACTAAGACAACTCCCTGTCAAAATACTAACAATAAACTGTATCTTCTAGGCCTAGGAGAAAATTACATGGCTGAGAAACAGAAAAGCCAACTGATAATCTGTTACTCCTCTGCCTGGCCCACAAAAGAATGTGTGTCTAAAGATATGACTCCCCAAACACAAAATGATACAACTTTATCTCAAAGATAAAAGCGACGACAAAGAAGATGGGGTGGACAATCAGGTTAAGGAAAGAAGACTCAACCAAGAAGAACGAGAGAAGAGAGCAAAAAGAAAACTATTTTTCCTAACCAGACAACTTACTCTTGGAAAGATTAGGTTTACACACATCTAATCACAAAAGCCTATATAGTTTTCTGAAATACTTGTAATGTCATGTTTTAAAAACCATAGGTCAGCCGAAATCGGTTTGGCTCAGTGGTAGAGCGTCGGTCTGCGGACTGAAAGGTCCCAGATTCGATTCCGGTCAGGGGCATGTACGTTGGTTGCGGGCACATCTCCGGTAGGGGGTGTGCAGGAGGCAACTGGTCGATGTTTCTCTCTCATCGATGTTTCTAGCTCTCTATCTCTCTCCCTTCCTCTCTGTAAAAAATCAATAAAATATATTTAAAAAAAAAAACAAAAAAAACAACCATGGGTCAACCCCTCACAATTTTGTCTCCCAGTATTACAGGAGCAATGACACTGATAGTTGTGCTAATGCTGTTAAACTCAAATGATTAAAATTATACTACACATGTTAGTATCTCCACTCAACACTCTATTAGGCTTCTACCTGCATTATGGGCTCTGATTTATCACCTTTAAAAGCACAGTATAATCCTAACCAATTTTTTTGTTTTTAAGACACACTTGCATTTGGGGTCTGTGTGTTCTATTTTCCTTCCCAAAGGCAGGAGCCATGTCTATCCCTTTGAGCGGCAGTTCACTCATGATGATGACATACAGATTCCTCCTTCCTCCATATTCCCCTCTGCATGGAGTTCTATTGTGGAGGAAGGCAGAACAAAACCTAGCTCATAGAAACCATAACTCCTACCTCAACAAAACACATTAAAAAATGTTGTCTAGAATATGAACAAAGAAATCAATGGAAGAAAAGTTAAGGATCAGAAAATCAGGTTGTTCTCTCAGGTTAAAGGGCCTAGGGAGGAAAAGTTAATGGACATCTTCCAGAAGTACTGGGGTCTCACCTGGGCCCCCACAATAAAGGTCCGGGTCTGAGAGTCCAGGGTCTTCACCAGCACCTCCAGGTTGTCAGGCTCCTCCATGGTGGTACTGGTGCTATTGTTGGGCTCCATGGCCTACAGCTCTCTAAGAAAAAAAACAGAGAGGCCCGCTGCCGCCTAGAGCTGATTTTATATACCCAGAAGGCTCCCCGGCCCGAGTCTCCGCCCCAATGCCTAAAGAGTTTCTCCCACACTAGCGCGCGCGCGCACGCACACACACACACACACACACACACACACACACACACACACACACACACCCCATCCCCCTTCTGATTCCGGGGCACAGGGAGAGAAATGCAAAGGGTAGGAGACAACGGCAAAGGAAGCTGGAGGATGGGAGGACGGGAGGTGGGAGGGGCCCCACGATGCCAATCCCAAGAGTGGGCCTCACGGGCTAGGGAGCAGGAAAGAAAGAAAGCAGGAATTCCAGTGTCATCACCGGTTGCGATGGGCCCCAGATACGCTGGGACAACGCGAGAAGACGGGGTGGGGGTCGCATTACACTGCGAAGAAAGTGGTTTCGCGCACGCGCACCACGCCCACTGAGCCCACCTAACTCACGAGACCCAAAATGAGGGGACACTCACGGGGGGCCAGACCGGTTAGCTGACTGCCCCCCTCTTCAGCCTTCTTTCGGAGTTCCAGCAGAGCGTCGCAACCAACACACATCAAATACACATACCACCCCGCGGGTCCACCCCCGACTTCCCCACGGTGCCGTCACTTCCGGTCACCTCCAACCTGCCACCGACGGCCACTTCCGTTTCCCCGATAATATTTGGAGATCGCGAGGCGGAACTTCCGGCTCCCCTCAAGTCCCCAAGCTTCACTTTCGTGGGGCACGACAAGGAAGTCCACGGCCCCAAACAGTGAGTTCCTGAGGGCGAGACGGGCCGGGGCCCGGCCTAGATGGGAGGGAGCCGAGCAACCCGAGGAGCCGCCGCCGCCGCCGCCGCCGCCGCCGTCGCCCAGGGGACCGTACTGCGTCTGCGTGCGTCGCATTACGCATGCGTACACATAGGCACCGCCCCACCCTCGCTGGCGCCGTTCCTTGCTTCCGTGCGCGCGCAAGAGCTTTCGGAGATTGAGGTGGCCACTGTAAGTGCCTGAAAAGAATTACCAGAGGAGACTATAGGACCGCCTCGAGAAGCTTTGGACTGTTATATAGGTCTTGAAGTTTGGGGACTAAAGATTGTGCCTCGTTCATCTGTGTTAAGGTCTTGGGCGGCAGAGACTTTGAGGCGGCACTGTCCTGGCCACCTAAAATCCCACCTGCGCCGCGGCGCTCCTGCGGCGGCCCGGGAGGCTCCGAGCCGGGCGGTTGGGCTGGCTCGCGAACCGTCTTCCGTGCGGTCGTGTCGTTGGGCCTAATTTCGGTTCTGTCCAGTGGACGGTTTACGGAGCCGGGAGCCATGTTTCTCTTCGGCGGTGCGCGGCCGAGGGAACTCGCTGTTTCTCAGAAGCTAAAGGTTTACTACCTCTCAGGACTTTTGTCCCCCAACAATGGGCCTCCGAGGTTGGGAGTTGAGAGCAAACGAAGTCCGACCGGACCGAAAGGCGAGATTCCGGCCGTGGGGGGTTGAAGGGGCCGCCACAGGTTCCTGCAGGCCGAAGTCCGGGGGGTACTGCCCCGCCGCCTTCGCCCCCGCCCTCTGCCGGCCCGGCCCAGCCCTCTGGGGTTCTCGGTTTGTACCCAGGTCCGATTACTGTTCCAGTTCTGGGTTCTGCGTACTGTCCCATTTATAAGTCATTCAGCAGGAGATGGCTGTTACATCCCCTTTATAAAGTGAGTACAACTAGGGAACTGACAGATCCAGGCCTACCAGACTCCTCTGGGTCAAGCACTTCTTTACTGCCCCAGTACATTTTTTAGTTGTTTTTTAAATAAAAAATGTCAAACATGCCGAAACCGGTTTGGTTCAGTGGATAGAGCGTTGGTCTGCGGACTGAAAGGTCCCAGGTTCGATTCCGGTCTAAGGGCATGCACCTTGGTTGTGGGCACATCCCCAGTGGGGGGGGGGGGGGGGTGCAGTGTGTAGGAGGCAGCTGTTCGATGTTTCTCTCTCATCAATGTTTCTAACTCTATCCCTCTCTTCCTCTGTGTAAAAAATCAATAAAATACATATATATATATATATATATATATATATATATATATATATATATATATATAAAAGTCAAACATTACCCCAAAAGAAAATAGTATGCTGAACCCTCCAAATACCTTAAATCTTAAGCCTCACCTCTCAGGACAAACCTCTTCCCCCCGCCCCCCCAGTCTGTAAATTATAATTAAGAAGGTCCCACATTTCATTGCATTAACTGCTCCACCCTTTTGGTACTACTGTGTTTCCCCGAAAGTAAGACATCCTCCGAAAATAAGACCTACTTACAGGTTTCCTTCTGAGTGAAATATAAGGCATTCTCCCGAAAATAAGGCCCCCCCTAGGCTTAACATGAGAGATTTGGTCCACTGATTCTGAAAGAAATGGAGTCACAAGAAATTCACCAGGAAATTCAGGAATTGGATTGTTATGTTGATGTTCCAGAAGATGATGACATGATTGTCATTGAATAAATGAGTAAATTCTTGATACTGTAGAATTAACAGTTTGTGTGGTTTGTGTTGACAACTACCGTACTACCGTACCGAATACAGGTAATAAATTTCCTTTATTTTCATTTAACAATAAATGTGTACCGTATTCTTCTTCATGGAAAAATAAGACATCCCCTGAAAATAAGACCTAGCGCATCTTTGGGAGCAAAAATTAATATAAGACACTGTCTTATTTTCGGGGAAACGGTATTGTTTGGGAATGTATCACCCACCAGAAACTAATAATCACTTTACAAGCATTACTTCAACGAATATTTACTTTGGACTTGCCAGGTATAGGCCTTTGCAAAGGGCTTTATATGCATTATCTCTTAATCCAATGAGATTGATGATTTGCTCATTTTAAAGATGAAAAAACAGGCATAGAAATTGTCTAATCAGAGTTAGGACTTGAACCCACTCTGCCCAACACTTGTGTCCATCTGTCCCCCTTAACCACTAGATCATGTAGTCTCTTATGGTAATAAACATTGGATGAACTGTGTCCATGAGCTTTTCTGAATGGTGTGTATATTATTTCCCTAATTATAAACCAGAGAAAAAGCCACCCATCAGCCATGGGCCTGAACCTGGTTCATACCTATCCTAAAGCACTTATCAGGTATTACAATGATTTGTTTACACAGCTAGTTTTCCTTAGACTGACTGCTTCAAGGCCAGGGACTATGCCTTATTCATTCTTGTCCCCAAAGCTTAGCCAATTCCTGGCAAACAGCTGGGACTTAAAAAAAAAGCTTCCTAAGTGAATGAATAAACCCACCTCTCCAATGCTGCACAACAGCATAAAGAGCGCTGTCTACCTGCAGGACTCAGCTCTTCTGATAATCCCCCAGACCCTGGACGTGCCACGGTGTGTGGAGTGGCTGCATCTAGAAGAGGGGGAGGAAGGGCCAAACCCTAATCCATGTTTGGAAAACAAGGTTGAAGTTACTCATTAGCAGGTAAAGGGTCAAGGGTCAAGGCGAGGGGGCTGGAAGCAGAGTGGACTGAGCAGCCAGTGGGGGAGAGAATAGTTAAGGCACCAGCCACCCCACAAAGAACATACCAGCTCCCTGTTGCCTGAAGATGTTCCACCAAATTTGGGCAGCTCTGCTTTACCTCTATGGCATTCTCCTTAATTCCATCTACCAGTGCCCTGAGCCCAGTCAACTGACAACTCAGGAAGTGGATGGGAAAGAGGTATGGACTGAGAGGGGAAGCTTACAGTGGGGACTCAGAGGCACTTGAGTGGGTGGCCTAGAGTGATCTCCTAGTGGAGGAGGGTGTGAATTTTGTGATGATAAAAGCAAGGACAGATAAAAATGTATTACTACTTTGGCCATCAATGTGGAGACATGATAGAATCTGGGGGTTGGAGGGATACTTGGGTTATTGAGGGCAGGCAAAGAGGGAAAGTCATTTAATGACTCCGTCATGGATCCAAGCCCAGTTGGAAAGAGGCAGCCGATACCCCTATACGAAATCTTGCTGTCCTGACAGGTTGGATGGACCCTACAGTGGGACACACCCTCTTTTGCTCCCCTTGTTGTCTCTCCAGTTCCCAGAGCCCCACCTGGGCCAGTGGCATTTCATCGCAGGGGCAGCTCCCACCAAGGAGGAGTTGGCAACTTTTGACCCTGTGGACAACATCGTCTTCAACATGGCTGCGGGCTCTGCCCCCACGCAGCTCCAGCTTCGCGCTACCATTCGCACGTAAGTGGTGAGGAGGCAGAGGCACCAGTAGGTACAGTCTCTGCCCAAAGGGTGCGTACCTACCCACAAAGAATGGGGTCCATTGGCATACCCGCTGTTCTTGGCCCACTGAGTCCGACGGCTCTATTAGTTTTCGTCTGGCGAGAGATGGGCCTAACCATTCCTTGGTACCATGTTTCCCCGAAAATAAGACATCCTCCGAAAATAAGACCTAGCGCATGGAAAAATAAGACATCCCCTGAAAATAAGACCTAGCGCAACTTTGGGAGAAAAAATTAATATAAGACAGTCTTATTTTTGGGGAAACAGGGTAGCTTGAAAGCCAAGGTGACCCAGGCCTCAAGAAGGAATAAAAGGGGCTAAGTAAGGTTGATACTGTGTGGTTGGGTGTCATTCAATCTTTCTTCCTTGCTGCCACCACCTCTGCAGGAAGACTGGGTCCTGTGTGCCCCGGGAATGGATCTACCACCTGACTGAAGGGAGCACAGACCTCAGCACTGAAGGTTGGCTCTCTCCAGCCCACCCTCTCCAGGCCCCTGGCTTGCTTGTTTTGCATCTCTGTCCTCACACTTCCCCCAACCCATCCTGACAGGCCGCCCCGACATGAAGACCCAGCTCTTTGCCAGCTCATGCCCAGGTGGAATCATGCTAAAGGAGACGGGCCAGGGCTACCAGCGCTTCCTGCTCTACAGTGAGTGAGGTGGCAGGCAGGATGGGTTGGAAGGAGACCAGGAGGGCAGGAGAAGCCCTCCCTCTGGGCCCTGGGATACCATCCCAGGAAGGGCTGGGTGCTTCCAGGCCCTCACCAGGGGTGTTGCCAAGTAGAGGCGCTGATGGGCCTGGCCATGCTGTGCCCTCAGATCGCTCACCATACCCTCCTGAGAAGTGTGTGGAGGAATTCCAGGCCCTGGCCTCCTGCCTGGACTCCAAGGCCTTCTTACTGACTCCCAGGAAACGAGGTAAGGGGACAAAGTCCCACAGAAGAGAACTAGGACTCACCAAGTCTGCTACAGGCTCTGGGTGAAAGGGACTCAAGTGATGTCACCAGAGGGCAGACCAAGGGCCATCAGAGCGGCTGTGTCACAGCCTCCATTGTGCTCTGGCTGTGATGGCACCAGAGGAAGCAGAATAGGCTGTGGCTACTCAAGAGAAGTTTCGGAGCTTGCAGCAAATCAGGGGGCAGTCAGGCACAGGGAAATGGCCGCAGAGGCCCCTTCTTTGACAGGGGAGGAATGAGGGAATGCATTCTCCTCACCCATTACCAGCAAGCTTGCGTCTCTTCCTGGATTTCCTTCCTTTCCATCCTCTTCTTTTCTCCCTCCTCCCACCAGAGGCCTGCACGCAGTCCGGTGACTGACCTGTGGCTTCCTGTGGCCCCAGCTGTATGTGGTGGGACTAAGACTGTGGTGGAGAGGAGCCAGAGATGCCCTTCCAAGAGTAATAAAGACCGTTTTTCAGTCCTCATCACGTTGGGGTTTGTCTCCAGACATCAATCCCTCTCCCATTTCAAAACTCCCCTGAACTTCCTACCTCCTAAATCCCTAGCTGGGCGGCATCAGGAAGGACCCCGAGTGGCAGTTAACTCACGTGAGTGGTATGCTTAGGACTCGGTGCTTAGGACAGTGATTTATTGCTGAATGAGCAACCCCTAATCCCTGCTTGGGGCTGCAAGCTCCACTGCTTCCCCACACGGCCTGTCTGGGCCGCCTACCCCTGACCCACCCCTGACCCAGTACCACCCAAACCATCCCGACTCCTTCTGACTCCCAGAAACACCCACTTCGCAGGCTCCCTCTTGTCTGTGCGCCCCATCCAGCCCCCAAATCCGCCCAGCTAGCAGCCCCATTCTGCCCTAGATGTGCCAAGACCCAAGGGCCCCTTGGGTCGCCCAACCACCCTCTTAGCCCAGGCGGAGTTCTGCCAGTCCCTGGAGAGTCTTGAAAGGTAGAGAGGGCCACTTAGTCTTTATTCTCCACCACAACATTAAAAAAAATATTTTTTGGCTTTTAAAATGTGAAGATGGAAAAGCAAACTTGAAGGTAGGAGAAATATAAAATCAAAAAGTTAACAACAGCTGGTGAATTCAAAGGCTACGCCCCCACTGTCCATAATCCCAGACACCCTGAACAGCTATTCTCTCCCGTGGGCGGGCGGGTACCCTCATACTCTGGGGTTTCTTCCCCATCCCTGAGGTCCCTGTGCTTACAATCTGGGCCCCTACTCTCCTAAAGGCCACACCATCTTCACCCCTGCTCCCACCCCCCTGGGGCGGGGGAGGGGCCTGGTCACACCCACTCTGAGGTCATAGCCCCTTTCCTGGGTCTGCCCTCTGGTCCTCACCCTCCCTCCCCAACTTATCCTCCCAGTCAGTGGCCTCCTCACCCCCGCGTGGCTCCCGGAGGCTGACAGCCAGCACCAGAGCCTGGAGGAGACCGAAGAGGCAGGCGAAGTGCAGGGGGTGGGCAGTGAGGAGGCTCAGCACGGCATGGAGCCCGTGCAGGGCGGCCAGGAAGCACAGCAGCCCGTGCAGCCAGAGGCCCAGAGGCCCGCTCAGGCCCAGCATGTCCAGGGCGGCCCGCAGTGGCCGGGAGCACAGCCCCAGCAGGGCAGAGGCCAGCAGCTCCAGCAAGTGCAGGGTCAGGTTGGTGGAGATCTGCAGACACTCCTCGGGGCCCCCCAGGTACTGCGAGGGAGCCCCTGCTCCCCCACCTTGTGCCCCCCCACCTTGTGCCCCCCGCAGCCAGCCCAGCAGCTTCTGACGCCGGCCGGGGCCGGGCTTCTCCACAGGCGCGTCAGGAGACACTTCAGACCTCCTGGTGCCACCTGAGTCCTCGGGATCCCACCCCAGTTTGGGAATGGCCTCTGCTGCCTCCAGTCTCCCTGACTCTTGAATGCCAGCACCAGTCTTGTCCCCCTTGAGGGAATCCATTCTTTTGCTTCCCAGTTGCTCAACTTGGGGCTCCCTGCTTGGTTGTGGAGCAGCCCCAGAACTAGTCCGGGCCCCCGAGTCCTTCCTCTGGGAGGGCCCCACATCGCCCATGGTTTCGGGGGCACTGTCCCAGTCGCTCCCTGAGTTTTCAGGGGAGCTATCCACCCGGCTGGGTTCTGGGGAGGGCGGGTCAGGCCTGGGTTTCCTGCGGCTCCAAGGGCGAGGGAGCCAGCCTCCAAGCCGCCGCAGGAACATGGTTGGAATGTGTAATGAACCCCCAAATCCTGAGGTCGCTTCCTGGCACCGTTGGGGCTCAGCAGCACAGCGATGGGCTTGGTGAGTGCTCTGAATTCAGAAGTTCATCCAAAGGCGTTCCCCGCCCCACACACGATTCCAAGTCTCAGGATCCGACCAGGTCTCAGGCGCCCGAGTGTCCTCCCTGTTTCCGGGTTTTCTTCCCAGCAAACAGCACACCAAGTTTCACTCACCGAGGCCGCCCACGGCGCCCCCAAAGCTGGAGAGGCCGTGCTCCATCCAAGAGCGAAGGAAGGTGCTCCGGTGCAGGGGTCCTAAGGGAGCTCAGCAGTAGGACGTCTCCCGAAGGCGGGAGGGGCAGGCGTCCCGCGGACCGCGGCCAGCAGCTTCATCCCTTCAATTCCAGGGCTGGCAGCCCCCTGCGGCCGGCCCGCCAGCTGCGGCGCGGCCTCGGGAAGGTCAGGCCACAGCGTCCTCGGAGCCCGCAGTCGTGAGCCAAAGAGCGGGCCTGTCCGGGACCCAGGCGTCCAGGACGATGGGACGCGGCCTCAGAAGGCGCAGGAGCCCGGCCGGAAGCAGCTGCAAGGACGCGGAGGCCGGGCGGCGCGGCGGGAGGGCGGCGTGCGGAGGGCCCGCCCCGCGACGTTTGTGCGCCGCCCGGACGTCAGCGGCCGCGGGCCGGTGTTAGCGGTCCGTTTCCGCCGCCCAGAGGCCGGCGCCAGTGCTGCCATTCCAGCCCCTGCCTCGGGTTCTTCCCCCACGCTCCACAACGCGTTCCTTGTCCATGACTTCCGGAGAGGCTTTTCCGGCAAAGAAAGCTGAGGAGTCCTGTTCCCTGCTCCAGGTTTCATTCCGGGGCTGCACTGTGAGCTCTCCATTTGCCTGGCACCTGGCATAAGCAGCACGAGGGAAAGGGGAGTATGGGGAGGACAATGTAGAGGAATGGGCGGTTTCCGCCGGCAGGGATTTTCAGGTAGTGAAAAGTTTAGATTTGAGAGGCCAGGGCACTGGTGCCAGTCAGCTAACAGAGTGCAGGCTGCACTGTGGTAGGGCTTCCCACCACACTGGCCTCTTCCTACAAGCCCATCCCCACTCTCACCACCTATTCAGGATCCTATCTTAAGTAGGCAGGTGCTCTAGAAAAGGGCTAGGGCTGGCAGGGAGGTGACCCTATCATGCCAACTGCAGGGGCTGCCCGCTTGCATGTGGTCCCCAGACTCTTTGGCTTCCCTGTAACAGCTTCCAGAAAAGTAAGTAAAACACACCAGTGGTTGACCATCCCCCTATGCACCAGATCACTGGTTTGATTCCCAGTTAGGGCACATGCTCTGATTACAGGCTCGATCCTCGGTAGGGGGCATCAGGAGGCAGCTGATCAATGTTTCTCTCTCCCTCTACTTTCCTCTCTTTGAAATCAATCAATACATTTTTTATTTTTTTAATGTATTTTATTGATTTTTTACAGAGAAGGAGAGAATTAGAAACATCGATGAAAGAGTCATCAGCTGCCTCTTGCACACCCCCTACTGGGGATGTGCCCGCAACCAAGGTACATGCCCTTGACCGGAATCGAACCCGGGGCCCTTCAGTCCACAGACTGACGCTCTATCCACTGAGCTAAACCAGTTTCGGCAATCAATACATTAAAAAAAAAAAAAAAAAATATATATATATATATATATATATATATACTTTTTTTTTTTTACAGAGAGGAAGGGAGAGGAATAGAGTTAGAAACATTGATGAAAGAGAAACATTAATCAGCTGCCTTCTGCACACTCTCCATTGGGGATGTGCTCGCAACCAAGGTACATGCTCTTGACCAGAGTCAAACCTGGGACCTTTTAATTCACAGGTCAACACTCTATCCACTGAGCCAAACCAGTTAGGGCTCAATACATATTTTAAAAATAAAACACAAAACAAGCAAGATGACTGATTTATTTCTCAACTCTCAGCCCCACTATTAAAGGTAAAAAATCTGAGTGTCTGGGACTTGAGCAGACACCAGGAAGTGTAACTCAAAGTGCCCAGGTCAGATGCACAAGTTCAAATTTCAACTGAAGTCCAATGTCGGACTTTGCCAAGGTCAGAACTCAAGGTTCATGTATATCCTCAGATCCCGCTCCCAGGCTTTGTCCTTGTCCTTCCGCCTTCTCTCCTCCCTTCGGCTCAGGGTGGTTGCCTGAGGGGCTCTCTCCCTCCCAGCCACTGCCCGAGTATCCTGAGCCAGGAAGTGTGTGACTCTGGGTTGGGATGGTGATCTGTACCCTAACCCTTCCTGATCTCTCTTGAGGACAGTGGGGATGGGGTTGACACGGCCCTTGCCCCAAGGTCCCAGACCCATTCCAGGCTCCCATCCTGCCCTCAGCAGCAGCTTGAAGCCTGGGCTAGAGGTAGGCATCCCAAAGTTCAGACTGGGGTTCTGGAGACCGCGGGACAGTGACAGCAGGTGAGCGGTAGATGTGCAGTGGTTAGAGTCTTGGAAGTAGGCATCACAGGTCTCACAGTACTGGGTGGACGGGGATTGGGACCTGCAGAGGAAGAAGAGAAAGGACTGAGGGCAGAGAAAGGTTAGGGGGTGGGGGGCATGACAAGGTCCTTCCAGTCTTTCTCAGGAACAAACTGCATTCCTCCCCACTTAACAATGCAAGACCAGAGGGGGAAGTTGGGAAAAGAGATGGTAACCAGACCTCACAAGGAAGGAAGCAATAGCTATAGCTAATATTGATACAGTGCATACTATGTGGAAAGCTCTAACACTTGACATATACTAACCCATTTAATCCTAACAAACCTATGAGAAAGGTGCTCATATTACCACCATTTCTCAGATAAGGAAACTGAGGTACCTAGACATTAGGTTGCTTGCCCAAGTTAACAGAGTTAGCATTTAAACCCAGAGCTCAGCCAGGACCGGTTTGGCTCAATGGATAGAGCGTCGGCTTGGGGACTGCAGGGTCCCGGGTTCGATTCCGGTCAAGGGCATGTACCTTGGTTGTGGGCATATCCCCAGTGGGGGATGTGCAAGAGGCAGCTGATCGATGACTCTCTCTCATTGATGTTTCTAACTCTCTATCTCTCTCCCTTCCTCTCTGTACAAAATCAATAAAATATATATTAAAAAATAAATAAATAAAAAATAAAATAAACCCAGAGCTCAGTTAAAATATGTACACAAATAATAATTTAATTAAAAAAATATGTACACACAAAGATACTATAAAATATATTAACTTGCTGGAAAAAAATAAAATTAAATAAATAAATAAATAAACCCAGAGCTCAGCCGAAACGGGTTTGGCTCAGTGGTAGAGCGTTAGTCTGAGGATTGAAAGGTCCCAGGTTCGATTCCGGTCAAGGGCATGTAACTTGGTTGTGGGCACATCCCCGATGAGGGGTGTGCAAGAGGCAACTGATCGATGTTTCTCTCTCATTGATATTTCTAGCTCTCTATCCCTCTCCCTTCCTCCCTGTAAAAAAATCAATAAAATATATTAAAAAACAAACAAACAAACAAAAGCCCCAGAGCTCATGCTCGTAACCCTCTGGTACACTGCCTTATCTATCTATAATACACTGGAGATGGGGAGGAGAACCCTTCAACTCCTTGCTGGTATGAGTGGCTAGGAAGGCAGAACACACTGAAAATGGGCATAGGTATGAGCATGGGCATGGGCAAAGACTTCCCCTTACCTGCTCCCTGGTCTCCTCGTCTCTCCATGACTCTCTCTGACCATGCGGGCCACCTCAGGGAAGCCTGCTTCTTCAGCCAGCTGAGCAGCATCCCTGCCACCCAGCTCGCAAACTCCAACCCAGGCAGCTCCCCGGTCCAGGAGATAGCGCACAGCAGCCCCCTGGCCTGCTCGGGCAGCACACATCAGGGGGGTCCACCAGAAGGCATCCCGAGCATTGATATTCCCCCCAGCGCCCCCTGCCTCCTGGGGATCCAACAGCCGCCTTAGTGATGCCAGGTCCCCCTCCTGGGCTGCCCTCAGTATCTGATGAGTCATCTTGTCCTCAGCCTCAAGGGATCTCCTCTGACCAGGTCCTCCTGAGGCTTCTGCTGCAGTCTCTCTCACCAGTCTTCTCTTCTTCCTCTTCCTCTCCCTGACAGGCTCAGGGTGTGGTCTCTGAGGTTCAGGGGTGCTGCTCTCATCTCCAATCAAGGCCTCATAGAAAGCCCGGGCCGCAGCCCCATCCAAGGCAGGCTCCAGCTCTTCAGCCTGTGACTGCTGCTGCCCATCTTTCCAGAAGTCACTGGGGTCAGTGGCTGGGGTGAAGGTGATGAGGGAGGGTCTGGACATGGCTTGGGAGAGCTTCAAAAATATGACTAAGCAAGGGGAAGATGAGACCAGCAAGCCAGTCCAGAGACCTGCTGGAATGAAGGAAAGTAGCTTTAGAGTAAAAAAACCTCTCCCGCCCCAAAAGTGAAGCCACAACCTAAATCCCTCCTGGGCCTAAGGCATAGACCACGTGGGAGACAGGGAACCCTGTAGTAACAGACCATGCCCGAGTGAAGATGAACAAAGACTCCAGGAGGCAGTTGCTCAGAGGTCCTGCTTTCCATCCCCATTCCCAGCTTCATCAGCAATAAGTAGCAACAGCCTCTCTGAAACTACTTCATCACTCTGTAGGACAGACGGTTAAGAAAAGCATCAGCCTGACTCTTAAGCCTTCCTCCGTCCTATTTTGAGTGTCTATTGCGAGTGTAATCTTCTCAAAAAACACCTGACACTTCTCCCAAAAGGAAGTAAATTTGGGGAGAGGCTGCAAAATGGCGTTACTCCAAGCAAAGGAGGTCAAGTAGCCAGACTATTTGAAGACACAAGCGTGGCTGGGGGAAAAAACCCACAAAGATTATTAGAGGACGCAGGCATGCAGAAAGCGCCTGGTTGTTTCCCGCCTGGGACCTTCCCAACAGAATTCACGCAAAGCGCCGCGTGCCTAGGCGGCACGAGGACAGGGGAGGATCTGTCAGTTGGGGGTCTTGCTTTTACATAACGCCCCACAATGCCCTTCGCCTTCCTCAACGTGGCCCCTGCTCTGGGTTCATTTTCTGGAGCTGGGAAACCACTCTCTGGGTTAAGAAAGGCCCTGCGAAGGCGGAGAGGAAACCTATGGAATACCCAGGACTGGGAAATAAAATAACGTCACGCTGCCCCTCACCATTACTTCAACCAGGGTTCGGAGGTCGCACTGAGCGCCAGCAGCAGAAGGCCCCATTCCAGACCTAAGAGGGCGTGGAGAAGTGCAAAGGGACGAACAGCAGAATGGCTGGCACCATCTCAGGTTAGCGCACTAGGCCGCCCGGCTCTCTCCCCGCCCAGCTCAGCCCAGCGCATCCTACCCAGGTCCCCCAGCAAAACATGGGCCCCGTCGGGGGTCCCCAGAGCGCGCCTGGCGCAGGCAAAGGGTTGGCTGCGATGAGGTCAGTCCCCGAGGCAGGGCGCGCGGGGCCGGAGGCTCGCTGTGTGAGCGGGCGGCGGGGAGCCACCCCGCCCGCGTCGTCCCCTACCCCACCGCCTCTCGCCCCGGATCCCGGGATCCCACAACTATATTTCCCATACTCCCCGGCCCAGGAGTGATACTGGGCTTCCGCTTCCGGTGGCGCCTCGCTGCGTCCCGCCCCCAGCGTCTTCCTCGGGGCCTCGCGACACCAGGGTCGTGCGCAGGGCACCTTGGAACTCGTAGTTCGCCTTGCCCTGGCTTCGCCAGTTTCTCCCTCTCAGAAACTCTATCTCCCGACATCCACCGCGGCGCCTGACCCTTGGCGCTTGCGCGTTGCCCTCTTTCCCCCGCACTCAAGTTTACACCCCCCACTTCGCCCGCCGCGATCCGGTCCGCGGCCTGCGCTGTAGCCGTCGCCGCCGTCCCTGGGAAGTAGCGACTCCCCTCCCCCACCCCGGTCCCGGCCCCGTCCAGACGGTGAGTCTTATAAGGCCGTCGCCGCGCCGAGTACCCTGTCCCTGGGCGCGGCCCCAGGGGGTCCCCGCGCCTCAATATGCGGGTGGGGAAGGAAGTGAACCCGACGGGGCACCCGGAGAGGAAGGAAAGGGTGGCTTGAGGGGCGGAGGCGGGATGCGAGGAGACCCGCGAAAGGGACCGTAGGGCCACCCCCAGGCCATGGGAAAAGGAGGGGCCCAGCTCTTGCTTGGAAAGGATAAACTTGGAACTTTTGGGAAAAGCGCAGGGACCTGCGGAGACCTGCGGGGGTAGGGAGCCCCGCCGGAGCCGGCCTGCGGGGGCGTCAGGGCTGTGGGTAGGACGGTAGGTCAAGACCTGTCCGTTTCCGGTGGGACCCCAAAGAATCCTAACCTCAGAGAAAAGGGGCTGAGGTGTAAATAAGAGGAAGTGAAGAGAGGTGCTCCAGAATCTGGGATTCTTTAAGAAATGGTGGCCCACATTCCTCCGTGGTCGGAGGGCGGTGGGAGGCGGGAGGTCTCGGAGGCAGGGAGAGCTTGAGGCACACAGACGCTCTTTCTCCAGCTGACGTGAAGATGAGCAGCTCAGAGGAGGTGTCCTGGATCTCCTGGTTCTGTGGGCTCCGTGGCAATGAGTTCTTCTGCGAAGTGAGTTCTCGGCCTTCCTCCTCTGTCCACATACAGCCCGCCCAGATACTCTCCGCACGTTAGGCCTCCCACACCTCTCACCTGCTTCCATAGAAACTTGTCCTGCCCAGGAAGGCCCCCTCAGTGACCCACCAACCTGTGGGGCCCAGCTCCCAGCCCTGCCAGCCTCCAGCCGTGTAATACTGGACAAGTGGATTTGTGTCTTTTTGGTTAGTAAAGAAAGTGAAGACGGTAGTACCTTTCTCCAGCGACAGCTGGTGTGGCTCAGTTGGTTGAGTGTAGTCCCATACACTGAAAGGTCAGCGGTGCCATGGTTGGGGCCCAAGCCCGGGCTGCTGGCCTGATCCCTGGTCAGGGTGTGTGCAGGAGGCCAGCATTCGTGTTTCCTTCTTCCTCCCTTCCTCCATCCCTCCCTCCCACTTCCTCCCTTTTCCCCTCTCTTCCTAAAATCAATAAAAACCTATTTAGGCCCTGGCAAGGTAGGTGGTTAGAACATCATCCTGATATGCCAAGGTTGAGGGTTTGAGCCCCAGTTTGCACATATAAGAAGCAAACAGTGAGTGTATAAGTAGGTGGAACAAGAAATTGGTGTTTTACTCTCCCTTTCTCAAACCAACAAATTTTAAAAAGTTTTAAAAAAATCTAAGTAAATAAATACATGTAGTTTTGGGGCTTTTTAAGCCGAAGCTTTTATGGGAGGGGGTGTATGTGAACTGAGGGTAGAGATAAGTACCTGTGCTGAGTTGGGAGGGGGGTAGAAGCAGTTGTACTGAGGATAAGGCATCAGTGGAGTGACTTGTTCTGGTCAAAGCCAAGAATTCTGTTCTGAGTTCCCTCTTCACCTCCGCGTCCTGACAGGTGGATGAAGACTACATCCAGGACAAGTTCAACCTCACTGGGCTCAACGAGCAGGTGCCTCACTACCGACAAGCTCTAGACATGATCTTGGACCTGGAGCCTGGTGAGGCTGTTTTGTGTGTGATGCTTTTTTTTTTTTTTTTTTTTTTTTTTTTTTATCTTCAAATCCCTATCCATCGGCTTCTTGGTTTTCTCAATTTCCTTTTGGTTTCTGACTCCCTTAACCCCAAATCCCATGCTCCATTTTGATCTCTCCCCTGACTTATGACTAGTTCAGTGACTTACACCACTTGTGCTCATACTCTGACTCTGTAATCAGCTCCATTCCATTGCCAGTTTCCCCAGCGCTCTTCTTTTTGCTTCTTCTCCTGCCTTGCACCTTCCGGGCTAGAGTTCCATCTTCCCCATTGATGTCTTTTCATCATGTCTTGAGGGAGTTGGGAGGAGGAGAAGCAGGCGGGGGCTAGAGAGGCATATGGAAGGGTCAGAGGCCCGGGTTTCTGGGTCAGAGGCCCCCGTGATGGGTGGGGTGAGGCTCAAAGGTGGGTGTTGAGTAGCCAGCAGCTCCTGGAGGTGGGCAGGGCCCTAAGAAAGCTGTAAGGCAAGTGGTTGCCTTCGGCCGGCGCCATGTTTCAGATGAAGAGCTGGAAGACAACCCCAACCAGAGTGACCTGATTGAGCAGGCAGCTGAGATGCTTTATGGATTGATCCACGCCCGCTACATCCTCACCAACCGTGGCATCGCCCAGATGGTGAGGCCTCTCGGCTTCCACTTGAGTCCTCTGAGGAGGAAGGGAAATGGGTTCCTCAGCAAGGTCCGGCTGAGGAGCCTCAGACCCTGGGCCTGGGATTCAGTCCTGACTGGGAATCGTGCTGACGGGGGTGTTTCCGGAGGGAGGTGTCACCTCGGGCCGGAAGTGGCTCTGATGGTCTGCAGCCTCCCTCGCTGAGGGAAGGCAGCGGGGGAGTCGTGGGCCGGCTGTGCCAGCGAAAGAGGAGGAATGGGGACAGTGATATGGGTTGGGCAGAGAAAGGGATTGCCCCTTCTCTCACACCCTCCCTCCCAGCCCGCCTGCACTAACCGTTTTATTCACCTCAGTTGGAAAAATACCAGCAGGGAGACTTTGGCTACTGTCCACGTGTGTACTGTGAGAACCAGCCAATGCTTCCCATCGGTGAGTGGGAAAGGAAAGACACGTATAGCCGGTCCTCTGGGGAGGGTGGGGCTCAGCACGTGGGAGCCGTGAGTGGGAGTGAGCTTGGGCAGGTCAGGGGAGCCTGCGTGCTGAGTGTGTCTGTCTGCCAGGCCTTTCGGACATCCCAGGGGAGGCCATGGTGAAGCTCTACTGCCCCAAGTGCATGGACGTGTACACACCCAAGTCCTCGAGGCACCACCACACGGACGGCGCGTACTTCGGCACTGGCTTCCCTCACATGCTCTTCATGGTGCACCCCGAGTATCGGCCCAAGCGGCCTGCCAACCAGTTTGTGCCCAGGTGGGGAGCAGAGACAGTCACCAAGGGTCAAAGTGGGGCTGGGCACGGCCCTTTTTTGCGGCCTGCTCCTCCCAAAGCTAGGGCTCTCCGTGCTGAGGGGCATTCGAAGAGTTAGCTGAGTGCCTTGTCCGTTCCCTTGCCCATGAAGTGGGCGCTGATAGGACCTGCCCGGCAGGGTATGCTTAGATATTCGAAGTGTTGAGAATAATGTTTGAAGCACCATTTAACAACAGCTGTTCTTGCTGTCACCTTGGATGTTCTGCCTTAGCGAGGAGCTCCTCAGAGCCACAGTTCAAGCGTGGTTTCTCTTCCTGAGCATCACCTTTACTGGGCGGGGGGCGGGGCTCAGTTTTATGGTGAAGCAGGTAGTGCCACAGACATAGCCTGGAATTTGTGTTCTAATGGGAATTTAAGATACAGACCAAAGACTCTTGTAGGGAGGAGGTTGGGAACCGGTGCCCTTGAGCACTGAGCAGGCCCGTGGAGGAGCTGGGTGGGAGGTCGGAACGTAGGCTGCTGGCAGGGCTGCATGTGGCTCACCTGCTGCCTCTGACCTATGCCCCCCGGCCCAGGCTCTACGGTTTCAAGATCCATCCGATGGCCTACCAGCTGCAGCTCCAAGCCGCTAGCAACTTCAAGAGCCCAGTCAAGACGATTCGCTGATTCCTCACGTCCGGCCCCATTCCTTTCTGCCACCCTCTATGGTTTTAGTTTAAATTAAAGGAGTCATTATTGTGGTGGGAGTATGAAATAAAGTGGAAGAAAAGGCCATGAGCTGGTCTGCGGTGCTTGGGGTCAGGGAAGGGAGGGCTGTGTGCTGGATGCCGAGGCCCTCATGGCCCGGCTCGCCCTCCCCCGGTTGAAAGCCAGCACAGACATGTGCCCAGTGATTGGGTGATGTTCAGCAGTGCAGAAATCCTCGGACTGGGTATGAGGGTGTGCAAAGTCCCAAGGAAAAGACCCAGAGAAAAGTCAAACCTCCAAGATGAGAAATGTTTTCATTGGTCTGGAGGACACCAATGGCTGTTTATGCTATAAGGGTCGTAACACTTAGCAGTTTTGGTTTTACAGGGAAAGCGGTTTGAAAATAAGGGGTGGAGAGAAGCGGGGAAAGGCCCAGAATTGCTGCTGGTGTGGTCCTGCGTGCCCCGCGCACCCCCCCACCCCCCGCTCATCTCAAAAGTATGGGAGGCAGAGTTCCAGCACAATGGGGACCAGCTGTGTGAGGGAGGGCAGCATGTGGTGCTGGACACAGAAGCTCAGCCGTGGACCCTGCGGGGCAGGAATAGTGGGTGTTTGGGAAGCACAGTTACAGGCCAGGTCCTGCCCGTCTCGGCCACGGCGCCCACATTGAGAGAGCAGGCCTCGTGGGCGAGGGCACACTTCCTCCTGCCGAGTTAATCACCCAGCCCAGGTCCTGCCCCGGGCGGGGATACAACTGCCCACGGCAGCTCCTGCTCAGGCTGTCAAACCCCTGCCGCTCAGGAGCCAGGAGCATGGTCCTGGGAAGGTGGAGTTGCAGGGCACCCCTCAGGCACTGCCCCGCTCCCCAGAATTCCATCATGAAGGCCCCGATGCTCGTAGGTGTGCTGGTCGCGGTGGGCTTCGCAGTGGGAAGAGGTGAGTGCAGCCCAGGGGCAGGAAGGAGGGGTGGGCTGTGGCCCTGGATGTACAGGTTTCGTACAGGGCTGGGACCTTGGAGTGAGCGCTGCTCGCATCCTGTCTTCCTCAGTTCCTGCTCCTGAACTCCGCACCTGCCACCTCTGCCTCCTAGAAGACCCTTCTGCAGGATGCCTTTCTGGCTTGGAGAAATGCACCATCAGTAGCTCATCCCCATGCATGGTGATCACCGTCTATTACAGTGAGTTCAAGACTCGGGGACGGGCTGCTGGTGAGACGGCCCATTGCCTGGTCTCCTAGATGAGGATGCTCAGGACCTGGGGCACAAGAAGGAGAGAGGAGGATCCTGGCAGCTGGATCAGGAGTTTGGGGGTTGGGGTAACAAGATGACATTGCTGAAGCTGCCGGTGGAAGTTGGGTCTGGTGAGGGAAGGGGAGAGTTCTTAGTAGGGGTGCCACATTGGGAGACAGCGGCTTATGAGCTGTTCTCTTCCCCCAGATAACAGGGTTCGCTTCCTCATCCGCGGCTGTGGACAGTACAATTCTTACCGCTGCCAAGAAAAACACAACACCTACATCTCAGAGTACTGGTACGAGGCCCAGTGCTGCCAGTACAATTACTGCAACTCGTGGTCCAGCCCTCAGCTCCAGAGCTCCCAGCCTGAGCCCCCTGGTGGGGCCCTGAGCCTGCCCCTGTTCAAGTCCCAGATTCAGTGGTTCTACCAGGCCCTGAACTTCTCACTGCCCCTCCCCCATTCCCATACTGGGAAGGAGCCTAAGGACCTGGACCCCCTGGCTGCCCTGCCCTTGAACCTGGGCTTGTCCATTGCCGACCTGCGCAGCATATACTTATTCCTCAACAATTCGGGGCTTTTGGTTCTTCCTCAGGCTGGGCCCTGACCCCTGACTTCTTGAATTGCAGTCTGTTCAGCATCTCCCAACACCCAGGCCCCTGCTCTGGCCCCGGAACTCCCATCTCTGCTCTGCTCTTTCAGGCCTTCCCTTTGTCCTCTGTGTCTCTGTGGCTTTGGTTTCGTTCCCACTCAGAAACCCAGCTAACCCAGCGTCTCCTTCCTCTGGGAAAACAATCTCAAGTGCAGGCTGCTGGGCGGACCTGGGAAAGGCGGCGGCTCCCTCCTTTTCCCACCTGAGTGTGCCATCACCCCCTCTTCCTGGTCCCCTCTAGTCTGGTCACCTGCCACCTCCATTTAGTTCTGGCTGTCTCCCATCCTGTGCTCTCAGACACAGGCCAGACTGGATTTGTAGCGAGGAGGATGCGGGTTGAGCTGTGCAGATCCCTGACTGGCACCTGGTGTCCCTGCCTCCCTGCCTCACACCCGGGTCTCCTGCTGCCTTTCTCAGCTCTTGTTCCAATCTCTGGCCACCTCCGCCATGGCCGCCTGCTCCTGATACCCACATCCATAGGTGCCCAGAGAGGGGAGAGGGAAGAGGGTCCTGCTTTTTTCCATGCCCCCAGTTTCCCTCCGCAATAAACAGACAGGGTTTAGTCTGAGTCATATTTATGGGTTGGGTTCAGGTGTGGGCAGGTGTAGACAGGTGGGAAAGTTAATTGGGTGTGGGGTTCAAATGGTTGGAGAGCCCTGGCCACTGCCCCTGGTTTGGTGGCTTTTGGCCTGCCCCAAAGGCCCAAGTCCATCCCACCTGCTCAGCGAGAGATCAGAGCGGAGTTGGTGAAGCCTCCCTCCGGGTCTGAGCCGGCCCTGCAGAACCGAGGCAGGCAGTCCAGGTGGTGGTGGGTTTTTCCACCCGGAAGAGGAGAGAACTTCAGGGAGACGGGAGCAAACCGCAGGGCCAGGGCTGCACCTCAGTCACCTGGTGCTGAGGGGTCTACAGTTCCTGCCTTTTAACTTTTTACATATTTTTTCCAATTGATTTTTTTAAAGAAACACTGATGGTTTTATATATATATATATATATATATATATATATATATATATATATATATTTTTTTTTTTTTTTTTTCTGATTTTTTACAGAGAGGAAGAGAGAGGGATAGAAACATCGATGAGAGAGAGTCATCGATCAGCTGCCTCTTGCACACCCCCTACTGTGGATATGCCCACAGCCAAGGTACATGCCCTTGACGGAAATCGAACCCGGGACCTTTCAGTCCGCAGGCCGATGCTCTATCCACTGAGCCAAACCGGTTTCGGCAAAACACTGATGGTTCTGCCTCCTGAATGCCCTCTAATGGGGATTGAGCCAGAACCCGGAATGTGACCGGGTGCGTGGGATGGCCACCAGCCCGCTGCGCCCCAGCTGGGTCTGCCTGTCCGTCTCTAAGTTCCAGACACCCAGGCCGGGGCCTTTTGTTTTATTTTTGAAAACAGCAAGTGTCCTGGCAGCAATAATTAATATTCATAACTCCCTTTCGCATGTGTTCAACATACTGCACATGCCTGCTCTTAGGCACCAGGACTCAGAAGGTACCGCCAGGTCTGCCCTTCAAGGCTCAGCCCAGAGCTGGGGTTGTGAACCCATTTCTGAGAAGCAGTGCAGCCTCGTGCCCGGAGCCCGATCGCTCCTCCACGGGGTAAGCCGGCCTCTCCTTGGGTCCCGGGCAAGCGCATGCACACGGAGGCTCTACGCAAACACCGTGCCTTCGGGACAAACGGACAGGCCTTCTGTTTTTAAACCTCTGGCAAAACATATAGAACGTGGGCTTTTGAAAACCACTCCCTGTGTTAGCAGTTTTAAGCCGGCATAAAGGCCTCTGGTACCCAAAGCTGCTTCTAGGCACTGCCCCCAACTTGGGGTCACCTCTGCCCGAGCTGGAACTGCTCAGCTGGGCTTTGTCTGCTGGGTTCAGTGGCATCATGCATCGTATACTCATGCACACAACACTGGCCATGTGTCAACTCCGTGGCTTGTGCTCCGGTGGGAAACCCCAGTGTTAACGTTTGTGTCGGAAGGCAGTTGGAAGACAAGGAGTAAACCTGTGTCCCCCTCTTGCTGGGCCCACTCTTCCCCATACTTCTGATTTCGGTATCGGACACAAAAGCCCAAACTGGAAGACAGCCTCGGAGGCTGAGGACCTCAAGGCCCGAAAAGTGTAGAGGGAGCTGAGCCTGGGACCAAGCCCGGGCTGCAGGAGGCCCAGCACCTCTCACCCTTCCCCCGGGCCTCCCGCAGTCCCCACACGGCCTGCCGGCTGACAGCTAACAAGGGTCCGCTGCCTCTGGCCGTCACTGCTTCTCATTCCACTTCCTCTTCACCTGTCTGTGCTGAGAGCTGAGTCAGACACCTAGACAGCGAGCTCAGAGGAGCTGGGAGCCCTTTACCTGTCCCCCAGTGGGGCAGCCAGGCAGGACCCCTCCCTCAGCCTCCGCCTCCTCCGGAACAGAGAAGCCGCACACTTTGCACACCAGTTTATTCTGTAGGCACACCTTGCAAGGAGGCTGTGGTGGGAGGAAGGAAGGAGCAGAGCAGGGGCAGCGGACAGGGGAGAAGGGGAGGGGAGCTGTCAGACGGTGAGGACTTACAGGGAAAACTCCAGAGATGCCTGGAGAGGGAGCTTGTGAGGGGCAGAGTGGGGAATGCTGAGGGGCAGCAAGCGAGAGGCAACTAGGGCTGGGTCATAACCTGGGGGAGGGGAGGCAGCGGCTGGGAGGGGCTGGAGGTTGTCCTGGCTGCGCCCAGGTGAGGACTGCGAAGGGCTCTGCAGGAGTGCTACGGGAGATAGAACACTCTGTTCTGTGGGTTATTGCAGAGATCCCGGAAACAGCATCGAGGGAACATCCAGAAGCCAAACACCGGGGAAGCGCGGGTGTGTGAGCAGTCGCTCAACTGCTCCTTGCGGCGACAGTCACTCACCATGATGTCAGACCCACTACCTGCAACAGCGAGATGTGCCGGCGGAGCCCCACACCCTCCTTCCCTCCCTCCACAGGACTTCCACTGCCCCCACCCTTCCCTGCACCCCAAACGCAGGGAGTGCCCAGGAGCAGGAGTCCCCGCGGAAGGCTGTGCGAGCCTCTGAAATATTGTGACAGTTGGAGGTGCTGAGCTGGGGCTGGGAGAGCCCACAGCCTGAGCGGGGCCAGGCTGCAGGGAGGCCTGCTGTTTCCTTTATGGATTAATGCTATCGGGGTGGGCAAAAGTAGGTTTGCAGTTGTGAGTACACCGTTTATTCTTTTTTCTTTTTTCTTTTTTTTAATATATTTTATTGATTTTATACAGAGAGGAAGGGAGAGAGAGAGAGAGTTAGAAACATCGATGTGGGAGAGTCATCGATCAGCTGCCTCTTGCACACCCCCTACTGGGGATATGCCCGCAACCAAGGTACATGCCCTTGACCGGAATCGAACCCGGGTCCCTTGAGTCCCCAAGCCGACGCTCTATCCATTGAGCCAAACCTGTTTTGGCCGTTTATTCTTGTATTATTCATTTATTTATTACTGTATTATTTTTGCTCCCCAGCCCCTATATATCAGAGGGTGAAAAACCCCTGCCTGAGAGTTGGAGAGGGGAAGTCACCAAGGTAGGGGAAAATAGCCGTTGTTTAAAACGCAAGCGCAGAACTGTCTACAGGGCTATGCCTGTCTGTGGGAGAGGAGGAGAGGTAGGGTAGGATGCCAGAAAGGTCACAGAAAGGGGAATCCAGACGTAAAAGGGTGGTTTTTGTTTTCGTGCGTGGGAGCTGGGGACCGGGCCAGGCGCAGGCAGGGACTCGCTGAGCCCGCTGACGGGAAGGGTGCGAGGTGCTGTGGTGATGAGTGCCACCCCTGGGGCCACCGCAGGCTGTGGCTCAGCCTCGGAGCCTGACAGGTGTGGGCCCTTCTGGCCTCGGTCCTCAGCGGGGGAGCGCCTCAGAGGCTGTAAGTGCTTAGCACAGTGCCTGGCCCAGAGTTTGTGTCAGTGTTTGTCAACGTTTAAGACGGTGAGGGGCCGGTGGCAGAGCGAGCATGAAGAACAAAGAGTCAGACATTTTGGGCAAGTGGAAAGTTGTGGGGAGGTGTCCAGAGGGCAATTTGATGGCCAGTGTGGCCACATTCAGACTCTGTGACGTGGCTGTGCGGACGCCAGGGAAGCAGAGAAATTCCTCTGGGAGAGTGAAGCGGAAGATAGCAAAGCTCAGGTTTCGGTGAACATGAACGCTTAAGGGTGAAGGAGACAGAAGAGGTAGCTGGCCATCTCCAGGCCGGCGCCTGCGGAGGGCGGACACGGCCGTGGGCTGGGGGCAGGGTGGCGGTGGAGTCAGGGAATGCTCTGGAGGAGAGAGCGTCTGGCATGGGGCAGTGTCTGGGAGTTGGGGCTGGGAAATGTAGAGACTCAGTCTGGGCCCAGACAGACAGAAGACAGCTTACTGTTCTTGATGAAGAGAGTCATGCAGCTGCTGCCAGGAGCCGCCAGGCAGATGTCCGATCCCAACAGGCACCCCAGCTCCTTGGTCTCCAGGAGGCACCGATAGCAGCGCAGGTATTTGAGGGACTCAGCTGGATAAGGGGGCTTTTGATTGACAGGGTCAGTTTTACCTAGAACACAGACAAGCTCTGACCCCATGCCTCCACCTTCCAGATCAATCCTGCTGTTCTCCTCCCCCATCTCAGAAAGCCATAAAATCACCAATTTGTAAAGCCATCCGGCCCAGCCAGAGGTTGAGATTTGGTCCGTGAACCAGGAGGTTTGATTCCAGTCAAGGGCACAGGCCTGGGCTGCAGGCTCGATCCCCAGTGGGGGGCGTGCAGGAGGCAGCTAATCAATGATCTCTTTCATCATTGATGTTTCTCTCTCTCTCTCCCTCTCCCTTCCTCTCTGAAATTAAAAAAAAGAACAAGAAGTAAAAACAAGAATGCATCATCACAGGACAGGAAGACTCTGCTTTGTGCAGACAAGAGATTTCAAGCAGCCCAGGGCCGCACGCATTCTTTGCTTGACGGTCCTCTCACAGGACAGACTCATCAAACTGTCCACCGAAGCCCTCCCACACACATGCATATGTAGTTGTCTCTTGGTATCCACAGGAGATTGGTTCCAAATTGAGACAAAAAATCTGCTCAAGTCCCTTAAACAAAACTAGAGGCCTGATCAACTGCGGGGCTGCCTCAGGCCTCGCAGCCCTGGCTTGGTCCAGAAGGTCGTCCGTGTCTGGTCTAATTAGCATATTATGCTTTTATTATTATGATGTAGTGTTGCATATAACCTACACTCATCCTCCCAAATACTTTAAATCATCTAAAGATTACTTGTAATACCTAATACAATATACTAGTATATAGTTGTTATACTATATTGTTTAAGGAACAAAGACAGAAAAATGTCCGCACATGTTCAGTACAGACACAACCACCTTGGGCCTAACTACATAGCACACACCAGCAACACTATCACTTAAAAAATAGTTTTCATCCTCGGTTGAATCCAGGGATGCGGAACCCGCACATATGGAGGGCCGATTATACATCGATCTCCATTGATCTCCCTCCGGCCCGGCCAAGACCAGGTTAATGAGCCCCAGGCCCAGCAAAGCACTTGGTGTGAGACAGACGCTGACCAATGTTTTGAATCCTGTTTCTATAGATAGTGCTTTGCAGCCAAGTGAGGAGGCTATCAGGCTGCTTCCAGCCCCTTCCTTCCCTGTGGGTCCTGGTGCTGCCATCTGGCTGGCTCCTCAAACCCTCCCTATTTTGTGTTGCCCTGAGATTTAAAAAAAATATTTTTATTGATTTTTTACAGAGAGGAAGAGAGAGGGATAGAGAGTTAGAAACACCGAGGAGAGAAAATCATCGATCAGCTGCCTCCTGCACACCCCCTACTGGGGATGTGCCCACAGCCAAGGTACATGCTGTTGACCGAAATCGAACCTGGGACCTTTCAGTCCACAGGCCGACGCTCTATCCACTGAGCCAAACCAGTTTTGGCTGCCCTGAGATTTTAATGGGTTCCCTTCAGTATCGCCATTCAGATCTGAATGAGACAACCCTGGGATGTCACCAGCCACCTCCCTCAGAGTGACATCAGTGCATTAGCAGTGCCCAGCACTATCCCAGCAAGCCCACTCATCCCATCCTTCCTCCTGCCTGGGCACATGTGCCCCAACACCTGGCACCTGGGGGGTCCCTCTACCCAGCAGGCCTTCTGAGCCCTTTGAGCCACTTACCACACACCAAGCTCATCACGACCAGCACTGTTAAGAGGACCATGTGCAGAGGGTGGGGGGCGCTGTGGAGGCCTAGGGTCCCCAGACGCCGTCTGTGCGTAGGGCCTGCCATAAAACGCATGACTGCCACCAGCCTCCAGTTTGTGCTTATATTGGTGGGAGAGAAGTTGGCCAAGAAGAAGGAGAGGGGCGACACCCCTGTGGGATGGAAATTGGTGCCCAAACGTCCCGAGGGACAGGGTGTTCTCGCCCACGGCCACTCTGGAGCCTAACTTCCTGGCTTGGGAACAGGAGCCGCAGCCGGAGAATGAGAAAGGAACATTCTGTGTGTGCGCGCGCGTGTGTGTGTGTGTGTGTGTGTTATTGATTTTAGAGAGGAAGGGAGAGGGAGAGACAGAAGCATCCATGATGAGAGAGAGAGAGAATCATTGATTGGCTGCCTCCTGCACGCCCCCTACTGGGGATTGAGCCCAAAACCCAGGCATGTGCCCTGACTGGGATCCAACCGTGAGCCACACCAGCTGGGTTACACCATGTTTTAATTTTCAGTCTAGTAGTCATAGTGGCTGCTTCCTGGTTATCTTTGCAAACATTCCTTTGGAAAACAAGGCTGCTTCGGCACAGTGCAAAGGTTATCTTGCCCAGTTTTAACATTCCGAAGGCTTGAGGCATAAGACCCGCACACGGGCAGTTCCTCTGGGAGGGCAGCTCTGGCTCCGTTTTAAAGTGGCTTCGTGGGTATTTACACATTCTCAATGGGGGAGGCAATCAGTAAGCAGTGATGGGGTGGGAAGCACTGGCAAAGGGATTTCAGCAGAGGAATAACAGTATGGGGTTCCGTCCACAATATTCTGAGGCGGGAACCAGTTAGGCAGCTATTCCTGAGCCCAGACACTAGATGGTGGCCTGGCCCTGCAGAAGAGAAGCAGTAAGCCAAAAAGTGAGTGAGTCAGAGTATTTTATTTTATTTTAAAAATATATTTTATTGATTTTTTACAGAGAGGAAGGGGGAGAGAGAGCTAGAAACGTCAATGAGAGAGAAACATCAACCAGCTGCCTCTTGCACACCCCCCACCAGGGATGTGCCCGCAACCAATGTACATGCCCCTGACTGGAATCGAACCTGGGACCTTTCAGTCCGCAGACCAACGCTCTACCACTGAGCCAAACCGGCTTCGGCTATTTATTTATTGTAAATGTTCTTCAATTACAGTATACTTTAGAAAAAAATCTTTGTTGAAAATATTACTTATGTCCCCCTTCTCCCCCATTAATCCCCTCCATCCTACTCTGGCCCCAGACCTTCACCATCTGATTGTCATGTCCATGGGTCCTGCATATCCTAGCTAATAAAAGAGCAATATGCAAATTGACTATACCTCTGCTATACCACAAGCCACACCCACCAGCCAATCAGGAGCTAGTATGAAAATTAACCCAACCAAGATGGATGGAGCAGGAGGTTTGGTTTTCCCCAGCAATGGAGGAAGCCAAGCTCCCAGAGGCCAGGGCCTCTACTTGGGCCACCCAGGGCATAATCAGCCTGCAAACCACAGGCCCCTTGCCCAGGCCACCCCATAGCCCAAGGGAACCCCACCCTAATCCAGGACACCCTTCAGGGCAAACCAGCTGGCCCCCTCCCGTGCACCAGGCCTCTATCCTATCTAATAAGAGAGTAATATGCAAATTGCCGTCATTTCAACACACAAGATGGCTACCCCCATGTGGACACAAGATGGCCACCACAAGATGGGCAGCAGGGGAAGGTAGTTGGGAGGGACCAGGTCTGCAAGGGAGGGCAGTTGGGGGGCAATCAAGCCTGCAGGGGAGGGCAGTTAGAGGTGACCAGGCTGGCAGAGGAGGGAAGTTAGGGGCAACTGGACCTGAGGGGAAGGGCAGTTGGGGAGAACCCAGGCCTGCAGGGGAGGGCAGTTAGGGGCAATCAGGCTGGCAGGGGAGTAATTAGGGGGAGATCAGGCTGGCAGGCAGAAGCAGTTAGGGGCAATCAGGAAGGCAGGCAGGCGAGCAGTTGGGAGCCAGCAGTCCTGGATTGGGAGAGGTATGTCTGACTAACCAGTAGGATGGGGCCTAAATGGGCAGTTGGTCATCATTCGAGGGGTCCCAGATTGGAGAAGGTGCAGGCTGGACGGAGGGACACACACACACACACACCCCGTACGAATTTCGTGCACCAGGTCTCTAGTATGCATACAAGGGTTTTGGTTGCTTACTCCTCCACCCCCCATCCCTCTGAGATTCTGCACGCTGTTCCACTTCCACTGGGTTCATGAATCGGAGAGCATTGAGAAGGAAGAGGGCAGTTAGAGTTACACTGAGTGTAAGGTGGGGAAGGGGCAGACTCGCACAGCGTGGCTGATGGCACCATTCCCCAAGCTGAGACAGACTGGCACTGTCAGAAGTCCAAAACCGAGGACTCCTGGGTCCCGAGTGACTGCACCAGCTCAGTGCCCTGTGGGTTCCAGGAAGCCCGCTTCCCCGGCCACCGTCTGCCCGCCCGCCGCGCTGGGCTGCAGGCCAGCGGCCTGTCTCCGGCGCCCCGGGCTCCGTGCGCTCCTCCCGCCTGGCTGCCCGCGGCCCGCGCCGACCTGGGGGCGGCTCGCCGCCCGGAAGGACCTGGGGGGCGCCGCCGCGGGCCCTGAGGCCAGGGCGGCCAGGGCCGGGCCGGGGGCGGGAGCCGGACGGCAGACACAATGGAATGGGTGCGGGCGGCGGGGCACCCACATGGCGTCTGGGGGGAGCGTGGAGGCCGGCGCTGGAAGCCGCCCTCCCGCGGAGCGGCGCAGGGAGGCGGGAGGGGCTGTCCGGGCTCCGCGCTCCGCCCCCTCCGCCCAGGAGGCCGGGGTCCCGGCGGGAGGGGGGCGGGGGGCGGGGGCGGCAGCGCTTTGCGGGGAGGGGCGCCGCGGGGAGGGAGGGCGCCGCGGGGAGGGGGGGCGCCGCGGGGAGGGGGGGCGCCGCGGGGAGGGGGGGCGCCGTGGGGAGGGAGGGCGCCGCGGGGAGGGGGGGCGCCGCGGGGAGGGGGATGCCGCGGGGAGGGGGGGCGCCGCGGGGAGGGAGGGCGCCGCGGGGAGGGGGGGCGCCGTGGGGAGGGAGGATGCCGCGGGGAGGGGGGGCGCCGGGGGAGGGAGGGCGCCGCGGGGAGGGGGGGCGCCGCGGGGAGGGGGGGCGCCGCGGGGAGGGAGGATGCCGCGGGGAGGGGGGGCGCCGCGGGGAGGGGGGGCGCCGCGGGGAGGGGGGATGCCGCGGGGAGGGGGGGCGCCGCGGGGAGGGGGGGCGCCGCGGGGAGGGGGGGCGCCGCGGGGAGGGAGGGGCTCCGTGGGGGGGAGGGGCTAGGGGGCGCCGCGGGGAGGGGGGGCGCCGCGGGGAGGGAGGGGCTCCATGGGAGGGAGGGGCTCCGCGGGGAGGGGGGGGGGCGCCGCGGGGAGGGAGGGTGCCGCGGGGAGGGAGGGGCTCCGTGGGAGGGAGGGGCTCCGTGGGGGGGGCTCCGTGGGGAGGGGGGGCGCCGCGGGGAGGGGGGACGCCGTGGGGGGAGGGACGTCGCGGGGAGGGAGGGACTCCGTGGGGAGGGGGGGTGGGGGCGGGCAGCGGTCGCCATGGTGACAGAGGGCCGGCCCGGGACTGGCCGCTGATGGACGCACGAGGAGGGGACGGGCAGGGTCCTGTCCGGGACCGGCCGGCGGTGTGAGGAGGGTCTGGAGAGGGATCCTCAACTCGAATGTAAACTACGCTGCGTCCGGAGGGAGCCGGGTGGCTTGTTGATGGGCAGGGGGGGCGGTGGGTGGGTAAGGGACTGGGCTGCCCCACCCTCTGGCTGTGACGGCTGTGAGGGGCTGGCGTGAACCCCGCCCGAACCGCAGTCACGGCGGAGCGGTGCAGGGCCTGGGCCAATAGACGGCGGCCGGAGACCGCCTCTTCTCCCCAGGTCTCCCGCTGGAAGCGCCTCTCCCCTCCCAGCCGCCGCCTCTCCGTTTGCCCAACTGCTCCACACCTGGGGCCAGGCCGCCTGGGCCCAACAGAGCAACGTGTAGAGCCCCAGCGGGTACGGGTCTGCATCTCAGCCGGTCCTGTCTGAGACTGCCCCCCCCACCCCCGCGGGTGAGGGAGGGATGGGAAGGCGGCTGCTGCGAGCTTCTTAGGTGGGAGTGATTGGGAGTAATGTGAGGGGGAGGCAGGGGCCCATGGGCGGGGAGGCCCAGGTTCAAATGTTGAGCCTCTCCTCTTCCCAGCCACCTGAGGTGCCCAGGGCTCCTCTGACACTCAGGGTTCTCTGTGCAGGAAGAGGAGAGGGAGGCTTGGGCAGGGAGTCCTTTCCCCAGGGTGTGGGAGGTGGGCCTGGGTGCCCCGTTTGCATTTAGGGAGGTTCCCTTAGCTGAACAAAAGCTTGGATTCCAGGGGATTAACTTCTGGGGGATCTGGGAGGGCCAGGTTCAGAGCCAGGCACCGGTCCCAGGTCCCACAGCGTCCTGCTCGCACCTCCCACCCTGTTCGCCCCGGGACACACTATAAGCTCTCCCATGTTTGCTAAAGGTGGAACATTCTGGAGCTGTAGCCACCTCCCTTCTTTTAACCCCAAATATCAGATGTAGTCACCTAGGTCTCAGATGACCCCACCTGCAGGTGCAGGGTGCTGAGTTGGCAGGAGCAGACACCATGCCCTGGGCTGAGAGACACTGAAATTAGCAAGAGGCTGTCTAGGCCATCAGAATACTGCCACCCAGGCAGCTTTTCAAACAGTGGAGCCAAGGGGTCTAGGGGGGTCTCGTCTGGGAAAGAGGACTGAGGGGCGAGGGACGCATTCTGCTCCATGAGGTCCGAAGACAGAGAAGCTACAGGGAACGGATTCCCTCAGGTTCGACCTAAGAATGTTCCAACAGTGCCCAAGAGTGTGGTTCTGGGGGGACATGAGCCCCTGCGGCCCTGTTTGCTGACTTGCAGAGGGTGAGGAGAGGCATGGGGCACGGTGAGGAGGGAGTGCAGGGTTCCTCACTGCCCCCGGAAGTGGCAAGAGCTGAGCAAGAAAAGCGGGGGGGGGGGGGGGGGTCGGGACCGGTTTGGCTCAATGGATAGAGTGTCGGCTTGGGGACTGAAGGGTCCCGGGTTCGATTCCGGTCAAGGGCATGTACCTTGGTTGCGGGCATATCCCCAGTAGGGGGTGTGCAAGAGGCAGCTGATCGATGACTCTCTCTCATCGATGTTTCTAACTCTGTATCTCTCTCCCTTCCTCTCTGTAAAAAATCAATAAAATATATTTTAAAAAAAGAAAAAAAAAGAAAAGTGGGGGGTACTGATGTTGAGATCCTGCCAGGTGGAAGTTGGGGAAGAGCTGAGAGGTAAAGCAGCCTGGAGAGCCTGCTTGCAAACAAGCTGGGTGGTGGAGCAATGGGGCCCCATCAGGCGGGCGGCGGTGGGACGGCGGGCACAGGGAAGGGTGAGGGGACCTGGGGCCCGAGGAGCGCTGAGACGGAGAGGCCTGAGCTGGCTGGTCCCGGGATACTCGGGCGTCACAGTCAGCCAGCCAGTAGAAAAAATACCTTTTTATTAATTATTAGGAAAAACCCACTCCTGTAATGCAGGTGTGTGTGCCGGGCGGTTAGGTGCTGCAGGATGGAGGAGGGACCCATGCGAGGACCAGTGGAAAGGAGGGTGGACTCCACAACTATGAACAGCAACATGAACACGAATCACAAATAAGAGGCCCTTCCTCAGGTCTCCTCTGCCCAGGCCTCCAGGCGGCCCGCTGCCAGGAGGGCTGGTCCCTACAGGTGCCAGGGCAGCTGGAAGCTCTGGGCCGGGAGCGGGGTGCAATGTGTGGCTTCGAAGTTGTGCAGGTGTTTCCGGGCCTAAGTGTGGCGCACAGCACGACAGTGAGTGGCAGCCCCTACCTCCAAACCCACTGCCCGCTCGATAAATGTGCCATTCCCACTGCCCCCCAGCCCCGCCTGTGCCCCCGGCCACTCAGGCGCCCCTCCGGCTTCCCGCCCCTTCGCTCACCAGAAACAAAGCCAGCTGCTGCCTTCCACGCGCACGCATGTCCTCCCCTGCAGAGAGAGGTGCTCACACATGGCCCCACGCACCTGGGCACCCACTCCTTTCCGGGCTCTTCCCAACGCCCCCTCCTGCCCGGACGCCTTACCCACACTCCAGGGGAAGTCTGGCCCGTGCTCCGCCTGGTAGGAGCGGAGGACAGACAGACACCAGTCTTCCTCCACCTCCCATCGGCTGTAAACCGAGGCTGGTCAGGGAGACATGAGGGCCCGTCAGCACTGGCTTTGCCAGCCCCCCCACAGCCCCCGGATGCCCTCACCTTCCTCCAGCTGCGAGGAGGCTTCCAGCCACTGCCTCACCACCTGAAGGCCCTCGTCTGCCATCACGTGGGGATACCTGCCGGAGCGGTGCGGGTGGGAGTCAGACCCATCCTTCACTCCTCGTCCCTGAGCCTTCTCCCTTCCTCCCGATGCTGGTGTGCACACATGTGCACACACGTGCACACGTGTACGGACACCCGCCCCGCTCACCGATGCTGCAGGAGCTTCAGCAGGAGGTCGTTGCCTCGGTTGGACATGACGTCCTCAGGAACCCTGGGGTGAGAAGAATGTACACGTGACGTGGGGGAAGAGGGTTTGGTACCTGCGCTCCTAGTGGGCAGGGGCGGGTGGGGCACCGGGCTGGCTCTCTGGGACCCAGGAAGGCAGAGGTTCCCGGGGACTCACGTGGTGGTGATGATCTCATCCTTGGTTCTTCGGATCAGCAGTACAGGGCCCTGGTACCTTCAGGGGACAGAGCAGTGGGCTGGGAGAGCTGAGGGAGGCAGGTGGCACTGGCCACCCCCCTGCACTGGCTGGGTTCTTAGCTGCTGCTGCAGCAGGGCCCAGGGCTAGGCCCTCAGGACTGAGTCAGAATATTTCAGGGCCTGCTGAGCCCAGCCGGGTGGCTCAGTGGTTGAGCGTCGACCTATGAACCAGGTCATGGTTCACTTCCCAGGCACATGCCCAGCTGGCAGGCTCGATTCCCAGTGGGGGGCATGCAGGAGGCAGCTGATCGATGATTCTCTCACCACTGATGTTTCTATGTCTCCCTCTCCCTTCCTCTCTGAAATCAATTTTTAAAAGAAAAAGAAGCCAAAACTGGTTTGGCTCAGTGGATAGAGCATCAGCCTTCAGACTGAAAGGTCCCAGGTTCGATTCTGTTCAAGGGCATGTACCTTACTTGCGGGCACATCCCCAGTAGAGGGTGTGCAGGAGGCAGCTGATGGATGTTCTAACTCTCTATCCCTCTCCCTTCCTCTCTGTAAAAAATCAATAAGATATGTTTTTTTAAAAAGAAGAAAGTGGAGGGTCCCGGGGACCTGGTTAGGCCATCCAGGATGGGGGCAGGGATTGAGGTGGTGGTCACTTGCCAACTTGCACTTGAGCACTTTAAGAGCGCCGAATCCTAACCACTAGACCACCAGGGAGCGGTCACTTGAGCACTTTAGCACCAACTTCGGCGGCTGCACCCCAGCAGAACGGGGAGGGGCTGGGGACAGGCGTTACCTGCACAGCTGCTCCGCGTTGTTCAGATTGAGGTGCTGCCTCACGGTCCTGGACACCAGGCCCCCTAGAGTGGGACAGAGGTGAGGGGAGAGCAGAGACAAGGCCCTGCCCAACACAAAGGTCTCTGCTGTTCCCGGAGAAGGAAAATGGGGAGTCTGCTTCTCAACAACGGGTCACTCCCTGCCATGGAAAAGGGGACCATCGCCAGCTCAGTGCCAGGGCAGCCCCCCCTGCAAGGGCAGGCCTGCGGCGGTTCTCACTCAAGCTGTCCGGCATGACTTTCAAGGCCAAGGGCACCAGGTCATCAAAGGAGGCATCCAGGATCACGGCACTGATGTCTGGGTAGGACATGGCTGCCCACGTGGCTGGTACCAGGGCGGGGAAGAAGGGTAAGGACTGAGGGCCTCCCGCTCACCACCCCACCCTCCTCCCCCTGACCCTGAGCTGCCCCACCCTCCCTGCCAGCTTAGCCCAGGGCTCTCCGTGGCTCCCTGACCAGCGGGCAGTGTCTGGAGAGGATGGAGAGAGGAAAGTGCGGTGCAGACAATCCGCAGGAAGCTTTTGCCTCCCTGATCTCCAGCCCAGGCTCGGGTAAGTGAGGAAGGAAAGCACAGGGAGCCCTCTCCTTCCTGAAGCCTCCAGCCCTCCCTGGGCCACTCCCCCGGGGAGGGAGCTGAGGGGCGTAGTGTGGGGAGGAGGGAGGCTGGTACCGGTGAAGCCGCCGATGGACCAGGCATAGAGGATGATGTCCTGGGGCTGGAAACCCAGGCGGTGGACAGCATACTGGACCACCACGTCCATGGCGTTGGCCTCATTCTGTGGGAACGGCACCCCCTGCAGGAGGGAGGGCAAAGGCAGGAGTGGGTGAGCACCCCCCCGGCCGGCCGCCCACACCCTCTCAGAGGGGCCCTTCCTGAGCTTCTCTGCAACAGGGAAGGAGTGGGGGGGACAGCTCTCCCCAGAAACCAGCGTGGCCGGAGATCCACCCTCTGTCCCTGCCTTCCCTCCCGCACCCCTCCTGTGAGGGGCTCCCCATGGCCTGCAGGTGAGGGGGAGCCCACGGAGATGGCAGAGGGTCTCACCGTACTCCCAGCGAAGCCTGGATGGTTCCAGCCCAGCACTGAATACCCAGCTGCAACACAAGGTGGGAGGGGCTGGGGCCTCCTGGCCTACACCCCAGCCCCTCCCCCCAGCAGCAGGCCACCAGGCCACTAACCACCCCACCAGGGCAAGTAACGCTGAGCCCCCCAAGGATGGGGAGTGACACCCGCCAAGGCTCCGGGCGCAGAGGGAGAGGTGATGTGAGGGTGACGTAGCGCACGGCAGGGCAGGGATGTGAGGTGCGCAAAGCAAATCGGGGAGGACTCCCCCCAGTGAAGCTTTCAGACTGACCCACAGGAAGCGCCAGGCCGGCGGGGGGCGGACGATGGGGAGTCCCACCCCAAGGGGCAGAGTCAGAGGGCTGAGCCAGGCCTACCTTCCAGAGGCGTGGAGACGCAGCCCACCTCGTAGAAGCCCGCATTGCCCTCACAGCAGATCACCTGCGGGAGGCGGAGGAGCTGGGAAGGGGCCAGGGGGGCCGGGGCCGGGCAGGGAGGGCGGCTGTGGGAGCTTGGCAGGGAAGAGGGGGGCGCCCTGTTCTCTCCACGGGGAACAGAAGCCACTGGTCTCACAGGCCCGGGCTGAGGCCCGGCCATGCACGTGCTGAGCGAAGGTCAGGAGGCTTCTGCGGCCCCGAGGGGATGCCCACAGCGCCCCGGCGCGTGGGGGCGTGTCACTCCCAGGTTCGGGGCTACTTTTCCGTCTTCCGTGTGGGATGGCATGCTTTTCCTCGCCTCTCTGAGCTCAAGTCTACTCCCCACACTCCCTGTCCCAAGGTGCCCCGGGCCAAGGCCGCGACGCGGGGGTCCGGGGCTCCTGCAGGGGCAGAGCCGGGACTGGAGCTGGTCCTTCCAGGCTTCGTGGAGGCGGGCTTTGGCTCCCGCTGACCGTGCCCGGGAGCTGTGGGTGCCCGCCCAGCTGTCCAGGCAGACAGGGAGGGCCGCCCTTCCTTCCCGGCCGGTGGGACTACGTGCAGGTGCGGCACGGGGTCCGCGCTTTCTTCTCCGCGACGCCGCCTTTCGGTCTTTGAACGCCAGCTCCACCTCAGCTATTCTCAGGGACTGGGTGGGCCCCTCAGGTGCGCTTCCTGAGGGCTGCTGTGCCACCGAGACCCCAGGACCGCACTGCCCACCCACCCCGCACTCTAGCGCCTGCTCCCGCTCACCAGCTTCTGTCCCTGGGGCTCAGCTGTCCCCCGCCGGTCCACAAACATGGTGTCAATCTCGTTGCCGTCACAGGCCAGCAGCTTTGCGCGGCGCCCGTCACACTGATGGGGAGATGCAGAGCCACGTTAAGGGCAGGAGGCCGCGCCCTTCGGGGAGAGCCGGGGGCAGGGCGGGCTCACCTCTTCCACCAGCCGGGCCTGGCCCTGCAGGAGCACAGGCATGAGGGCCTTCTGGAGCAGGTACACAGAGCCGGGGTACAGCATCCGGCGCCCCAGGGTGTGGGCCACCAGGTAGCTGTGGGGGCACGGAGTTAGGGGGGCAGGACTGTCCCCGGCGGGACACTCACAGCTTCGGCGGCCTCTTCGGGACTTAATGAACTATGTGTGCAAGGCTGGTGTTTCCAAACGTTTGTTACTGCAGCCTTTGTAAGATACACGTCTTATATCGTAGCCCAGTATATACAATTCTCAAAGTCTTATGAGGTAATACATGATACTTTCTATATGCAATAAGTAAAAGCAAAGATGAATTATTATCAAAGATGAATCTGTTCATGTATAAATGCAACTTAATAAAAGTTCTAAAATAAGTAATAACTTGAAAAAATATGACTGTGATTCACTAAACTGATTTCAAGAGTAACTAATGGGCCGGGACCGGTTTGGCTCATGGGATAGAGCGTCGGCTTGGGGTCCCCGGTTTGATTCAGGACAAGGGCATGTACCTTGGTTGCGGGCATATCCCCTGTAGGGGGTGTGCAAGAGGCAGCTGATAGATGACTCTCTCTCATTGATGTTTCTAACTCTCTATCTCTCTCCCTTCCTCTCTGTACAAAAATCAATAAAATATATTAAAAAAAAAAAAAAAAAAAAAGAGTCACTAATGGGTCAAGATGGGTAGTTTGAAAGACACCAAATAGACTGCAACTCTTTCGGGGCAGGGACCTGGCTGTTTTGATCACTTTTTAAAAAAGTATTATTATTATTTTATTGATTTCAGAGGGGAAGGAGGAGGGAAACAGAGATAGAAACATCAGTGATGAGAGAGAATCATTGACTGGCTGCCTTCTACTGGGAATCGAGCCCGCAACCGGGCATGTTCAGTCTGCAGGCCAACGCTCTACCCACTGAGCCAAACCGGCTAGGGCTGTTTTGCTCACTTTGATGTGCCTGATATCTGCCCAGAGGTGCAGAGTCTACTTTTTACTGAACAAACGTGCTAATCTGGACGTGTGAGATGTGGCAGGGGCTGCTCCTGACAAGGACAGTTAGCCGCGGCCGGTTCCCCCCAGCAGGGTGTGTCCCCAGACAGCACCGCAGGACCCCTGCCAGCACCCCGAGAAGAGAAGCCCGCTTTGGCCCGCCTCTGACAGTCAGCACCGGCAGCCCCCGGCGGGAACCTGCCCCTGGCACCGCCACCGAAGCCCCTGCCACTCCACATGGCCGGTGCCAGGCCGCCTCTCCCTGGCTCTGCCTCCTGCTCTCAGGCCCCACACTCAATGCCCTTCACTGCGTCACCCTATGTGATGGCACTGCCCTGTGAGGCGGGCTACGCGCGGATGCACAAACCAGCTTGCTCCGGTGGATGCCAGGAGCCAGGACACAGCCAGGGCTCTGTGTCCCTCCCACCTCCCTCCAGGCCTATCAAAAGAGCGTTCGTGGCCCTGGCCAATGTGGCTAAGTGGTTAGAGCCTTGGTCCATGCACGCAAGAATCACAGGTTCGCCCTAACAAGTTTGGCTCAGTGGTCGGCCTGTGGACTGAGGGGTCCCAGGTTGGATTCCCGTCTAGGGCATGTACCTTACTTGCGGGCACATCCCCAGGGGGTGTGCAAGAGGCAGCTGATTGATGTTACTCTCTCATTGATGTTTCTTAACTCTCTATCTCTCTCCCTTCCTCTCTGTAAAAATCAATAAAATACATATTTTTAAAAAGAAAAAAGAATCATAGGTTCAATTCCTGGTTTAGGGCACAAACCTGGGATGCAGTTCAATCCCTGGCCCTAGTGGGTAGGTGTGAGGGGGAGGCAAAATTTGATCTCTCTTTCTCTCTCTCTCTCCCCCCCTTCCACCCACTCACCTACCCTCTCTAAAAATCATTGAAAAAGTACCCTTGGGTGAGGATTAACCAAAAAGAGCTTCGTGTCAGACAGAGCAGTGTTACTCCCCGGCTCTCCCTCACCACCAGGAGCCAGGAGCCCCCTTCCTTCACACGTGATAAACATGACTTTGCCACATACAATACAAAGCACAGACTCCCAACAGGTGACAGTGGTCTTACCCTGGAGCACTGGCTCCAGAGCCCGCCGCACCCCCCCCCCCCCGCCTGCGCCTACCTCCCCGTGCTCCCACCTGGTGATCTGACAGGGCAGCTTCTTGACGCGGTTGAGGAGGGTGTCAGCTGCGCCCCGGTGCAGGGGCTCGGAGCGGAGCAGGGCCACGCCCCGGCGGGAAGGGCCCCCGCGGGACTCCTTCCTGAGGAGGGAGAGATGAGGGAGGTGCGGTCAGGAGCAGCGGCCGGGCACTGAGGGCTGCAGGCAGGCCTGGCCGCAGGGCGAGGGGAGAGCTGCTCACCGGCTGCTGGGCTCCTCCCAGCGGAAGTCCACGGGCCAGCTCCTGAAGTCAAAGTTGTAGCTGGCCAGCTGCCGCTGTGGCGGGGGAGAAACGGAGGCTGGAGAAACGGAGGGAGGCCCAGCCCACCCCGTGCCCCTGGGCCTGGCCCTCAGGCAGCCTGGGAGGCCGCAGAGGCCCGCCCCTCCCGGTTCAGATGGCGATCCGGAGGGTCCTGTGCCAACCGGCCCAAAGCGGAGCAGCCCCTGCCACATCTCACATGTGTGCTTCCCACGCCCACGGCCGGCCCCAGGAGGTGGCCGCGGTGCGGTGTTCCTGAGGGAGGGCTGTGGCCATCCCTGCTCCCTCCCCCCCTGGGCCTTCAGTGGATCGGACTGCCCAAGCGTGGGTGAGAGGGGAGGAGGGAAGCCTCAGCCTGCCCCCCCCTGCAGGGCCACCTCCCTCCCCTCCCGCCTGCAGGGGGAGCGGGATCTGTCTGACAGCGGTCCCTCCCCCAGGTCCCAGGCTCTACTTTATGTTGAGAGTTGTTTCTCATTTTCTGTCGGAGAAATTTCTGACATCTTCAAAAATAACTTGATTCAGAGAGAGCAATAGAAATTTTGTACAAAAATATAAAAGGCGCCAAAACCAGTTTGGCTTGGTGGATAGAAGGGTCCCAGGTTGGATTCAGGTCAAGGGCATGTACCTTTGTTGCGGGCACATCCCAGTGGGGGGTGTGCAGGAGGCAGCTGATTGACGTTTCTCTCTCATTGATGTTTCTCTCTATCCCTCTCTCTTCCTCTCTGTAAAAAATCAATAAAATTTATTAAAATAAATAAATAAATAAGTAAATAAATAAAAGGCAAAACAAAACAAAAAGAAGAAAAGGCAGGCTTTGCTCAGACTGGACTTGAATTCAGACCTGCCACTCCACAGCGAGGGGCTCGGCCGGGGTCACGCCTCTGCCTGTTTCCTCCCCGTGTGAGCGGGTGCTGAGGCCCCTCACACAGTTGGTGTGAGGGTCAGAAAGCGCATGCCAATCACATGGCTGCAGGCATGGCAGACCGGAGTGCAGCAAGGCCTTTGGCCCGAGAGCAGGAAAGAGCTCCAAGGGTCCCGGGGCGCCTTCTCAAGGGTGATCACACCCGGACCCTGGGCCCTGGCTTCCCCTCCTGGCGCCACGCTGTGCTCTGGGCAGAGAGTGGACATCGCTGTCCATCCTGTCCCATCCCCAAACAAAGCCAGCACGGTGCTCAATCAATGCGACCCACCAAAACACTGGCCAAGCTCTGACAGAGAAAACCCATCCATGTTTCCACATCCAGGCAGCCCTTGCAGGTGGGGGAAGGGAGGGAGGAAGACTTCCGGCAGAATACTCCATTGGGGGTGCCTGGTGGCCGGTGCCCGTGCCGAGAGAAGTGACAGGTCCCTGGGCAGCGGGCACCTGCTCGCACGGCCCGGCCCCCTCACCTTGTTCTCCGCAGACTGGTTCCTGTGAGTGGCCTCCAGGATGGTGATGAACTGCCGGTACTGGGGGTTGCTCCAGCGGCCGATGCCTGTGGGAGGGAAGCAAGATGAGCAGGAGGCCCCGGAGGAGAAATGAGAGGAAAGGGTCCAGGTCTGGAGAAATGGAGGGTGAGCCGACCCTCCTGCACCGCCAGCACTGGCCAAGCTCGTCCCCTCGCCACCTCAGGCTGTTTCTTCCCAGACTGTGGCCGCTCACCCTGGGTGTCAGCCCTGCTAACCTGGCTCCTCTCCACTGCCGCCCTCCGCCACCTGGCTCCTCTCCACTGCCGCCCTCCTCTCCACTGCCGCTCCTCCTGCAGTCCGCTCCCTGCACCTGCCTCACCGGCCCGAGTCCCCCCTCCAGCCTCTGCCCGCACCTGGGCCCTCAGCACTCCCCCTGACCCTCCTCAGCTCCCTGAATCCATTCTTGCCTCCTTCCGATTCCTGGACTGCTCCTTCCTGGTTGCCACACCACCTCCCTCTGCTCTCCCCCAGCCCCTCACTGATCGCATCCGCTCTCCCTTCATCAAGGAGCCTCCAATCCCGACATCTCTCCTTCCAGTGACCCAATAGGTGACACGTGCCAGCCCCGCTCTGACATGAATGAACTAGAACGCCATGTGTCATCAGGGGTAGAGCACCCAGCAACGCTGAGAACGAAGCAAGCTTCAGGACAAAATGTCAGAGCAGCCGAAACCGGTTAGGCTCAGTGGATAGAGCGTTGGCCTGCGGACTGAAAGGTCCCAGGTTCAATTCCAGTCAAGGGCATATACCTTGGTTGTGGGCACATCCCCAGCAGAGGGTATGCAAGAGGCAGCTGATCAATGTTTCTCTCTCATCGATGTTTCTAACTCTCTATCCCTCTCTCTTCCTCTCTGTAAAAAATCAATAAAAATATATTTTTTAAAAATTAAAAAATGTCAGTGCAGCACTGGCTGGGTGCTGAGCAGGTCAGAGCGCTGTCCTGACACACCCAGGCTGCAGTTCGATTCCCAGTCAGGGCACATACAAGAACCAACCACTAGATGCAGACACAGTGGAACAAAAAGTCAATGTTCCTCGCCCCTGCCCCTCTCTCTGACATCAATAAAAACACCTCCTCGGTGAGGATCTAAGACGCAGGAAAATCCACACCGGCCACAGCGGCTGCTGCGGAAGAGGAGCAAGGACTGGGAAGAGGCCTGGGCAGCGCCCTGTGACTGCCCAGGCCTCACTGAGAAGGACCTGAAGCAATGTCACAGAACAAGCATCTTACTTGTTTTTGATATTTTATTCTCTGATCTTTTTATATTTATTTTTTCCCCTAAAGTTGAAAATAAATAAAATTAAAACTTGAGATAGGGTGGAGGTGGAAGAGGATATGGGATAATGGTAATGGAAAAAAATAAATGACTGAAATTAAATTTTAAAAAAATGCTCATTCTTAGTCTGAAGACTGATCTATGATTCTCTCATCATTAATGTTTCTCTCTCTCTCCCTCCTCCTTTCTCTCTGAAAATAATAAAAAATAATCATAGTTTTGCCATAGCCTGCAGATTGAAGAGTCCCAGGTTCCATTCCGGTCAAGGGCACCTGCCCAGGTTGCGGGCTCAATCCCCAGTAGGGAGCGTGCAGGAAGCAGCCAATCAATGATTCTCTCTCATCATTGATATTTCTATCTCTCTCTCCCTTTGCCTTCCACTTGGAAATCAATAAAAATTTATACATTAAAAATAATAATATATATTTATATATATATTATTATTTTTTAAATAACAATGCCTATGGTTTCCCACTTACATACATTTCCTTCTGAATGTCACATAAAGGGAAGCACACTGCACACATTCTTGGCAGTCAGCTCCTGTCCTTGGCGTTACACCGTTAGCTTCATCTGCATTGCTGAGTGTGGCTGCGCCCGTTCACCGGCACTGCTTCCGTTTGTTGCTGTCGGACTACACTCCCCAATGCAGCTACCCACCCTGCTATTTGTGGCGGGGAGCTGTTTCCAGTTTAGCATTACTACAAACTAGATGTGAATATATGTGGAATTGTTGTAGGGTATATACATTTTTTTCTAGCTAATAGCAAACTTTTCTGATAACTATTTTTCTTTTTTCTTTTTATTTAATATATATTTTATTGATTTTGTACAGAGAGGAAGGGAGAGAGATAGAGAGTTAGAAACATCGATGAGAGAGAGTCATCAATCAGCTGCCTCTTGCACACCCCCTACTGGGGATGTGCCTGCAACCAAGGTACATGCCCTGGACCGAAATCGAACCCGGGACCTTTCAGTCCCCAAGCCTGAAAGGCAGGGAGCCAGGAGAAGGAGGGGGCGACGCTCTATCCATTGAGCCAAACCGGTCTCGGCCTGATAACTATTTTTCATATTTAGGACCCAAGCCCTTTAAGGAAAAACCATTCTCAATTGTTCTTCCTCAGGGCCCAATACAAAATTGCAGAAGCTGCTGTATAAATATTTACCAGTGACGGACAATACCAGCCAGGCTCTCCCCACCTACCTCGGAGGCAGGCCACACCCGCCAGCAGCAGCAGCAGCGTCCCAGCATAGTGAGAGAGCGGCACCACCTTGGACAGACTCAGGTAGCCTGGGGAGAGAGAAACCATGTGAGCAGCTCCCCCTCCGCCCCAGATCCTCCTCCCGGCCCCACCCGCCCCGCATCCCTCATGGGCAGCCTCTGAGGGGGGCCTGAGAGAAGACAGACGCCAAGCCAGCCCTGCAGGTCCCCTTTCTTCTTTAGGGCTCGGCTCATCTGCCACAACCTGCCCGTTTCCTGTCCCACCACCCTGGAAACCACACTGACCTTTCCTGTACAAGTAGAAGAAGGCGAAGGGAGAGGAGTAATAAGAGATGGACCAGAAGACTGAAGCCTGCAGCAGAGAGACAGGGAGAAGCAGTCAATATACACCCACACTCACACACACTAACACACACTCACACACACTCACACACACTCACACACACACACACACACACACACTCACACACACTCACACTCACACACACACACTCACACACTCACACACACACTCACACTCACACACTCACACACACACTCACACACACACTCAAACACACTCACACACACTCACACACACACACACACTCACACACACACTCACACACACTCACACACACACACACTCACACACACACTCAAACACACTCACACACACTCACACACATTCACACACTCACACACACTCACACACACACACTCACACACACTCACACACACACACTCACACACACACTCACACACACTCACACACACACACACTCACACACACTCACACACACACACTCACACACACACTCAAACACACTCACACACACTCACACACACTCACACACACACTCACACACACACTCAAACACACTCACACACACACACTCACACACACACTCACACACTCACACACACTCACACACACACACACTCACACTCACACACACACACTCACACACACTCACACACACTCACACTCACACCACACACACACACACCACACAATCACACACACTCACACACACACACACTCACACACCATCTCACACACAATCACACACACTGACACATACACACACCACACACACACACGCCCACACTCACACACATACATACACACACTCACACACCATCTCACACACACTCCACACACAATTACACACACTCACATACACACACACCACACATGCACACACTCACACACATACATACACATACACACCATCTCACACACACACCACACACACATACACATACACACACACATACACACACACACATACACACACACACTCTCTCTCTCACACACACACACACACTCTCTCTCTCTCTCACACATACACACACATACACACACACACACACGCATATACGCCCTGCCCTTCCCAGGACCAGGCTCTGAGCAAAGCGGATGACCTGAGGGATATGCTGTGAAGCACCTGTCACTGCATGACATCGTGCACACGCTAGGTGCTCAGCATTCGTTGAAGGCCAGGGAGAGCATAACAGGCTGGTAAAAGTAAGTACAAGTTCTCCTTTCTTATCATCTCTAGACATAATCCATCACATGGAAAGGCAAGGCTCTCTTTCCACTCCAGTTAATCTAGTCTTCTCATCCATCCTGCTCGGGGCAGCCTGGTCCCCAAGAGATGCTCAAACATCACGGGGACCCGCCAGAGGGAGCAGCTGTCCCTGCAGCCGAAGAGGCCAGTTGCCAGGAGGACCGGTCACTGGGGCCTGCAGGACTCAGCACCTGCAGCTGGTTCGAGGAGCAAACAAATTCTCCTCCTGCTCAGGCTGCCCCCAGAGAAAGCGGCCACAGCCAGAGGGAGTGCCAGGTAAGCACGCGCTTGCTCGTGTGTGTGTGTGTGTGTGTGTGTGTGTGTGTGTGGTAAGCTGCAGAGCCTGGAGCGTACCCACCCAGGGACACTCCCCCCCCCACTCCGCCGGGCTTGGGAGGAGGAAGGTCAGGAGGGCCATTGGGGCTGAAAAGACGCAGTCGTCCCAGGTGCCAGGGTAGACATACCAGTGCCAGGATGCTGTCGGCATGTTTCTCCAGCGCCCGGGGCTGATAGTACGTATCCTGCCAAAACAGATGCCCACGTTAAGGATCCTGCCCACTGATAAGCCCTAATGTGTGTTCTCTGGTTTTAGCCTCCAAAACTGTTCCTCCTAGGCTCCCAAAGAAACCCCTTCCCAGCCATGCCCAGCCCATGAAAACGAACAGGGGATCGAGGGGTTGGACTTAGAAGCAAAGGTGAAAGCAAGCAGCATTGGACGATTTTGGCTCCGTTTTCAAAACCCAGTTTGTTTTTTAAGTGTTTTTTGTTTTTGTTTTTTTACTTCAGAGAGAAAGGAAAGGGGAGAGAGAGAGAAACATCACTGATGAGACAGAATCATTGATCCGTTCTTCCTGAACTCCCCACACTGGAGATCCAGCGGGAAACACAGGCAAGCGCCCTTGCCGGGAATGGAACCATGACCTCCTGCTCATAGGTCCACGCCAGACTGGCTGGAGACCCTGTTTCAAATGGGCTGTGGACATGGCCTATGGGGAGAAAGGAACAGACATCATGGCAACTTTAAGAGGGAAAGAAGAGCATCGAAGGGAAATGTGGCTGGGGTGGGCAGTTATAGGAGACCGGAAACATTAATGTGAGATAAAAAGGAAGAGAACTTAGGGCACAGCCTACCACTATCCCCATCTTCCATGAGTGCAAGGACCCCGGGGTCCCGGAGGAGGCTGGGGCGGTGGAGGGCAGCCGACAGGGGTATGTTGAACAAGTCGTGTTGAAATTCAAAGCGCGCTACCGGGAAGGTAAAACGGAGCCGGGAGGCACCCAGGGGCACAGAGTTTGAAGAAATGGAGAGTTTGGGGGCAAAGCCATCCAGCGCCCGAGGCCGCGCAGCGTCTCCCCCAGGACTCGGGAGTCCGGGGACGGGCAGGAACCTCGGCGCCCGGGCGGGGCCGCGCGGGAAAGGCAGGGAGCCAGCAGAAGGAGGGGGCGACGGCAAACAGCGATCAGGGTGGCCAGTCCCCGGGCGCGACTGAACCAGGAAGCACCAAGCAGCCTGTGCGCACAACTGACTTGACAAGCAGGCTCCCCCGATTTCCCACAATGGGCGCTTCCGCGGAGCAAGGCCCAAAGGGGCGCGGGCCGTACCATGTCTCCACGGGGGGAGACCGCGACTCACCCAGGAGCTGGGAGGGGGGGCAGTGACGGAAGCTGGAGCCTCAGGGCGCCGTTCAGAGTGCCTTTCGCGGTAGACTTGGTAGAGCCGGGGGCCGAGGACGCAGCTCAGCAGCTTCGCCATGGCCCCGGCTCGGGCCGCCGCTCCCCGGCTGCGGTTCCCCGCTAGCCCCGCCCCCGGCCTCCAGGGGCTGCGCGCCCTGACGTCAGCACGCACGGGCCCCGCCTCCAGCCCGGCGGCCGCCTTCCGCCCCGTGAGAGGGACCGGTGCCCCGGACCTACGGGTGCGGCGAAGGTCAGAAATTAGTCAGAGGAGTTGGAACGCGGAGAGTTAGCAAGTTCAATCAGCTTTTTCTATCACTTAGTACCAGTAGGCACTGGAGCGAAATTGGGCAGGAGAGATAGGATTAGGAATACTTGACAAGAACAACAACAACAAAAAAGGTTAGGTGTCTAGGAATCCAAGATTTTATGAAGAAAAAATATATAAAGTTTTCAATAGAAGTAAACGATGGACAACTACACCATGATCATGGATAGACTGAGTGAAAAAGAAAATGGTCGCATTATCTCTGTAATGTTGAGTGGAATAATAAGAAGCCACAGATTACACATAATATGCCAGCATTGTATAAAGTTCAAAAACATGTAAAATGTAATGAACAGCTGAAAGATAAAGAGCAATTTGGAAAAGTGTTACACGGCAAAGATAATCTTTAGTTGAAATGGTAATATTCTGTTCCTTAATAGAACACAGGTTTTATTTATTTTATTTTTTTTTGTACCTTACACCTACCTTTTGAGGACTTCTCGCATTTATTATGTCCCATTGGACTTATCCTCCAGCATATCACCCTTTTTTGATTGAATAAATTTAACAAGAATGTATGCCATTTGCAGTTAAAGATTTTTATTTTTATTATTTTTTTAAAATATATTTTATTGATTTTGTACAGAGAGGAAGGGAGAGAGATAGAGAGCTAGAAACATCGATGAGAGTCATCGATCAGCTGCCTCTTGCACACCCCCTACTGGGGATATGCCCGCAACCAAGGTACATGCCCTTGACCAGAATCGAACCCGGGACCTTTCAGTTCCCAAGCCAACGCTCTATCCATTGAGCCAAACCGGTCTCGGCTGCAGTTAAAGATTTTTAGATACAATGGAAAGGATTGGGTTCTTTCATGTCCTTTTAAACTGCAGCCAGGCATCAAAGAAACTAGTTTGAGAAAGCTCCCTTCTGAACCAACAGTTCTTTCCAATCAATGCCAATAGTTTGTTTTTTTAATTGGATTTATTCTAATAAAAATGCAAAGTATGGGAAAAAGTGTGTTTGAATGATTTCAGAGAGTAGAGAAAGGTTCACACTAGCAGGCTGAGTGTTTAGTACCTTTGAACAGAGATATTCAGAGTGTGGACACATGATAGTCCAGGTTCCGACAGAGGATCCGTGTGACTGAGTGTGTGACCACAGAACAGGCCGTCATTGGTTTTTTCTCTGCATGTTGACAGAAAACAGGGAAAGCTGTTCAGGAACTCATGGCTGGTGGTTAGGAGGTCGGACAGAAAAGTTGAGACAGAGGAGAAAGCCGGGCGATGAGGAGTCAGTCAGATGGACAGTCCGAAGGCGCTGACGATGCAGTGCATGTTCTTGTCTCCCATCGCACAGTGCAGCTCCTGTCAGTAGAGCTGTCCCAGAAGCAAGAAGTCGCCGTGTGTAGTCCTGCTCCGTTCTTCTGCATAATTCGCGATGTATTTGAACGGTTTTCCCAGCTTGGCGAGTTTGTTCTACTACATTTGTGGCCCACTGGTTGACTTTGCTGTCCTGTAGGCATTGCAGCCGATGACACTTTCTATGGCCTCTTTCACGATGTTGCTCACTTCGTCAACAACAAAGGTGGTCTCTTCCGCATTCATATTAGTCTTCCATCTTCCCGCCGCCCTGAGGAGAGCGCACTGCACCTGCGCACTCTGCCCACTAGTTTTTATTGGTTCCCTTCCCAATCACTGTCCCCTGTGACATGACAGCAATTGTATTCCAGTTCTTGATGGTGAATAAACCGTGAGCAATGGCAATGCAGGTCCGACCTTCTTCAACTTGTCCTGAGCAACCTGCCACAATGCACAGCTGCTGACTCCTAGCAAGGCGTCTTCACTATCCCCCTTCTCTGGACTGTTTCTCCTCTGTCTCCTCAGCATGTTGTCTGGGGCCATCTGTAGCTGGAGTAGTCTGAATAATTCCTCTCTTGGTTCCATTGTTGCAGGAATCCACATGGGCTTGGAGGAGTTTTCTGGAAATATATAAGCATTTTTAAAAACTATATTTTATTGATTTTTTTTTTCAGAGAGGAAGAGAGAAGGATAGAGAGTTAGAAACATCTATGGGAGAGAATCATTGATCAGCTGCCTCTTGCACACCCCCTACTGGGAATGTGCCCGCAACCAAGGTGCATGCCCTTGACCGGAATCGAACCTGGGACCTTTCAGTCCGCAGGCCAACGTTCTATCCATTGAGCCAAACAGGTTTCGGCTATATAAGCATATTTTTGACCAAAGGTTAATAAAGGAATCCTTTCTATAAACTAGACTAGGAATCTTTTCATTCTGCCAAAACCATTTTCCTTTGGCTTATTCTGACACCATGTGTGTCTTCCCGTCAGTGTTACAAGTGTGTGTGTGGGGGGGAATTAAAGTAAAAATTTAAGTAATTAAGACTTGATATAATTTCTTACAGATTACTCCACTATCCCCAGTTTTTTTGTTTTAAATAATATCAAAAGGCTTTTGGGCCGAAGCCGGTTTGGCTCAGTGGTAGAGCATCGGTCTGCAGACTGAAAGGTCCCAAGTTCGATTCTGGTCAAGGGCATGTACATTGGTTGCGGGCACATCTATGGTGGGGGGTGTGCAAGAGGCAACTGGTTGATGTTTCTAGCTCTCTATCCCTCTCCCTTCCTCTCTGTAAAAAAATCAATAAATATATATATATATATATATATATATATATATATATATATATATATTTAAAAAAAAGACTTTTAGAAATTCTGCAATGCAGTCTTGATAGCTTTTTAAATTTTTTTTTAAAAAATATACTTAATTGATTTTACATAGAGAGGAATTGAGAAGGATAGAGTTTTAGAAACGTCGATGAGAGAGAAACATTGACCAGCTGCCTCTTGTACACTCCACTGGGAATGTGCCCGCAACCAAGTACATGCCCTTGACCGGAATCGAACTTGGGACCTTTCAGTCCAAAGACCAATGCTCTATCCACTGAGCCAAACAGGTTTTGGCTTGATAGCTTAAAAAAAAAAATATATATATATATACACATATATATATGTATGTATATATATGTATATATATATTTTTTAATATATATATTTTATTGATTTTTAACAGAGAGAAAGGGAGATAGATAGAGAGCTAGAAACATCGATGAGAGAGAAACATCGACCAGCTGCCTCTTGCACACCCCCTACCGGAAATGTGCCTGCAACCAAGGTACATGCCCTTGACCAGAATCGAACCTGGGACCTTTGAGTCCACAGACCGACGCTCTACCACTGAGCCAAACCGGCTTCGGCATATATATATTTTTTTATTTTATTGATTTTTTACAGAGAGGAAGGGAGAGGGATAGAAAGCCAGAAACATTGATAAGAGACAAACATCGACCAGCTGCCTCTTGCACACCCCACACTGTGGATGTGCCCGCAACCAATGTACATGCCCCTGACCGGAATCGAACCCGGGACCTTTCAGTCCGCAGACTGACGCTCTACCACTGAGCCAAACCGGCTTCGGCTTGATTATATATTTAAAAACTAATTTATTAAGTAACTAAAGTAGGCATCTTTTTAAAAATATATTTTATTGATTTTTTACAGAGAGGAAGGGAGAGGGATAGAGAGTTAGAAACATTGATCAGTTGCCTCCTGCACACTCCCTACTGGGTATGTGCCTGCAACCAAGGTACATGCCCTTGGCCAGAATCGAACCTGGGATATTTGAGCTCTATCCACTGAGCCCAACCGCTTAGGGCTAAAGTAGGCATCTTTTTAGAAAAAGTAAAGGAAGCACATTTATGCGTTTGAGGCACAGATGGCGCCATCCCCCAGCCTATCTGAAGTGCAGGCTGCCAGGGCTTTTTGTCTTTTAAAACTTCCCTGCTGAGTGATCTGCCTTCACTTAAGAAAGATTGGCAACTCTGATTGCCATCCCTTAGAGGTTAAAACTTTATAATATTTAAAATATATGTAAATAAATAAAATATATTTATTAATTTTTATTTGATAAAGTTTTCCATGTGACTTCAAGTATATAGAATTGGCCTAATTAAAAAAAAATATTTCTTTTAAGAAGAGAGAATAAATTCTTGAGTCACTCCAGGGCCCTTGGAATACTTCAAAAGCCATATCTTGGTTAAACTCTTGAAATTTAACTGGGAAAGACCATCAAATATATATATTTATATTTCCAAAGATTATATTATGTACTTTTTATAATTATTCTAAAAGATATCAAGTACATTTAAACTGTTTTTTATATTAAAAATTTGGTTGAAACCACAGAATTAATCCTCTTTTTTAATTAGACTATATAAAATATTATACTGTAGCCGAAACCAGTTTGGCTCAGTGGTAGAGCATCGGTCTGCGAACTGAAAGGTCCCGGGTTCGATTCCAGTCAAGGGCATGTACGTTGGTTGCAGGCACATCCCCAGTGTGGGGTGTGCAGGAGGCGGCTGGTCAGTGTTTCTCTCTCATCGATGTTTTTGGCTCTCTATCTCTCTCCCTTCCTCTCTGTAAAAAAAAAAAGAGAGAGAAAGAGAGAGAGAGAGAGAGACTATGGTAGCAATCACTGCAGCAACTCTCACCATTAAAAAAAAGTATATAAGCAGCCAGGCCTGGAGCAGCAGCAGCCAGGCCCGGAGCAGCCAAGCCCAAAGCAGCCAAGCCCGGAGCAGAGCAGCCAGGCTCAGAGCAGCAGCAGCCAGGCCCGGAGCAGCCAGACCCGGAGTGTTGTGGGGTTGAACCCTGGGTTCAAAATGAAAGGAAAGAAGGAGCAATGCAGCCAATTCGGGTGCCAGAGTGTTATGTCCATCATCACAATGGACTCAGAGAAGCTCCTGTGTCCCTTCACCCAAAGGGACTGAGAGTTGCCCAAAGGACAGCAAAGTGGGAGAAGTAAACTGAAGGCTATGCAAGGGACTGAGGTGCCAGCATGGTCATGGGAAGAAATTAAAGACTGAAGTGGAAGCTACTTCTTTAATCATGTTCCTGCTCATCCGTTAGCTTCCAGTCTTCTGTAAAGTCTGTGCAGCAAGTCCAAGGACTCTGAGTAAATCTACACCACAACAAAAGAGACTCCCTGGTGAGAGGATTAACAGCTCCACCCTCTCTAGCTGCCTTTGAACCTCTGGACTCCTGAAGTTGAGGATCCAGGGCCTTTTTAATTTTTACAGACTTTTGGTCCCCAATACGATTTAGGAATTTTACAATTTGAACAGGAACCCACATAGTTAAATATGACAATGGCATTCTTCCCTTGAGCCTGATTTGAAAAAGTAACTTTCGACGTTTTAAGTTCTTTATAATTTTGCCTTTTAACCAAATTCTTCCCCATATGGCCTGGCTTGAAACAAAAGATGTCCTTGCCCTCTTTGGATCTCGACTTCCAAAGCTGGTATGAGCTTTACATGCAGTGGATGTCCCCACCAAATTTACCAGTGAACCCACACTTACCGGTGATTAACTTCTTTTATTTGCTCTGGCGAATCTTCTTCTCCAGATGTCCTTGTCTCAGGCACCATAAATGCTAGGGTCTTCCAGCATTAAGGGTTCAGGAATCTGGAGAAGGGCTGCACACACATAAATGAGTAGAGAGACTAGAAATATAAATTTGGAAGACATGGGGGAACCAGGGGAGGCTCCACTTTCTAGTGAAGTGGGCTCTCTGAATCTCCAGACCATATCCTTTTTATTAACACATTTTCCCCTGCAGCACAGCAAAAATACATATCAAAGGTAAGGTTTGGTAAACAGTAAAGGATTATCAGGTTAGGGGAATTGCCTTTGGCTGTTCCAGCAGCAGGTGACAATATGCAGATTTTTCAGCCCTGCTGAAAGAGTCCATTCAACCTTTTGAGACTTCTCATATTTATTATGACCCACTGGACTTAGCCTCCAGCACCTACATAATATATATACCTGTTAGCTTTTTAAGTCCTCATCAGAGGATATTTTTCTATTGACTTTTAGAGAGGGTGGGAGGGAGGGGGAGAGATAGAGAGAAGCATCAATGTAAGAGAGACATATCGATTGGTTGCCTCCCTTACCTGCCCCAACCAGGACCAGGGATTGAGCCTGCAACCAAGGTACATGCCCTTGAACAGAATCAGACGTGGGACCCTTCAGTCCACAGGTCAATGTTCTGAGCCAAACAGGCAAGGGCCATCCTTTAGCTTTTTATTACAGTTGATTCACACAGAAAAATGCACCAATTGCATATATCCATGCCTCAGCAACAATATCAAGGACACATCATTACCACCTAGAAGTCCCTCTGCAGGTCACTAGCAGTCACTATCACTCCACAAAGTGTAACCACAACCTTGATTTTCTTAGATTACTTTTGCCTGTTTGTGTATTTTGTGACTTCTTTTACTCTCCTTATGTTTGTGAGATTCAATCTGGTTGCATATCATGATGGTTGGTGCATTCTCATTGCTATATGTTGGGAGCCGAGTCCCCTACCGACCTGAGAATCGGGGGATGGAGCAAGGATAGGTAGCCCTGCCTGCTCTCCCCTAGAAGTCAGGTCACTTGGGGATGTGGCAAGCAACAGTGTCCTTTGTTCTGCTGTGCGTGCAAGATTGGAATCTGCAAACATGTCCTTGATTTAACATAGCAGAGCACAGGCGGATGAACTTTTCCGGCTGGATATCTTCCTGTGTAGGTCTTAAGGAACTGGCACGTAGCATCATGTCCTTGGAGAAGGCCATTTAGAGGAACGCCCAGCTTTAGTGTATAAAAGAGATTGCGCCCTTAGTAAACTTGCTGCTGCAGTGCATCGAGCATTCCAGCCCTCCTGAAGCCCCGCTGTTCCTGTCTTTTCTTTTTCTCAGCCATACCTTCAGGACCTGTAATACCGGCTGGTTCCGGTAGCTATCAAATAGTCCATTGTCTAACTATACCACAGTTTATTTATACAGTTATACAGTTGTGCATTAGATATAGTCTTTGGTATGCATGGACTGTTAGGGTCACGAGAGGAGGAACTCATGAGGCCAAATTGGTAAGGGATTATAAGTTTTTTAGAGGCCTGGTGCACAAATTTGTGCACCAGTGGGGTCCCTTATCTTGGCCTGCAAAGATCAGTGGACCTCTGCACTGCCACAGCCCAGCCTTACCCACCAGTTCATCGGGCTCTAGCCCACTGGCTGCCTTGATCCCGCACAGCACAAAGTAGTGCGCGAAGCTGCAGGTGGTTGGGGAGGAGTCACAGGAGGAGTGTCCGCGGGAGAGGCTCATGCCTCTGGTGCAGCTGAGCTCCCCATGAGCTGGGCAGTGGCTTCTGGTGCCCGTCTGTCAGCTGAGTACACTCTACTGTGGGATCACACTGACCACTAGGGGGCAGCTCCTGCATTGAGTGTCTGCCCCATTGTGGTCAGTGTGCCTCATAGCTATCAGATGGTCCACTGATGATCCAGTTGCTTAGACTTTTATATATATAGACTAGAGGCCCAGTGCATGAAATTCGTACACTGGGGGTGGGGGTCTCTCAGTCCAGCCTGCACCCTCTCACAGTCTGGGACCCCGTGCTCCTTACCACCCACCTTCTCACTCCTTACTGCTTGGCTTGCTGCTGCAGAAGAGTGAGAGGCTCCCACCGCTGTGCTGGCCAGTGTAAGCCTGGCTTCTGGCTGAGCAGTGCTCCCCCTCTGGGAGCGCACTGACCACGATGGGGCAGCTCCTGTGTTGAGAGTCTGCCCCTTGGCGGTCAGTGTGCATCATAGTGACTGGTCATTCGGTAGTTCCACCATGGTGGCTTAGGCTTTTATTATATATAATAGATGGAACTACCTGACAGTCAATGTGCCCCCTTGAGGAGTCTGGGATTGCGAGAGGGCACAGGGCAGGCCAAGGAACCCCACCAGTGCAGGATCAGGGCTGGGAAGGGATGCACGAGGTTGGCCAGCCAGGGAGGGGTGCAGGAGGGCTCCAGGGCGTGTCTAGCCCGTCTTGCTCAGTCCCGATCCGTCAGACCCCAGCAGCAAGCTAACCTACTGGTCAGAACATCTGCCCTCTGGTGGTCAGTGCATGTCATAGTGAGTGGTTGAGCAGCTTTAGCATATCATTAGCATATTATGCTTTGATTGGTTGAACAGAAGACCAGATGACCAGACACTTAGCATATTGGGCTTTTATTATATAGAATTAGGTCATCTGGAGACCAGCTGGGCTGAGCTCCAAAATGGTGCCAGCACCTCCAAAGATGGGGAGCCAGTGGTTTTTAAAGGACTCTAGACAGGCTGTCTCTGGGTGGAGAGTTCTCTGTGCAGGTCTGGATCCTGGGGAACTCTGGAGGGGAGAGATAATGGTCTTAGCACATGAATGTGGTCTAAACAAAAGGGAATGTCCATTGTGAAATGCTCTAAAGGTCTGTTCCCAGAGGAGGGGATATTGATTCAATTATTTGATCAGACTTAACATAGACTATTTTACAAAAATAAAATTAAGAAAAGAAGTAGACTTTAAGAACTGTAGGCCACTTGAAGATCTGTGTTGAGAGCACTGCCCGGGGCAAAGGGAGATTTTCCAGGCCATTGCTGCTCTCCTCCGTGAGTAATAATGTGCCCTCAGAGGCTGTGGGGGAGGTCTGTGGCAGGCCAGGCAGCCCCGAGGAAGGCCGTTTTAAATAATTTCCGAGGTGTCGACTGTGTGTACAGTCTCATGCTGGGGTCCATGGAGACCTCCCTGGAGACAGTTCCTCCCCCATGGCGGGCGTCTCAGCGTGGAGGAGAAAGGCTTCCAAACTGGCCGGACCCTCTGCGCAGGCTCAGTGTGGAGCGGCTTCTGAGTCCTCAGCTGTGGGCCAGGGGTCAGAGGGCGAGGAGCCGCCTTTGGAGAGGCTGGGACCGGGCCTTTCCCCATCAGGCAGAAAGGCAGTGGCCATTTCCACAGGCAGACTTGCAATTAAGCCTTATCACCCCAACTTCCCATCCTCTCCAGAGCCTGTGTCACTCAGAGCAGGGCGTGCAGGCCTTTATCTGGGCTCCGCTTCCTCCCGGGCACCAGAGAACTTGGAAGGCTCTCCCATGGCGGTCTCATTCCTCCTCCTCCTCCTCCCCCTCCTCCGGGGGCCTCCGCAGGCTGCTGCAGGTAAAGGCAGGCGGTGGGGATCCTGCAAGGCCGCCATTTCTCCTTAGGGCCCAGGGGAGGCATCGGATTCAAGAAGGTAGATTTTGCCCAATTGACCTCCCCCTGTCTCTAATACTGGGATGGACTCAGAGACCCTGAGGATGCAGATCAGGTACAGTTTCCTTTAGAAAATAAGAATCGGTGAGTAAACGCTTCCAGAAAAGGAAAAATATTATATGAGGAAGAGATACGGGTGTTTACCAACTATTCCCACCTTTTCTCTCTTGCCCTCAGATTCCCTCACTCATTTGGGGAGAGGGGAGGAAAGCGCCACCCTCATCTCTCCACCTGTTTTTGTAGCCGTCCCGTGAGAAGTGTGCTTGTAGCCGGACCAGTGCTGGGAGGCCTCAGAAAGGAAGGAAGCCAGGGGTTGGAGGTTGAGTTGGGGCGGGAGAGGGGGTTGATCTCATGGGGGTATCTGGCCTCACACAAGCCCCTCCCTACAGACAACATCCAGGCCCTCTATGTGGCCTTGGGGGAAGCAGTGGAACTGCCGTGTCCCTCGCCGCCCACCCTGAACGGGGACGAGAACTTGTCCTGGCTGCGCAGCCTCGCCTCAGGCTCCTCCACCGCCCTGGTGGCCCGAACCCCAGTGGCCGGGCCAGCCCCAGGCCCTGGGAGGCCCGGAAGGGAATCCAGCCTCAAACTGCTGGGGAACTACTCTCTGTGGCTGGAAGGGGCCAAGGAGGGAGACGCCGGGCGGTACTGGTGCACGGTGCTGGGTCAGCACCACAGATACCAGAACTGGAGGGTGTATGATGTCTTCGTGCTCAAAGGTGAGTGGGGCATGAGACCACGGCCACTGGGAGAAGGGGGAGCCTGAGCAAGGAACTGAGGGGTCCCTCTCTCCCACAGGATCCCAGTTATCTGCAAAGGCTGCAGATGGAGCCGCCTGCTCTGTCCTTCTGTGCACTGTGGTCCCCGCCAGGCGCCTGGACTCTGTGGCCTGGCTGGAGGGGAAGGGTCCCGTGAGGGGCCATGTGCAGGCCTTCTGGGGCGAGGGGGCTGCTCTGCTCTTGGTGTGTCCTGGGGAGGGGCTTCCTGAGGCCAGGGCCCGCAGACCAAGGCTCGTCCGCTGCGTCGTGCCTCAGCACAAGGGGCTCAGCTTCAGCCTGGCAGGTAACGGGGGCCGGGACGGGGTCTGGGAAGGGGCTGCTTCCGGCACCCCGCCCCACGGAGAGGCGGGCAGGGGGGGGCGGTTCGGTGGAGCGGACCACGCTGCGGAGGAGGCTCTTTCTCCTGAGCCTGAGACAGAGGAGGGGCTGCGTAAGCCGGCTTTCTGGAATAGACACTAGCCCAGCGGGAGGAGGAGCATTCTGTGGAATTGTTTAGAATAGGCTAGCCTGTGCTTTGTGTGAAATCTTCCAGAGCGGAGAGGAAGAAATAGAAAAGACATATGTGCTGATGGTATAATGGCCCACTGATAGGAAAGGCAGGAGAGAAAAATTATTGTTTTACCAGAGAAAGTCCCTAACCCAAAGAAAGGATACTATTGGGTGGGGATAACCCCTTCACAAGCAGAGGGGGAGCATGGCCACCATTTCAATCGGCAAAGGCCAGCACTGGCCTTTCTGCCCCTGCACCTGCGCATCGCGGGCGGGCGGGCGGGCGGGTGGTGGCGTGAGTGACTGGAAGGAGGGGTGCAGGACGGCGTCTGATGGAGTCGCTGTCTGTGTGGCTGGGTGTGGGAGGCAGTGCCTTTCCCGCCCATGCTGGCTCACGGGGTGGGGTGAGCGACCTAGAAAGGGGCGAAGTGGGGGGACACGGGGACAGGGAAACAGGAAGTAAGTCCTCTTTTGGGAGAGCCCACCAGTCGCTGAGGGGAGCCTCTCTCTGGGACGCGGGACAGACCCCTCACCGCCTTATCGTCTTCCCTATGCAGCCCCCACGGATGCCTCCCCTGCCCTCTGTGCCCCTTCCGAGGGCTGGGACGTGCGCTGGCTCCTGACGCTGCTGTTCGCCGCGGGCCAGGCCTGCGCCATCCTGGTCCTCAGCATCGCGCTCTGGAGGCGGCGGGCCCAGGGGGCTCCGTGCAGAGGTGAGGGCCCACTTCCCCGCAGAGAGCACTGCCTTTGTGCCCCATCTTCTCCAGGGGAGGGGACTCGGCTCTGGGCTCTCGGTGACTGCCGGCCTCACTCCCTGTGGCTCCTTCTCCCCAGAGGCCTCGGTTCCTCAGTTCAAACCTGAAATCCAGGTCTATGAGAACATCCACCTGGCCCGTCTGAGGTGAGGAACGGCGAGGGCCGAGGCTTCAGTCCCGAGGGGGGGGGCTGAGTCCTGTTCCTGAGGGGCAGGGATGGAAGTGTCCTTAACCTGTCTTTCTGTTTCACAAAACCCACAGCCCGCCTGCCCCCAAGGCCAGATGACCTCGGGGCACCTGCTGGAGAGTGGCCGCCGCTCCTGGCCACGTGGCACCGAACAGTCCCCTGAGCATCTCGGCAGGAGGGCTGGTCTCCCCAGGCCAGCTGTGCGCGTTGGGGGGGGGGCGGGGAGGAAAGGAGAGTCATTATTTTGTGATGTCACCTTTGAAAAAGTGTGGTCTGCCGAAACTGGTGTGGCTCTGTGGTAGAGCGTCGGCCTGAGGACTGAAAGGTCCCAGGTTCTATTCCGGTCAAGGGCATGTGCCTTGGTTGCATGTGGGGTTGTACAGGAGGCAGCGGGTTGATGTTTCTCTCTCATTGATGTTTCTAACTCTCTATCTCTAACTCTCCCTTCCTCTCTGTAAAAAAATCAATAAAATCAATATTAAAAAAAAAAAAAAAAGAAAGAAGAGAAAGGAAAAGAAAAGTGTGGTCTTCTATCTGTAGCAGCCAGCGGAGAGTGGCCCTGAACCACAGGCATGGGGCTCGGGGAGCCTGGTGCAGCTGGCAGTGCAGCTGGCAGGGGTGAGGAGGGAGGGTGGGCAGAGAGGAGACAGGAATCCAGGGCCTTGAGCCGGAGGGCAAATGGGGGGAACTGAGGAGGAGAGAAGGGAGGAGACTCAAGTCAGACCCAGGTGAACCGGTCAGAGGCAGGGAAAATGGGAGCCACGGCAGGAGGCCTGAGGCAGGGAGATGGGGAGGGGCCCCAAGCTGCCTCTGAACGAAGCTGGCAGCTCCATCGCCACGAAGCAGAGGAGCCTGAGAGAACAGCACCTTCACTCGGACCCCAGCCGCCCTCAGATGGAAGGGGAGGAGCCGGTCCATATGGGGCCCATGCTCGCCCCCCGCCCCCCTGCCCCCCCTTATCCTGGACACTCCATCGTGGCATCCGGAGTGGCGAGCCGCTATGTCACCCTGACATCCGGGATCCCAGAGTCACACACTATCTCCCCGGGCAGGCGTGTCCGCGGGAGAGGCGCCGGGCGGGCTGTCGGGAGCGCGGCCGGTGTGGCTGGTGAGCCGGCGCAGGGGCGCTCCAGCTCGTCCGCGCGGTCAGGCAGGTGAGCGGGCCTCCCCGCACCCGCACAGGCAGCTCCTCCAGCGCAGCACTGCCTGCTGGAGCCCGGCCGGCTGGGACAGGCTTCTTGGGCGTCTGGCCTGAGGCCTCCCCTCTGCAGTGGCCTCAGCTGTCTGTCGGCAGAAGGAGGCTCGAGTGGCAGACAGAGAACAGGTGACAGAGTTCGGGTTCCAGCCCAGCACAACCACCAAGAGCTAGTTTGCTTTAGAGAACACACTCACACACACACACACACACACACGCACACACTCAAACATGCACACCTGCAAACACACACACACACACACACACACACACACACACACACACACACGGCAGTGTTACCACGCCCCTTTAGCACTTTATTAAATTTGCCCTCCATCATTCCCCGTGCCCTCCTTCCTAAGTTCCTGACCTACCAAATGCACCCTTCCTAGCAAGACAGCCTCCTCTCCATGCACGCCCCTCCGTCCCGGCCTGGGACCCACAGCTCCACCAACCACCTGCCCCGCCAGAGGCCTGGGCTGGGGAGGGCGTCAGCCTGGGCGCTAAAAAAGACAAAGTCCCAGGACAGTAATCTTATGAGCTGGGCAGGGCGGGGGTGGGGTGGGGTGGAGCAGTGCCCAGGGGGTCCACCCTCCGAGGGGCTCCTCAAAGGCCTTGGCCAGGGAGCGGGCCTGCCCGTCACGTGGGGTCCTCGGCCAGGGCTCCGGGCCGCGGAGCAGGGAGGGTGTCCTGGCTGAGGGCCGGGCGGGGAGGCTAGTGCAGGAGGTGGCCCCCGCAGGTGAGGCTGGCCGCGAGGAGCAGGGTGGGGACCAGGGGCCGGGGGGGCCGCTGCGGGGCCGGGGCCGCGTTGCACAGGTTCCGCTCGCAGCAATGGTGCTGCAGCGCGTAGGAGCGTGACCAGTAGGTGGCCTGGCCGGGCAGCGCGCACTGGGCTCTGGGGAGGCAGCCTTTCCGCTGGATGACCTCGCTCTGCTCTGTGGGAGGCAGGGGCTCCGCTGAGGCTGGCAGGACGGAGGGACGGAGGGCGGGCAGCAGGGAGGGCAGGATGGAGGTGGGAGGGCAGTAGGGAGGGCAGGACGGGGGAGGGAGGGCAGCAGGGAGGGCAGGATGGAGGAGGGAGGGCAGGACGGGGGAGGGAGGGCAGCAGGGAGGGCAGGATGGAGGAGGGAGGGCAGGACGGGGGAGGGAGGGCAGCAGGGAGGCAGGATGGGGGAGGGAGGGCAGGATGGAGGAGGGAGGGCAGGACGGGGGAGGGAGGGCAGCAGGGAGGCAGAATGGGGGCCTGGGGAACCGCCCGGAGCAGGGCCTTTGGACTGAGCCTACCTGAGGTGCCGATGCTGACGCCACAAGCCTCATCGTCCTGACACTCGGTGGGAACGGGGTAGCAGGGTTTGGCGAAGCTGCAGGTGTAACAGCGGAGCCGCCCCTGGGCCGGGGCGGGGAGACCTGCTGGGAGGAGACGCGCAGGCCCATGAGAGGCTGAGCCAGGACACCAGACGGGGCCCCCGAGTGAGGGCCCCCCCCCGGAGTGAGGGCCCCGGAGTGAGGGCCCCGGAGTGAGGGCCCCGGAGTGAGGGTCCCGGAGTGAGGCCCCCGGAGTGAGGGCCCCGGAGCGAGGGCCCCCCGGAGTGAGGGCCCCAGAATGAGGGCCCCGGAGTGAGGGCCCCGGAGTGAGGGCCCCGGAGTGAGGGCCCCGGAGCGAGGGCCCCCCGGAGTGAGGCCCCCGGAGTGAGGGCCCTGGAGTGAGGGCCCCCGGAGTGAGGGTCCCGGAGTGAGGGTCCCGGAGTGAGGGCCCGGAGTGAGGGCCCCGGAGTGAGGGACCCCGAGTGAGGGCCCCGGAGTGAGGGCCCCGGAGCGAGGGCCCCCCGGAGTGAGGGCCCCGGAATGAGGGCCCCGGAGTGAGGGCCCCGGAGTGAGGGCCCCGGAGTGAGGGGCCCGGAGTGAGGCCCCCCCAGAGTGAGGGCCCCGGAGTGAGGGCCCCGGAGTGAGGGCCCCGGAGTGAGGGTCCCGGAGTGAGGCCCCCGGAGTGAGGGCCCCGGAGCGAGGGCCCCCCGGAGTGAGGGCCCCGGAATGAGGGCCCCGGAGTGAGGGCCCCGGAGTGAGGGCCCCGGAGTGAGGGCCCCGGAGCGAGGGCCCCCCGGAGTGAGGCCCCCGGAGTGAGGGCCCCGGAGTGAGGGCCCCGGAGTGAGGGCCCCGGAGTGAGGGACCCCGAGTGAGGGCCCCGGAGTGAGGGCCCCGGAATGAGGGCCCCCGGAGTGAGGGTCCCGGAGTGAGGGTCCCGGAGTGAGGGCCCGGAGTGAGGGCCCCGGAGTGAGGGACCCCGAGTCAGGGCCCCGGAGTGAGGGGCCCCGAGTGAGGGCCCCGGAGTGAGGGCCCCGGAGTGAGGGCCCCCGAGTGAGGGCCCCGGAGTGAGGGCCCCGGAGTGAGGGCCCCGGAGTGAGGCCCCGGAGTGAGGGCCCGGAGTGAGGCCCCCGGAGTGAGGGCCCCGGAGTGAGGGCCCCCCCGGAGTGAGGGCCCCCCCCGGAGTGAGGGCCCCCCCCGGAGTGAGGGCCCCCCCGGAGTGAGGGCCCCGGAGTGAGGCCCCCCGGAGTGAGGGCCCGGAGTGAGGCGCCCCGGAGTGAGGGCCCCGGAGTGAGGGCCCCCCCCGGAGTGAGGGCCCCGGAGTGAGGGCCCCGGAGTGAGGGACCCGGAGTGAGGGCCCCGGAGTGAGGCCCCCCCCGAAGTGAGGGCCCCGGAGTGAGGGCCTGGAGTGAGGCCCCCGGAGTGAGGGCCCCCCGGAGTGAGGCCCCCGGAGTGAGGGCCCCCCGGAGTGAGGGTCCCGGAGTGAGGGTCCCAGAGTGAGGGCCCCGGAGTGAGGCCCCCGGAGTGAGGGCCCCGGAGTGAGGGTCCCGGAGTGAGGGCCCCGGAGTGAGGCCCCCGGAGTGAGGGCCCCGGAGTGAGGGTCCCGGAGTGAGGGCCCCGGAGTGAGGGTCCCGGAGTGAGGGCCCCGGAGTGAGGCCCCCGGAGTGAGGGCCCCGGAGTGAGGGTCCCGGAGTGAGGGCCCCGGAGTGAGGGTCCCGGAGTGAGGGCCCCGGAGTGAGGCCCCCGGAGTGAGGGCCCCGGAGTGAGGCCCCCGGAGTGAGGGCCCCGGAGTGAGGGTCCCGGAGTGAGGCCCCCGGAGTGAGGGCCCCGGAGTGAGGGCCTGGAGTGAGGCCCCCGGAGTGAGGGCCCCGGAGTGAGGGGCCTGGAGTGAGGGCCCCGGAGTGAGGGCCCCAGAGTGAGGGCCCCGGAGTGAGGGCCCTGGAGTGAGGGCCCCGGAGTGAGGGCCCCCCCGGAGTGAGGTGCCCGGAGTGAGGCCCCCGGAGTGAGGGCCCCGGAGTGAGGGCCCCGGAGTGAGGGGCCTGGAGTGAGGCCCCCGGAGTGAGGGCCCCCCGGAGTGAGGCCCCCGGAATGAGGGCCCCCCGGAGTGAGGGTCCCGGAGTGAGGGCCCCGGAGTGAGGGCCTGGAGTGAGGCCCCCGGAGTGAGGGCCCCGGAGTGAGGGGCCCGGAGTGAGGGCCCCGGAATGAGGGCCCCGGAGTGAGGGCCCCGGAGTGAGGGCCCCGGAGTGAGGGCCCCCCGGAGTGAGGGTCCCCCCCAGAGTGAGGGCCCCGGAGTGAGGGCCCCGGAGTGAGGGCCCCGGAGTGAGGGTCCCGGAGTGAGGGCCCCGGAGTGAGGCCCCCGGAGTGAGGGCCCCGGAGTGAGGGTCCCGGAGTGAGGGCCCCGGAGTGAGGCCCCCGGAGTGAGGGCCCCGGAGTGAGGGTCCCGGAGTGAGGGCCCCCGAGTGAGGCCCCCGGAGTGAGGGCCCCGGAGTGAGGGCCCCGGAGTGAGGGCCCCGGAGTGAGGGCCTGGAGTGAGGCCCCCGGAGTGAGGGCCCCGGAGTGAGGGGCCTGGAGTGAGGGCCCGGAGTGAGGACCCCAGAATGAGGGCCCCGGAGTGAGGGCCCCGGAGTGAGGGCCCCGGAGTGAGGGGCCCGGAGTGAGGGCCCCGGAGTGAGGGCCCCAGAGTGAGGGCCCCCCCGGAGTGAGGTGCCCGGAGTGAGGCCCCCGGAGTGAGGGCCCCGGAGTGAGGGCCCCGGAGTGAGGGACCCGGAGTGAGGGCCCCGGAGTGAGGCCCCCGGAGTGAGGGCCCCAGAGTGAGGGCCCCCCCGGAGTGAGGGGCCCGGAGTGAGGCCCCCGGAGTGAGGGCCCCCCCTGGAGTGAGGGCCCCCCCAGAGTGAGGGCCCCGGAGTGAGGGCCTTTCCTGGAGTGAGGGCCCCGGAGTGAGGGCCCCCCCAGAGTGAGGGCCCCGGAGTGAGGCTCCCCCGGAGTGAGGCCCCCCCGGAGTGAGGCCCCCCCAGAGTGAGGGCCCCGGAGTGAGGCCCCCCCGGAGTGAGGGCCCCCCGGAGTGAGGGCCCCGAAGTGAGGGGCCTGGAGTGAGGGCCCCGGAGTGAGGGCCCCGGAGTGAGGGGCCCGGAGTGAGGCCCCCCCAGAGTGAGGGCCCCGGAGTGAGGCCCCCCGGAGTGAGGGCCCCCCCCGGAGTGAGGGCCCCGGAGTGAGGGCCCCCCCCAGAGTGAGGGCCCCCCCCCGGAGTGAGGGCCCCGGAGTGAGGGACCCGGAGTGAGGGCCCCCCCCGGAGTGAGGGCCCCGGAGTGAGGGCCCCGGAGTGAGGGGCCTGGAGTGAGGGCCCCGGAGTGAGGGCCCCGGAGTGAGGGGCCCGGAGTGAGGCCCCCCCAGAGTGAGGGCCCCGGAGTGAGGGCCCCGGAGTGAGGGGCCTGGAGTGAGGGCCCCCCGGAGTGAGGGCCCCGGAGTGAGGGCCCCGGAGTGAGGGGCCGTGAGTGGGAGAGGGAAGCGCTGAAGGGGCAGGAGGGCCACAGAAGTGGGGAAGGAGACACAGCCCGGGCAGGAGACGGGGAAAGAGACAGACACAGACGTGAACAGAAGCCGAGAGAGCCAGATGAAGGGAGAGAACGACAGGCGCCAGGTGGGAGGCGGCCATAGGTTAGCGATGGTGCCAAAGAGGTGAAAACACGAGCTGCCGTTCACCAAGGAGCCGGCGAAGAAGCAAGAGGTGAGACGGGCCGGGAGACAGGCAGGGGGAGAGGCCGTCCACCTCCAGTGCCTTCCGAGGGCCTGGGCAGGCTGCCATCCCGGCAGCCCCTCTCTAACGCTCCTAAACTCTCCGTGGCTCTCTCAGACCTCCCAGCTCAGGCTCTTCCGTGAACCTGCCCTGCTGCTCCCCGCCCTGCCCCAGCGGACCCCCAGCCTTCCCTTACCCAGCGCCCCACCGAAGATCAGGATGCAGAGGGCGGCGCTGGAGGGGCCCATGGCTGGTCAGGGCCCAGGAGTCCGGGCGAATGTGACTGCACCTGAGTGCCCCAGGCTGAGAGCAGGAGCATCTGCCACTGGGAGGGACCAGTAACAAACACACCTAGGCTGGGAGCGGGCGGGACCAGCCACATTCCCCAGCCTGAGCAGCGCCCTCTGCTCCGCACCCACACCTCCGCCCTGAGAAGCCTGTTCTCTCAGGCACTCTGAGCTCCGGAGTGTCTGACACCTTCCCTTCTCCCCCACACCCCCCAGCCCCTCCGCCCCAGCCCCTCCCTGCCCACTCACCGCCCCCCCCCCTCCCGCCCTTGCTGAAGCTGTTGGAGAGTTGTAGGAGCGTTAGAAAGCTATCTCTCAGCTCTTCTCCTGGTCTCAGCTTCCTCTTTCCCCGTCTGGGCATTAATGCTCTGGGTCACCCTACAAACAGCCGTGGCCCAAATCTGGTTTCTTTGTTTTTAAAAAAAATATATTTTATTGAATTTTTACAGAGAGGAAGAGAGAGGGATAGAGAGTTAGAAAGATCGATGAGAGAGAAGCATCGATCAGCTGCCCCTTACACACCCCCTACTGGGGATGTGCCTGCAACCAAGGTACATGCCCTTGACCAGAATCGAACTGGGGACCTTTCAGTCTGCAGGCCGACGCTCTATCCACTGAGCCCCACCGGTTTTGGCCCAGATCCGTTTAAGTGTGGGATCAACAATCTCCTTCCACCACCAACACAAACCCAGCTGCTTAAGGGAGGGCCCCACGCAACTCAGGTTCCTTCACGCCCAACATCCCGTCCCACACCATCTCTCCCGGCTTTACCGCCTGAGCTGCGGGTGAGGTCAGAGGCCTGGTGTGTTTCCACGTGGTAGGTCAGTGCGGGGGCCAGAAAGACCAGGGGGGAATAGGGTTTGGGCAGGGGCGGAGTCGGGGAGACAGGGGTTTGAGAGGCCGGGCAGGGGACCGCCATCTGCAGACTCGGGCGGGCGGGACTGTCTCAGGACAGGACTGGGTGGGGCGGGCGTGGAGGTGCTGCTCTGCTCAGAGCAGCAGGGTTGGGGTGCTGGGGCATTGGAACTGGGGCTTTCCTGTCAGGCCCTCTTCAGCTCTCAAAGGTTACTGACGACCCCAAGAGCCTTCTTAGTGAGCTATAGTAACATTTACTCTCTTAGAAATCAGAACAGAACATTTTAAATAGGTTCCCTAAACATTAAAACAATGACCCACTACATGGAAGCCTAACACATTTTTGTGAAAAAGCACTTCTTTCCCGAGAAAGATGGCTGGGCTTTCGTCTCCCCCACACTCAGCCTGCTGGCTGCCGCTGGCTGCCCGGCGCCTCCACAGTGGGGCCGTGGGCAGGAAGGCGCGCTGACCCGGGCAGACACATGCCCCCTTGTGGGGCTGCCGGGGTGAGAAGGCAGCCAAGGCCCCTGCTGCACAGGCGGGTCGCCCTCTGCCCAGGCCAGGCCTCCTCTTGACTGCAGTGCCCCCGGCAGAGCCGAGCCTGACCGCCTGCGGCGAGGGCCCCTGCGCATTGCGCTGGCAAACCCCAACGAGCCCGGCAGAGCAAGCTGTCCGTGAACTGCGAGTCTGTCTCCCCCACCCCCCACCCCACCCCGCCCCGTGCTTTCCTGCTTGCAGACCTTCCAGGGTCAGGCTGAGTCTGAGCCCCTCAGGATCTCTGTCTGCTGTCCGTGTGTCCCACCTGCCCCTCTTTGCCCTCCAGAATCTCATAGGCCCACTCACTCACACGGTTAGAAACCTCAGTTTGGCTCAGTGGATAGAGCGTCTGTCTGCGAACTCAAGGGACCCGAGTTTGATTCTGGTCAAGGGCATGTACCTTGGCTGCGGACACATCCTCAGTGTGGGGTGTGCAGGAGGCAGCTGATTGATGTTTCTCTCTCATCAATGTTTCTAACTCTCTATCCCTCAAAAAGTCAATATATATACTTGGGGGTCAATATATTGCCCAGTATACAAAATTTGTGCACTCAGGGCAGGGGGTGCTCCAGCCTGGCCTGTGCCTGTCACAGTGTGGGAGCCCCACCATCGATTGCCCCAAAGAGGTAGGTCCTGCCCACCCACCCAGGGACCCTTGATGGATTGCCCCAAGGAGGTAGGCCGGAGCCAGGGGTCCTGCCTTCGTGCCGCATGGGGCTCTGGGACCCCCTGGCCTTGGCGTGCAGAGGCCTTTGCCGGGCCCCAGGCCTCCTGGTGATGGAGTGTGATGGCGTGACCCAAGTCCCCGATGCTGCAAGTCCCCGCTCACCCATGCCTTCTGCACACACAGCCTGTTGATCGGTCGTTATGTGCAACTAAAGGCCTGTTGCATGATATTTGTGCAAGAATAGGCCTTCCTGACCTAACTGGTTTGGCTCAGTGTAAAGAACGTCGGCCTGTGGACTGAAGGATCCCAGGTTCAATTCCGGTCAAGGGCATGTACCTTGGTTGCGGACACATCCCCAGTGGGGGGGGGGGGGTGCAAGAGGCAGCTGATGGATGTTTCTCTCATCGATGTTTCTGACTCTCTATCCCTCTCTCTTCTTCTCTGTAAAAAAAAAAATCAATAAAATATTCTTTAAAAAAAAAGGAAAAAAAAAAGATTAGGCCTTTCTTCCCCTGGCTTCACTCCCAGCTGCCCGGGAGCAGGCAAGTCCTCACTTCTGTCGGGAGCACCATTCCCGTACCCCCCCTGCCGCCAACCCTCCCCCTCATCACAGGCATCCCAACCCTCCTGGCTGCTCTATGCCTGCATATGCAAATTAACTCACCATCTTTGTTGGGTTATTTTGCATACTCATTCTGATTGGCTGTGGGCATAGCAGAGGTAGTGTCAATTTACATGCTTATCTGTTATTAGGTAAGATAAAAAACAAAACACCTCAGTCCCTTGAGAGCAAGGACCAAATATTAAACCAAAATTCAACTTTCCAGCATCAGCCAAGGAGCAGGGAGGAGTGTGTGCTTACATTTTTTATCTGAACTAATTTTAGATTGACAGAAAAGTTGTAAAAATGGCACATTCTGTATACCTGCATACCTTCCCCGCTTCCTCCAGTGTGCACAGCTCACAGGGCCAGAGTACATCTGCCCTTGCACACGCAGGGTCAGCGGTGCCACATCGGCTCAGTCAAAGTCTGTGTATAACTTGTGACTCTCCAAAAACGTACCTACAAGTGTCCCTTGGAGTCTGAGGGGGATTGTTTCCAGAACACAATCCCCACCCCTTGCCGATACCAAAACCCCCCACGCTCAAGTCCCTTTCAGAAAATGGCATCAAAAATAAATAATAAAATGGCATGGAACAACGCATAGTTGGCCCTGTTTTCAGTCCGCAGTTGGCTGGATCTGCAGATGTGGAACCCGGAAAAGGAGGACCAACTGTATATTTATGGGGGAGGGATCTTGATGTAAGTGTAAACCCTCATTGTTCAGGGGCCAACTGTACAAGGATCAAAACCAGCAAAGGCGCTGTGCAGCGCTTCTGCCTGCCTGCAGGCCTCCCTTGCTTTAGCCAGAGTCCCAGGGCGCATCCCAGAAGCCCACATTGCCCTGGGCTCTCGTGTCTTTAACCGCCCCAATTCCTGAGTCTTTGTCTTCCATGACCTTGAAACTTTTGAAGAGTCCTGGTAAGTTATTTTACTTTTAAAAAATATTTTTATTGATTTTAGAGAGAAAGGGAGAGGGAAGGAGAAATAGAAGCATCAATGATGAGAACCCTTGATCAGCTGCCTTCTGCACACCCCACACTGGGGATGGAGCCCACAACCCCGGCCTGTGCCCTGACTGGGAATGGAACCGTGGCCTCCTGGTTCATAGATCGATGCTCAACGGCTGAGCCATGTGGCTGGGTCTGGTAAGTTATTTCATAGGATGTCCCTCAATGTGGGATTATCTGGCATTTCCTCACATTTCGATTCTGAGCTCTTGGCAAGAACAGCACAGGGCGTCACCGGGGGCACGATGCCAGTGTGAGAACTCTGGTCACTGGTTTTAGGGAGGTGTTTCCTGAGGGAGCAGAGGATCCCTTCGTGCTCCTCGAAACCCCGTCTGTTCTGCCCGGAACGAAGGCAAGTCGTCCAGCCAGGAGGCTGACACCTCCGCCTCCGTCTCTCTCAGCCTCCGTGGCCACCAGCGGCCACCGTGCCACGGCCCGTCACTGCAATTGGGTGGAAACCAGGTTGGAGGACTCCCACGCCCGCAGGCTGCGGCGCTGAGGCCTGTGCAGCAGCGCTGTGGCGAGAGCTGTGCCCCCGCTGCGTCTTGGCCCCGCCAGACAGCGCCCGGCCTGGGTCTTGCCGGGACTCCGGAGAGGGGAGCAGGACTAGACGACCAGAAAGGAGCAAGGGAATGAAGGAGGTCTGAGGTGAGGAGACACACACTGCTCTGGGAGCCCGGAGCACTCTAGAGCTGACTGGAAAATTCCATCGCTTCTGTTGGTGGGAGGGCTGAAGGAGTTACATGACTGGTTTCAGGGTTATGGTGATGCACTCCTTATCCGACCCAACCCCAGAGGACAAAGCAGAGTCTGCCCTACCTTACGCCTGGCCCTTGTTGCTAGGGAGGGCCTTCCTCAGCGAAGAGGATCGCCCAGGGGAGCGGCGCTGGCTGAGTGGGGCTCACAGAACCAATGAACTGTGCGTCTGGGTGCTTCTCCTTTCCCTGCCTGCAGCGCGGCTCCCAGGAGGACTCTGGAACTGAGGAGATGAATGGAAGCCTGTGCTAGGCGGCTCACTCAGTGCCCACTCAGTAACCCGGCCAGGGGGGCCTCTGACTCTAACCTTGGGACTGACACCTGCAAAGAGGGTCCTGGGTCCCATCCTCATGTGATTTTCCTACCCTTTTTGGGGAGCCCTCAAGCAGGGATGCCCCTTCTTGGCAGCCCTCAGAGGTGTGACCTACGTTTGAGATAAGGATTGTCTCCAAACACTGGGACCTGTGTGCCACCCCCACACTGGGAGGGAGGGTGAAGGCCAGAAAAACCTGTTTCTCCGTTTGCCCCAGCCCAGCTGCCAGGGAACTCCCTGAAGGGTCCTGGGCCGGGTGGGGCTGAGGGGGCTGGACAGCAGGGCTCCTGACAATAAACGCACGACTCGCCGGACACAGGCATTTATTACTCAAAATGGAAAGAAGGGAGCAGGGCAAGGTCCTCAGGTCTCTTCTCGAGCCATCACGGGGGACAGGCCCAGACCCCAAGGTCCCCTCAGCAGGGCTCGGTGGAGTGCAGAGCACAAAGGGGAGCCCTTCGGGGGCCAGAGGAAGATCTGGAGTGGTCTGGAGGGACAGGGGAAGGCACTGAGCAAAGCGGAGAGGAGGGGTGGGGTAGAATGACGGACAGGGAGACCACAGTCTAATCAAAGAAATGTGAAGGGTCTAGAGAAATGTTTTTCTGAGCAAAGGGAACTAGGGGAGACCACTGTGGGAAGCCAGGGGATCGGGAGACACGGGAGAGGCTGGGGCTGAGGCGGGGAGGAGTGGGTGTCAGTGCAGCAGCCAGAGGCCAAGGCCAGCCAAGGCGGCGAGGAGGCCCAGGCCCAGGGCCGGGGCGGGCCGCGGGGCGGCGCTGTTGCAGCTGTCCTTCTCGCAGCAGGTGGTGTTGTAGGTCAGGCCCAGCTTGTGGTTGGTTTGGTTGAAGGCCTCCAGACAGGGCTCTTCGGGCGTGCCGCAGCGAAGGTTGGAGAAAACCCACATCTTGCCTGGGGGTGGGAGTGGGCAATGGTGTCAGCGGGAGGGGCACCTGGGATGCTTGTGCCCCTTCCCCACCCCATGCACCCACTCACCCTCCTTTCCTCCCAATTCTGCCCCAGCTTCCCCTTCTTTTCTCCTCTCAGTCTCTCCCAGACCCTGCCCTTCACCCAAGCCCCGTCCTGTCACTTGCCGGCTGGGGTGCCTTAGCCCTATTCCTGCCGCTCTCTGGGCTGTTTCTGAGGTATAATAACAGCCACATCACAGGGTTGTCATGAACAGAAATTGAAACGATCCACATAGAGAGACAGAATGTGGATCATCTTTTGGCCAAAAGTTCTCATTGCTGTCATTCTCTGTTCCAGCTCAGCCTCAGCCCCAGTTGGGCCTCAGCCTCAGCCACAGAGTCTCCCGCTGGCCTCTGGTCCTCACTAAAGAAGGCAGATTACCGAGGTACACATTCGTTGTCAGGCATTTGTGTCCTGGCTCCAGACGGCAGGACTTCCGGTCCACACAGCCCAGCACAGGGACCTTGTAGCAGGAGTGACAGCGAATGTCAGCTGGGAAGACACAAATCAGGCTGAGTGACGGGTGTCTGACTCAGCTGGCGCTGAGCTGCTCGGGGTGGGGGAAGGTGGAGAGAGAACCAGTGTAGTGGGTGTTCTGACCGGTTTGGTCTGACAGGGACAGAACAGGTGAGTGATGGGGAAAAAGTGGAAGTGGGTGAGGGTGGAGTTGTTGCTCGGTGAGCAGCCCACACCCTAGCTGCCTTTCTCCTCTCCACTCCATGTGCGGATGAGTCAGAAGGGCATTGCTACCAACAACAGCAACTCAGGGCTGGGCCAAATGGAAAGTGAGGATTCCATGGGTGGAGGCGGTGGGGAAGGAAGAATCCAGAGGAGGTCACAGGAGAGACTTGAAATAGAAAGAACTATTCAAAATAAGAATCATAGCCCTTGCCAGTTGAGCTCAGTGGATAGAGTGTCCGCCTGCGGACCTAAGGATCCCGGGTTCGATTCCAGTCAAGGTACCTGCCCGGGTTGTGGGCTCGGTCCCCAAGAGGGGGCCTGCAGGAGGCAGCCGATCAGTGATTCTCCTTCATTGATGTTTCTCTCTCTCCTTCTCCCTCTCTGAAATCAATAAAAATACATTTTAAATAAAAAGAAAAACCATGGAGGATACAACACATGCGGAAGTGGCTTGGAACTTGAAGCTGGCGAGAAGGCATGTGCGGCCAGCTTCAGCCCTTTACTCTCCACGCCTGTGCCCACCGAGCGAGAGGGCCGAGGCACCGACCTGAGTGATCCTCCCCCCAGGACCTCTCCCAGAAAGGGGCACCGTCCGGGCCAGATCAGACTGCGCCTGGAGCAGAGGTGCCAGCGCAGTCTGCCTCAGTAATGCAAGGTCTGGGCACGCAGGTTTGGTGAAGGAGGGATTTGGTCCAAGAAACAAGTCTGTGGCTGCCCCCCCCGCCCTGGGGTAGCAGCCCTGGCACTCCCTGCCCAGAAGGAGGGGAAATGTCCCTGGCCCCCTAGGAGGGTCTAAGAAGTCTTTGGCACTTTCCAGAAAGCTTGTGTCCCTGGGGGTTCGTGCCCCCAGAGGAGCAGGAGGCCACTAGGAAAGGCTGCTGCCCGAGAGGCTGAGCGGGAAGTCCCTGATGGAGCAGATGAAGGTGGGATGCAAAAGGAGCCCCAGGCGGGGCGCCGAGGCTCCGGAGGACATCCTGCCGAGTGCTGGGGAGAGGAGAAAGCAGGTAGGCTGGGTGGGCGCCGGCAAGGGAACTGGATATTAGGGTGGCCAAGAAGGGGGAAAGGGGACTGGCCCCTGGCTTGACAGAGAGTGGGTCCTGGAGGGGGAGCATGAGCCGGGACGGAGCCAGGCTCCTGGCACAGGGAGACCTGGCCGGAAGCGCAGCTCCGCCATTTGGGGCCGGTGCTTGGATCCTGAGGAGTGGGTAGTGGGGTGGTGGGTGGGGCAGGTATGAAGTCCGGACTGGGTGAACCAGGTCCTTGGGGCTCCAAGTGCTCACCTGAGACCCAGCAGAGCAAAGACGACAAGGCGAGCAGCAGAAGGCCCCTCATGGTGCGGATCCTGAGGGGGTGGCTACGGCGGCTGACAGAGCAGATATCCGGGGACCCAGCTCTGGGAGTTGAGTGGACTTTTTGCTTTTATACTCCCAACAGTCCCTCCCTTCCCTGCCTCTGGTGGCCCCTCCTCCCCATTATGGTGGGGAGGGGCTAAACAGGACTGGGTGGGGGAGGGGAGGCGGGAGAGACGCGAGGGAGGTGGGGCAGGATTGGGGTGGAATGTAGGTGAGCCATTTTGGTTCTTGGTTTCAGAACAAGGTGCTCCTCCTGGCACCCTCCCCCCCCAGCCCTGCTTGCCCAGTCCTCTGCTCTCAGAAGAGGCATCCCCAAAGGCCCCTGCAATTTTACAGCCCCCCACCCCCACCCCAGCAGCTGCTGGCTCCTGGGAAATAGACAGTAAGTGTGGCCCACGAGGACTGCCAATTTTGGATCCCTGGGGCCACTTGTAAACGTGGGCAGAGGTTTTGGATGGAAAGAGCCAAATCAATCTCCATTCAGCTCCTATTTGGTCTGCCCAGTCACCACTCAGCCACAGGACTAGGGAGGAGGGTTTGGGGTGTCACCAAGGATGTCTGTGATGTCACAGCAGCAGAGGCCTGGGCTGGGCTGGCGGGCCTCGGGTGCACCGTGCAGTGAAGGCCCGCGAGGCCCTGGATGTGGAGCGTGTGCACCTGCTGCGAGGGGCCGACGTCAGAGCCTGCGGTTTGGGAGGTGCGGGCTGAGGGCCCGTGGGCACAGAGGCAAGGAGCACGTGCTGACAGGACAGACAGTAAGACAGTCACTTCGTGGAAAGTACTTGGTGTTTCCGTGCGTCAGCCCTGGTCCTGGGCGTTCAGGAGGATGCCTGCAGTGCTCACACCCTCTGCTACGCAGGTGCTTCTGCAGGCGAGCAACAGGCCCGAGGCGAGGCCGGCGCTCGCAGCCGCAGCGGCAGTGGAGGGCAGGTTTGAACCCAGCAGCTCCAGCATTCCTGATGCGCGGCCTGCTGGGCTGCAGGAGCCAAAGCCTGGGAGCCGCTGCGCGCAGAGTCCTGCCAGGGCGCGTGGTTTGAGGCCGGGAGCCTGCCCCGCTGTTCCCGGAGGCCCGCCCCCTCTTATCGCAGCCCCCAGACCCGCCGCCCGCTCCTCCCCCGCGTTTCCCTCCGGTCTCCTCCGCTGATTCACTCCCTCCTCACCCCGCCACAGCCCGCCATGGCCCTGGTCCTGCCGCTGCTGCCGCTGCTGCTGTGGCGGGTTCAGGGGGACCCGCTGGGGAACCCGCATGACCGAGGCAAGTCTGAGGCCGGGCGGGCGGGGCAGGGTGTGGGGAGACCCCGGTCGCCGGGAGGGGGGTCTCCTCGCCCGTGGGCCTGCCCTCACCGCCGCCCCCTCCTCCCCAGTTTCCTTGGACGGCCGTCCAGGGGAGCGGGTGAATCTCTCCTGCGCAGGGGTCTCCCAGCCAGACCGCTGGGTCTGGGCGCCGAGCTTCCCGGCCTGCAGGGGCCTGCCCAAAGGCCGCCGCCGCATCCTGTCGGTCTCCGCCAGCGGGACCCCCACTGGCTCTCCCGCCTCGCCCTTCGCCGGCCGCCTGCGCGCCCTGGACCACCCGGGGATCCGGCGGCTGGAGCTGCTTCTGAGCGCGGGGGACTCGGGCACCTTCATCTGCAGGGGCCGCCGCCAGGACGAGAGCCACACGGTGCTCCGCGTGCTGGGCGACGCGGCCGGCTGCGGGGGCTCCGGGCCCGGCCTGGGTAGGTGGAACCTCCGCGGGGCTTCAGGCCACAGAGAGGGAGAGCGAGCTGTCTGCCCTCGGACCGCTGACCACCCTCCCCGCCCCCAGGGTCCGTGTACCCCCTGCTCCTGACCCCCCTGCTGGGCGCCGCGCTGGTGCTGGCGCTGGGCGCGCTGGGCGCGGTCTGGTGGCGGCGCAGGTGAGCTCGAGGGGCGGGGCTGGGGGGTGCCCGCTCTGGAGCCCTGGGTGGTGGAGCCCCGGGTGTGGAGCCCCGGGTGGTGGAGCCCCGGAGGCGGTTTGGTTTGGAGAATGGGGTGAGCCACAGGCTGGGGTGGAGCTGGCTCCGGACGCTCAGCAGGAGGCAGGATCTGAGCTGGGCGCACCGGTGGGGTGGGGCCTGCGCTCTCCTGCGAGAACGCAGGGTGGCGGTGAGGAGCCGGAGGCGACCCTGGTGGCTCTCAGAGCTGATTGTTCACGCCCTGACAGGCGCCCACACCCACCCCCGCCGCGGCCACGCCCCAGACCTGGTGAGCCTCCCTCCGCCCCTTCCTTTTCCCTCCTGCACATCCCCAGCCCTCAGGCCGCGTCCGAGCCCTGCGGGGAGCGGGCGAGTTAGTCACCTTCTCTTAACCCTCCAGCTCTGTCCCCCCCACATAGTCCCCCGAGTGACAGCCGAGCCCCAGAGACCAGCAAAGGCCGAGGAGCCCAAGGCTGCGAGGGACCTGGACCAGGAGTCGGTGAGGGTTTGGGGTGGGAGGGGCACCGGCCAGAGGCCCTGAGAAATCCGGACCCAGGGAGACAGGCCTGGATTGCTGAGTCAGACTTCCGAGACACTGCCCGCCTGCCCCTCGCAGAGCCTGCTCTACGCGGACCTGGATCGCGCGGCCCTCAGACGGCCCTGCCAGCTGTCCCCAGCGGCCCCTGCTGACTCCTCCACCATCTACGCGGTTGTTGTCTGAAGGAAAGCCCTTCCTCCAAACGTCACAAGCTGGGGACTCCCAGCTCCCCAGAACTACCCTCTCCGTCTTCACTCCCCGAAAATGAAGGCACCACAGGACAGAATGAGCACTGGGCTGGGAGTCAGGAGACCTGGCTCCGGGCTGCCTCTGCCACTGAGCTCTCCTTCAGCTACCCCAGCGCCTGGAACCTCCATGTCTCCTTCGCCACAGGCCCCTCTAAAGCTCACCGAGGCGTTTCCCATCTTAACTGAGGCGTCAGCCACTCCAAGAGAGCGGCTCCCTCTTCCCTCCCTTCCAATCCAGCTCCTTGAACCCGGGCTACACCTATCTCCTCTTTCTCCTGCACTCTGCCCCTGGCCTGGCTTTTGATAACTCCTTCTTTAAGCTGTTTTTCTTTCTTTTTAAAAAATATATTTTATTGGGTTTTTTTTTTTTGGTTTTTTTTTACAGAAAGGAAGGAGAAGGGGGAGGGAGAGAGAGAGCTAAAAACATCAATGAGAGAGAAACATTGATCAGCTGCTTTCTGCACATCCCCCACTGGGAATGTGCCCACAACCAAGGTACATACCTCTGACCGGAATTGAACCTGGGACCCTTCAGTCCGCAGGTCGACGCTTTATCCACTGAGCCAAACTGGAATAAAACTGCTTTTCTTTAATGCTGATGTCTTCCTTCTGGACTCCTCTTCCTTTCTTCCTACCGCCATGGTATTCCCCACCATTGTAGCTTGTCCCTTTATCTTCCTCTTCTGGGGAGTTATCTATCACCTGGCCTCAGCCCTCACTTTGGCAATGACACCCAGAACGCTCAGCTCAGCTGTCAGCTGAGGGATTTCCGAACTGTCCCTCAGACATTCCTGTCTGTCTGGCCCTCCACATTCTCCATACGGCCTGTCCAGAACTCACGCCGTCTCCAAACCTGCCATCATCCTCTGCATTCCCTCTTGCCCAGGCCAGAGCCTGAGTCATGCAGCACGCCTCCTGTCACACAATGAGCCACGTCACCAGTTCTAACGTCAACGTCAACCCCTCACCCTCCCCACGCCCAGCACTGCCACCTGAGTGTTTGCTCCTTGTTTCCCTGGGTCACCCAGAAACCCACCTCACCCTTTTCCCCTTCCCCCCTCTCAAAGGTAGATCCTTCCCAAATATAACCTACGTCTGACGCCTGCATTTCAGATCGGTAGTATTTCTTTCCTTAGCCGTAGCCCTGGGCCCAGGGGCCTTGGCTGCGGGTCACATACCACAGCTGCCTACTCTGTCACGGCACACACACCGCCAGCCATGGAGGAACCCCGCAGGCCCCGGCCGTGTGCCTCTGTCCGGCACTGCCCTCTTCACTTTTGATTACAATTCTCCTTCCTCTCCACTGCCTGCCTGGCTAGTTCTTACTAATCCTCAGGGCTCAGTTCAAGTGTGGCCTCCAGGAAGCCAGGCTGCATGCATTTTGATACCCGGGGAGTCCCCTTGTCTCTCATAGCAACAGCCTCCCGTGACTTGTTCCGTCACAACCGTCTTCCCGTTGGTGAGCAATGTTCAAGAACTGTGAGTTCCTTGGAATCAGGAGACTGGCCCTTTTCATGCACTGCCAAGCCTCAGTAACTGAGAGAATAAAAATTAATATTTCTGCAAGTGTTATTTCTTCCTATCAACTTTGGGCAGGTTAGTAATCTACCAATCTCTGAGTCACCTGAGATTTAGATAAATTCGGTTAGTGACCCACCCATGCTTGCTCCTCTGCCTGGTACATGTTCACGCCCAAGCACCTATGATACAGGGCTGGGCAATGAGTCAGCGAGTGCCAGCGAGGGCGAGAGGAATGAAGAGGCCTCTTTCCCTCACTACCCCCCCCTCCCGCCTCAGGTCCCAGCCCCGCCCGTCCCTCCGCCCCAATAACACAACAGTCACAGCCCAGTCTGAAAGTTCAGTTCTATTTTATTATTTTGGGAGAGAAGACTCACCCCATGGTCTCTATCCTTTTTCCCACACTATGCCCCCCCCCTACCTTGGGACCCTGTTCCCACTATTCACCATCCTTTCTCTAACCCTCCTTCCCCTTCTGCACCCTGTACTGCCCTAGCCCTGACCAACCCAGACCCCAAGGCCAGGCCCTCAACTGTGGGGGCGTGTGCTGAGTACCAGGCAGAGGGAGCTGAGCCCAGCACCTGCCTTCTCCAGTTCAGAGCAGGACACAGGGACCAGGGTGACATCAGAGAGCTTCTGCAGAGCCTACAGGGAGGACATGAGATGGGGAGATGGGAGTGAGACTACCACACCCCCTTGCAGCCACATCAGAATGTCCCACTCAGGCTTCCAGGAAAGGACCCCTTCCTCCTCCTGCGAAGGCTGAGATACCTCTCCTGATTGTTGGTGGAGCTTCCGCCTCCCCTCACTTCCTGGCTGTGGGGCAGGTCCCCCTCCTTCCCCCCCACCCCCGTCCGCCTCCCCTCACCTCCTGGCTGTTGGGCAGGTCCCCCCCTCCGCGGTGCAGCAGGAAAGGGGGCGCCCCCGGCAGCCCCGGGCGCAGGAAGAGACAGTCAGCGGCTGCGTCATCGGGGAGGGTCAGGGAGGCGTAGGGGTGGTCCGTCAGCGCCGCCATGGCCTGGTGTAGAGGGAAGGGCAGCACTCAAGTCTCGGAGCCTCTGCACCCGAGCCTGGTGCCCGCCCCCGGGCTGAGTGCTGGGACGGTGACGCCGGTGAAATAATCATGGCGCAGCACACACTGCGAGTCAGGCCCTCTTCTAGCGCTTGGGTTACCTCTGCTAATTTCACCTCAGATTCACATGCCGTCCTTCCACCTGCAACCTCTCCCCCAGCTCCCCTTCTCCGGCCCCGCCAGGGCCCCAACCACCCTTCACGTCACAGCGCAGATGCCTGCGGGGGGTTGGAAGACCGTGTAAATGTGAAGCCACTCTGTTCCCTGGTCTCTGGTGCCCAGTCCGCAGTACTCCCGGTTTTCACTGATGAACTGCGCCCTGAGGGCAGGGGCTGGGCCAATTTCCGGAGCCTCCAGCCCCGCCCCACCCACAACCCCGCCCCCAGGCCCATGGCCCCGCCCACATCCCGGGCCGGCCCCGCCCCTGCTCACCCGGACCGCCTTTTGGGCGGCGTCGCTGCTCCCCGCCACCACGGTGCGGGGTCCCCCCATGCCGCAGATGCTGCGCAGGTGGCAGGGGCCGGAGACGGGCACTGTGGAGACGGCGAAGTCCTGCGGGACGCGGCAAGTCCTCAGGGACCGGGAGGTGAGAGCCCCCTCCACATTCCCCGCCCCCGCCCGCTCCCGCCTCTCCCCCCTGCGCCCCGCACCCCGCCCGAGGCGCGCCGCCCCTCACCCGGAACGTGTCGGCCACGATCTCGGCTCCTCGGTGGTTGGTCCACTTGGAGAGGCCCACGAAGAACTCGCGGCCTGCGCCCGAGGCCAGAGGGTTAAGGGCGGGGAGGGGGGACATGGGAAAGGAGACCCCAGAGGGCCTGGCCTCCCAACTGCTCCCCGGCCCCGCTCCCGGGCGGCGCCGGCCTCACCGGTGAAGAGGACATCGGTGCCATCCAGCGTCGCGTTCTCGTCCCCCATCTCCACAATCCGGAGTCCCAGGTCCTGGAGGGCTTGGCGGACCCCATCCACCTGAGGGCGGGAGGAGGAGGGCTGAGACATTCCCGCCCAGCTCTTCCCTGAAGCCTGGGGTGCCCCTCCCCGCGCCGCCGGCGTCACCTCGGGCCTGCGGGCTGAGCTCCAGGGCCGCGCGATCAGGGCCGTGTCCCCCTGGATCACGGCGGTGTCGCCGAGCAGCGGTCCCAGCGGCAGCGACTCTTCGGGAGGCAGTTCCAGCAGCTGAAGTCCCAGCCGCTGCCTCAACTTGCCGCCCAGCACCCCGTGCTCCCGCTGAGCTTTGGCCAGGTCCAGGGCAGGGAGGCCGGCCCCCGCACCCTCCCCCGACGCCAGGCTCTGCGGGACCCCGCGGATCAGGGCGTGGGAGCAGCGGCCCAGCCCCTCCCCCGGCGTCCCCATCCCATCCACACGCCGCCCCTCCGGCAGCCCGACTTCTCCCTTTCCTCTTCTCACGTCAGCCGTCTGCGAGGAGACAGAACGGGGCGGGGGAGAGAGCCAGAGGGGCGTGGGGAGGTGTCAGAGCGCGGGGTCTCTCTCCGGCCGCTCCCGCAGGCCTTCCTCGGCTGCCCACCCAGCGCCCGCACCACCGCGACACGCTTCTCCTGGGGCGTCCGCGGGGCAGGACCCCGGCATCTCCACCTGTTGCCCGGGCTCGGGAGCTTGGCGGTTCCCGCCGGCGCCCCTCCTGGCAGCCGCTAGGATGCGCTCACTCCCCAAAAATGTGGCGGCCCCGCCCCCTTAACCCTCCGCTGCTCGCGCGGTGCGGACCCCAAGTGCGGCGGGAGCCCACGGGGTTCCGGGACCGGAGGCAGCCGGGAGGGCCTGGGGGTGGAAGTCTGGGGTCCAAACCAGAAAGGGAGAGGGGCAAGGAGGGTGGAACTATTAGCGTCTCCGCAGTTAAATAGCATCTCCACCCCGGCGGCCACTCAGCTCCCGGCGCGCCCGGGCCCGGCCCCGCGAGCCCCGAGGACCGGGAGAGGTCCCGGAGGGCGGGGCGGGGCGGGGGCGTGGCCCCGGGGAGCGGGCGCCGCTCCAGGCTCAGGACCCCGTCCCTTCCCGCCCGCTGTCTCCCCCAAAGTCCACCCCAGGCAGCTCCGCAACTCAAATGCCGGCCCCGCGCTCTGTTCGGCGCAGGCAGGGGCCCGGCCCCCCGACTCCGGCCCCAGCACAGTCCGGGGACGCCGCCCGCTCCAGACTCACCTCCGACGCCCACCCCTACTCCCGCCGCTCCGGGATCCGGGCCGGGGCCCCAAGCCCCGTGGGGACAGAGTTGGCGGAGACAAGCCTGGGGGGCTGGAGCTCTAGCTGTGCGGAGCCCCCCGCTAGGCCGGGGCGGGCGCGGCGGCGGGGCAGGGGCTCGGCGCCGGGCGGCTCCAGGGCATTGTCTGAGCGGGACAGGGCCGGGCTCCGCAGGCCACGCCCCCGCCCCGCCGCCGCCGCCGCCGCCGCGCCCGCGCCCGCGCCCCCCTTCCCAGAACTGGCCCCGCCCGGCGAGCCGCACAGGCCCACCCAGACATGGCCGCCCTGACGGCTGGGCAGCGAACGCAGCGCGGACTCCAGGACCACGCGACAATGGGTTGGCAGTAAAAATGGCAAAATCACCGCAAGCACGCTTCTCCTGACTGCTGGCTTCTGCCCCGGGCTCAAGGTCACTGACCCACCGGCATACATTTCGAGCCCCCTTTGTGTAATTACAACACTAGATTTTCATTCTGTATTTTATTACTGAAATACATGTCCTGCCAATCTATCCCACCCCACCCCACCCCACGATAAAAACCTCACCCAGATCCCCATCCTTCCCTGCACCCCAGGCAGGCCTGCACAAGTCTCCGGCGTTCACTGCCCACCGGACGGAGTGTGTCCCTTGGGTAGCCAAGGGAAACCACCGGGGCCTTGGGGGGGGGGGGCAGAGGGAGCCCGAAGGAGCTTATTTGAGGGCCTTGGCCACTTGCTCATAGGCCAGCTCAATCTCCTCGTCGTCGGGACAGGTGGAGGCGAACTCTTCGCGCGCATAGGCATTGCGCAAGTACCGGTGCACGCCGCGGAAGGCCTCGGGGATGGAGAATCCGCGGTACTTCTTACACACCACCTGGGCGAGAGGAGCAAACTCAGCCTCAGGGAAGCCAGAGTGGCAGCGCCTGTGGTCTTCCCCTTCCCCCAGCCTTTTTGGCCAGGCGCTGTCTCCACTCTCATGCTTCTTTCCTCTGATTCCTCCCTGCCACGTGAGTCCTCTTCTCCAAGTGGCGTTCTTAGCTCTTTGCTGCGGTACCCTGGCTTCCCTTTCCTCTCTCCTTCCTGATAACCAGCCCCTTTCAGACCAGTTCCAATGGCACTACTTTTCTGCTCTTGGTTTTACTGAGCTCTAATTCACAAACGATTACATTTTTCTCTTGAAATTTCCACCAAAGCGACTTTTCTCTTGGTTTCATTTGGGGCAAGGACCAATCATCACACAGCTTTGCCTTCCAGAGTTCAATGCGCGCTCTGTGGCAGACTAACCTCGGGCCCAGATTCCACAAACCAAAGCCACAGCTCTAGGCTGTGGCGAAAGACGGGAACCAACGGCTTTCGCCTTCACAGGCAACAGTCTTGTCGGGAATGACCGCTGAGAAGGAAGGGGTGGCATCTGCTATTGGTGGCAATCTACAGGAACCCCCCCGAGAAAGAAAGGCCTTGGGATGGTGGGCACGGGAGCCACCCCGGCCGCTCTCCTCGCTCCCGCCGCGGCCACCCACCTGCAGGATGTGGAGCTTGGGCAGCAGGTTGCAGTCAGCCAGAGTGAGCTCGTTTCCATCCAGAAACTTCCTCTGAGAGACGCCCTCATCCTCAGCACTGGTCTCGTCCACTTCCTCGGGGAGCGGGGCTGCCAGGTAGTTGTCTAACACTTTCAGGGCCTTCAGGAGCCCCTTCTCCAGGTCTGCACAAGAGAGGGCATTGGCAAGAGCGCCAGATGATTGACACAGAAGGTTCTGGGGCGGGTTGCGGTGAGAGTGTGAATTCTAATGCTGAGGCCAGTCCAAATTAACAATAGCTAATGTATTAGCTTTCTGCTACTGTAAGCACTTTATATACAAACTCATTTAATTCTCACATCAACCCACAAAATAGGAATTGTTGTCTTCATTTTACAGATCTGGAAATAGGTTGATAGAGAGGGTAAATGAATTGCCCAAAGTCATCCAGTGAGTAGGATCTGTACTCAGGTAATCTGGATCTAGAGTTACTGTTGTTTTCGTTTGTTTGTTCTTTTTTAATATATTTTATTGATTTCAGAGATGAAGAAAGAGGGAGAGCGAGAGAGATAGAAACATCAATGATGGGAGAAAATCATTGATTGGCTGCCTCCTGCACCCTCTACACTGGAGATCAAGCCCACAACCCGAGCATATGCACTAGACCAGAATCGAACCCGGGACCCTTCAGTGTAACACTCTATTCGTTGAGACAAACAGCTAGGGCTAGAGTCACTGTCCTTAAGCACAACCATGTTCTGCCAGAAAACAAGCCAGCAGCCAAGCCAACCCAATTAACGACCCCAGGCGAGAAGAGGCGGGGAAATGAGAGATGCTCCAAAGAGCCGTGGTCAATGCGAATGCAAGGAGAGGGGGGTAAGCCAACGTCTCCCTCGACGCTGAGGTCTGAGTTTCTAGGCGCCCAAAGGCCTCCCAACCCCTGGGTCTTCTCGATCCTTCTGAACCCAACCTCAGGCCCACAGACTCACTGTCATTGAGTGCTGGGTTTGAGTTCTTGATGTAGGCAGAAAACTTGGCAAATATGTCCAGGCCAGCTGTGTTTGATTCGGGGTTCAGAGCTGCCAGCTTGGGGTACCTGAGAGCCAATGGGAGAAATAAGAAATCTTCCTGGGAGGAACCTCAGCCCCTAAGAAACCATCTGGTATTTTTAAATCTTCACCCCAAGGAGTGAGGATATTTTTCCCGTTGATTTTCAGAGAGAATGGAAGGGAGGGGAAGGGGCAGAAAGAGAGAGAGAGAGAAAAGAAACACCTATGTGAGAGAGACACATCCATTAGTTGCCTCCTGCTCGCCAGGGATTGAACCTGCAACCCAGGTGCATGCCCTTGACCAGGAATCGAACCTGGTCTCGGGCTGACACTCTAACCACTGAGTAAGCAGCCAGGGCGCCATCTGGTTTTTATTTCTTCAGAGCCTCCCAGCTCCCCCACCCCCCTCCAATGTACCCCACTACCTGGGAGGACACAGCACTGCCTCCAGAAATTCCTCAATCTTGTTGGTGTCTGTGTGCACCTCGGTGCCATACAACAGAAAAGGGAGCTGCCCCCCCGGGCACAGCTTCTGTACTGTTTCGGTTCGCCTGTAGGAGAGAGAGGCAAGCATCGGGACAGGGAAAGGGGGTCAGAGAGAAGCAGAAGAAGGAGATGGGGGGTGTGGGAAGAGAAAGGGGCTCTTGGTAGACGGGGAAAGTTCCGGATGGAGGACTCGGGTGACTGGGTGTGTGTGTGTTTATGTGTGAGCACAAAGGGTGTTCAGAGGAACAGACGGGGGCCTACCTCTTGGTGTCAACAGTGGTGACGTTGAAGGTGACGCCCTTGAGCCAGAGCACCATGAACAGTCTCTGGGAGAAGGGGCAGTTCCCGATCTTGGCTCCATCACTGCCAGCCTGCAAAGCAAGCCCCACCTCCACTTAGGCCTGGTGTACCCCACCCAACCCAGGCCATTCTGGGCATATCCCATTCCCAGACACACACACACACAAACACACGGCTCTCCAGAACTGGGTTCTCCGCCCCGGCCTCGGTCAAGTCTGGAGCAGGTCAGCGGAAACATTTTGTACAAAGGTTGGCTTCCGGTCTTCCAAATACTGAAGTACAGGCGAGAGGTGGGCATTGGGCTGGTGTGGAGAAATGAAGGGATCTGGCCCCCGGAGAGGGAAGACTGGCGGTAACGTAGTTTAGCTGCTTCTCTCAAGTCCTTCACACACACAACTCACTAATGCTCAGACCAGCCCACGCAGTGGCCCCCGAGAGGGACTTGGAGAGGCCAGAGACCAGGCCAGCGGCCTGGGTGGGGCTGGAGGGGAGCCTGAGGAGAGGGGCGGGCCGCAAGCAGAGCTGTTCCTCTCCCTCCGCCCGCTGTTTCTGGACAGCTGCCGGGGAGAGAGGGGCTCCCAGCCTCCCCCGAGAGATGTAGGGGCTGCTCTCTAATTGGCACGTGGTGACCTCATCCCCCCAGGGACACCTCCCCCTAGGCTCCTGATGATTCACTCATCGGTGTCTCCAGCCTCAGCAGCTTCCTTCCTGCCAAGGAGTGGGGGCAGGGCCCGTGAGGCGGAGGGCCAGTGGCAAAGGCCACCTGCCCCTTCCCGCTCTGCCTGCTGCGCCTCCCCACACAGCCCCGCTGGCCGCAGACAACCCTCCTCTCGCAGGGCCCAGGCCCGAATCTTTGCAGCACACGCTCACCCGCGGCAAAAACAGCCCTCGAGGCGAGTGTGAGAGTGAGGAGGGGACCACACCCGCGCCCAGCACTTCCCCCAGAGCGGGATGGGAATGGCCGCGGAGAAGTAAAGCCTAAAGCCCACGGAGAAAGGCAGGAACACAAAGACAAGACGAACAAAAGGGGGGAAGTAGAGAAAGGAAGCAGGAAGGGGCGGGGGCGGGGAGAACAGGCAAACAGAAGCCGGTGTCCGCCAGGGGAAGGAGGGCGAAGAGATGAGGTCCAGAGAAGGGAGAGGCCGGCCCTAGGGGAAGGGAGCAGGATGGGAACCGAACGTGAAGGCTTTGGCCTGCGGGTGTTGTTGCTGTTGTTTTTAAATTGATTTGAGAGAGAGAGAAAGAGAGAGAGGAAGCGGGGAGGGGGGTGGTGGAAACATCATATGCTGTTCCACTTACTTATTCATTCATTGGTGGGTTCCTGTATGTGCCCTGACCGTGATCGAACCTGCAACCTTGGTGTATCCGGACAACTCTAACCGACTGAGCACCTGGCAGGCTGGCCTGCGGTTCTGATACCCGAAGGCTATGGGCCCGCATTTCCTCATCCACACCCAGCAGAGAGGAGCTGGGCAATTCTTTCTCCTGCCTCACAGCCTCTAACCCAAGCCTAGCCCAGCCTCCCTCTCTGATCTCTCACCCAGCGGAGGGAGCCACGGCGGAGCTCTCATCCCCTCCCTTCCTCTCATCCCCAGTCCCCGGCCCTTCCACCATCCCCCCTTTCCCACCACCCCTCTCCACTACCGCCCCCGCCCTTCTCCACCGCCCCCCCCTTTCCCACCACCCCTCTCCACTACCGCCCCCCCTTCTCCACCGCCCCCCCTTTCCCACCACCCCTCTCCACTACCGCCCCCCCTTCTCCACCGCCCCCCTTCTCCACCGCCCCCCAGCGCAGCTTCCTGCATTCCACTCCACTCCCGTCCTTCCACCCCTTCCCAAAGGACCGCTCCCAGGTCTCCCTACTGATAGATCCTACCACACCCATTCACACTCACTCACTCTCACACACACACTCAAACACACACACACTCATACCCACACACACTCACACACCCACTCACACTCTCACACATACACACACACTCACACACACTCACCCCCCACACACAATCACACATATACACACACACTCATCCCCACACACAGACTCACACACACACCCCCACACACACTCATACCCCCCCACACACCCACTCACACTCACTCTCACACATACACACACACACATACACTCACACACACACCCACTCACCCCCCCACACACACTCATACCCACACACCCACTCACCCCCACACACACAATCACACATATACACACCCACTCAGCCCCCCACACACACTCACACACACACACTCACCCCCACACACACACAATCACACACACACTTCTCCAGGTCTCCCCGCCCCTCGCCCTCCGGAGGCCGCCGGCCCTCCACAGCCCGCCCCCTCCCCTCCCCTCCCCCGTCCTCCCTCGGCCTGCCCCCCAGGACCCCTTCTCTGCCCTGTGGCCCTGCGGCTGAGGGCAACCTGCACTTTTACCAACTTCCCAGGTGGAGCCTAGAATTCTTTCTCCGCCGCGTCAGTGTCCCCCGGAGCCGGCCCCCAGGGCCGCGGGGGCCGGGGGCCGGGGGCCGGGGGCCGGGCCCGGGCCGCAGCGGGCCCAGGGCGGAGGCCGGGGCTCACCTTCACGAACAGCTCGACCTGCGGCTGCTCCTCGGCCATGGCTGCGCCCGACCAGGAAGCGCCGTCCGCGGGGCGGGGCGGGGCGGGCCTCGGAGGCCGGGCCGGCGCCCCTCGCGGCTCCGGGCGGCGCTCCCACTCGCCGCCCCCGGCCGCCGCCTCGCCCCGCGCCGCAGCCGGAGCCTCCCTCCCTCCCTCGTTCCTTCCCTCCCGCCGTCCGTCCGCCCGCCCGCCCGCCCGGGCTGAGTCACGGCCGCCGGACCAGGAGGGGCCCGAGGGCGGGCCCGGGGCGGGGGCCTCCCTCCTCCGCCAGCCCCCCGAACGCGGGCCCGTCTCCCGGCTTCATCAGGCAGGGCCCCCCCTCCGCCCTCCGGAAGCCGGCACCCACAGGGGGCACCCACAGGGCGGGCACCCTCAGGGGGCACCCACAGGCGGGCACCGCGAGACCCCGGGGCCCCCAGGGAGACGTTAGCACCGGCGCCCGTCCTCTATCCCTCTCCCCGAGCTCCTTCCCCATTCAGTCCGGTTCCAGGTGGGAGGAGTGGTGCGAGGCAGGGCAGGGGAGGGGGCACCCAGCCCTGTGCTGGGACCGCACCCCTGGGGAGGCCTGCTCCCCTGAAGCCCCTCGGCTCCAATGCCGCCACTCCTGCCCCCAACGGGCCCTTCCTGTGCCCTCCGCCCTCTCACTGACAGGCTGCTTGGAGATGGGGTGAAAGGGGAGGTGGTTTTGGCCCCAGGAATCCCGGGGGAGGGGGGCAGAGGGGTAGCCGGCCTTTCGGGGGTAAGAAGCCAGAGCAGGTGGAGGAGCGGAGGCTTGGGGGCACAGATGAGTAAGGGCTGAGGGAGATGGCCCTCCCAGTCGCCTGGGTGTTGGAGGTCTGTAAACTGTGACCTCTGAAAACGCCCAAGAACAGGTACTCCAAACTGGTGTTTTCCAGCCCCTGCATCTGACTCCATCTACCACCCTCTTCCTGGCCTCCTCTGCCTAACAAGACCTACAGCTGCAGGAAAACTCGCTGGAGTGCTAGGACACAGGAGCAAAGCAAAGCTTGAGACTTGAGACCACGGAGGAACTTGGGGCAGGAGCGGGGTGGGGTGACAGGGCTGCCGGAGGCCAGCAGTTAGTGGTTTCCTCTCCTGCTTCCTCTTCTGTGGGTTTGCGCCTTGGGGGGTGGGGGTAACCTTTCCTCCCAGGATGTTTGTTCCTTTGCGTTGTAACATCCTATAACGAGGTAGGATGATTCCTCAGAAAGGGGTTCCTTCCATGGTAACCTCAAACCTGCAGCTGAGGGAGGTCACAGAGCCCTATTCCCAGGTCCTCTTTTGCTCCAGCTTGTCCTGTGCCCCAGAGAAGCTGCCCCTCAAGCAAGTGGGGCCAGCCCTGAACTCAAGCAGGTTTGGCAACCTCTCCCCGCCTCTTTTCTCTCCTACGCTTTACAGCTAGAGCTGCCTTGATCATCAATATTGACTTTAACTGTTGGCATGGCTAGCCACAAGGTATTTTTGCCTTAATCTCCCAGATGACAGGTGATGCTGCCCTCTCCTGGTCCCATCCAGCAATGCCCCAAACCTCTTCACAGGTCCCCCATTTCATCTGCTTGCCCCCGATTTCTCCTGTCTCAGTATCTCCCCTTTCCTTTTCTGGGCAGGTTTTTCTTTCCACTCTCTCCCCATCCTCGGCTCGGTAAACCAGTCCCTAATCTCTTCCCACCCCAGATCGGAAGGTGTGTCCCTCCCAGACACTCCTCAGACACGCCCCACAGCCTTCTCCAGGTTTCCATAGTTCCGTTGCTCAACAGTTTGCAAAGGGTAACCATTAACTTGCCCTTAACTAGCTTCCCCACCTATCTCGATAGAGGGGATTCTCCAGTCACCGTTTAGCAGAGCCAGGTTACCCCACCATCTTTCCTAAAGTCTTGGGTGGGATTTCTCAATTGCAGGGTACTCAGGACAAAGCTGAGAGGAATATGTATCTTAAGAGGTCTGTTTTTTTCTTTTCTTTTTAAGTATATTTTATTGATTTTTTACAGAGAGGAAGAGAGAAGGGGGAGAGAGAGAGAACTAGAAACATCGATGAGAGAGAATCATTGATCAGCTGCCTCCTGCACATCTCCTACTGGGTATGTGTCTGCAACCAAGGTACATGCACTTGACCAGAATTAAACCTGGGACAATGCAGGCTGACACTCTATCCACTGAGCCAAACCGGTTTCGGCTGGGGTCTGTCTCTTAAAGGTATGCATTTATTTCTGTTCACAATCTCCTTGCTTCTCCTACACTCACACACACTCAAAAGTTAGCTTCATGGAGCTCAGACTTAATTATGTTCATTACTGTGAGTCCACCACCCAGAGCAGACACTATATAGTTGCTGTAGGAATGAATGACACCCCTCTGTCCTTACGGGGTGTGTGTGCACAGGGGTTGGGCATGTCCCCAAAGGAGCGTAGGTGTTCTTCAGGTCTACTCTGTCAGAATTGGGTGCAATTCCAACGCTTTCACTTCGGGGTGGGGTGAGCTGAAATTATAAATTAGACCCGTGGGGTGTTCATACACTGTACCCAGGAAATCGGCAGAGGAGGGCTGAGATACGAATCTCACTTAATTTCTGCTTGTTTATTTATAACACTCACATAGCTCTTACCACCTTTGCCGGGCACTGTTCTAAGCTCTTTATAAATAAACCAAGAGTAACAAATATTAACTTAGAGTTGTTGACACAGTTGAATTACTGTTGCTCATCTCCACGCTCCGGAAAAAAAGAATGCGCCTCTGGCCCTTTAAAGTCGTTCTCCTCCCCAGACTCCCCCTCCCCGGAAACCCTGGGGGGAGGCCCAGGGGCTGAGCGACGGCCGAGGGCGGGAAGTTTGAACATCCTGGCACCACCCCACTTAAGAACTGGCCAATCAGCGTCCAGCCTTCTTAGCGACCGCGCCCCCCCACACCCCCGCGCCGCTGGCTCTCCAGGCCGGACCCGAGTCTCTGACCAATAGCGGCCAGGGGGTGGGGCCTGTGCGCGCGCACCCGCCCGGGCGCCCGCGCGCTCCTCCCAGCAGGCTCGCGGCAGGAGGTGACTCGGTCTCGCGCACGTCCAGGTCCCGGTGACAGAAAAGGCGGGAAAACTCGCAAGTTGTCCGCCTGTGGGGCGGGGAAGCCTAGAGCGGGGCCCGCGGCCTCGGGGGCGCGGTTGGCGGGAGGCGGACCACACGGCCCGCAGACGTCTCCATCTCAGAGCAACCTCGGCGTGACAGAAATGTGGGTGGGCGAGGATCTACAGACAGTCTGTTCTGGAAATATCGAGAGCCCCCTCGAAATGCCCCACAGATGGCGAAAATAAAGCGCCCTCTCCCTCGCCTCAGACTTCCCTGTGCCCTGGTGCCCGCCTCGCCCTGAACCGCCTTCGTTGTTCGCAGCGCAGAGCTCCGTGCCCATGGCCTCGGCGGGGGCGACCGCCGGCGGGATGCGGCAGGGGCCGGGAGCCGGGGCGGCCGCCGCCAGCTTCCCCAGCCCGGCCCCCGCGCCGGGCCCCGCGGGGCCCGAGGACGACGCGGAGGAGCCGGCGGAGGTCTCTGGGGCGCGAGGCAGGGCAGCGGGGCGAGGGGGCGCGAGGCGGGAGCGGCCGGGAGGTCGGGCTTAGCACGGGGCGGGGAGGGCGGCAGCCGCACACGCACCCAGCGGGGCCCTCCCCCGAGGGCTGAGGAGCGGTGCCGGTTAAAGGAGGCCCTGCGCCAGGAGGGGTTCCCACGCCGCCTCCCTGTTTCCTGAAGACGCACCTGTGCGTGCTGTGGGGCGCGGGCTGCCTGGGCATGGCCTACTACGACACCAGCGACGCCGCCATCCACTTCATGCCGGACGTGCCGGACCTGGAGAGCCTGCAGCTGCTGCAGAGAGGTGGGCCCCGCCTCCTCGGCGTCTCGCGGGTGCTCACCGACTCAATCGGTTTTAGTACTTGACTTCCAGAGGAAGTTCTGTTGTTTTTAAGACTCTATTTCATGATTCAACAGATATTTATTGGGTGTCTGCAAGGTGTCAGGTGCTGGAGATACGGTCCTAGGCAGACCAGCCATGTCTGTCCTCTTGGGTGGGTTTATACTCCAGTGACCATCTCCAGGCACCCTCTCCCTCCCACCACCTCCCCAGGCCGCTGCCCTCTCCTCTCCCAGTTCTCACGCCTGGCTCCCCACCAGGCTCCCACTGTGCTGGGTACTCCCTACTCAGAGGAAATGCGTTTGAGATGGGTAGGGAGGCAGCAAGGAAGCTGTGGGTTTCCTCCTAGTAAAGGGATGAAGACTAACTCATTCGGTCTGCATTCTGCTTCCAAGTTATGGATGAAATCAACCCCCGGTCTGTTGTTACCAGTGCCAAACAGGATGAGAATATGACTCGGTTTCTGGGGAAGCTTGGTAAGGACTGGGCAAAGTATGAAATCTTACAGGAGATTGAAGGGCCTTGGAGGGAGGTGGAGTCAGGGTGAGAGAGAAGGTGGGACAGAGGCAGAAAGACTGGAATGTACAGGCTAATGGCCCTTTCTTTGTTTCCCTCACAGCCTCCCAGGAACACGGAGAGCCCAAGAGACCTGAAATCATATTTTTGCCAAGTGTGGATTTCGGTATCTCCTTTTGCTTTGCTCATTTCCGCATCCCAGTTTCCCAACCCTTTCGCCTAATTCCACCCCATCGTCAGAGGTCTCTCCTCAGCCTTATCTCATCCTGAACCTTTGTGTCCTCCAAGCACCATGACCAGCCTCCTCAGGATCGCTCCTGCTCCCTACCTTTAATGACTGCACTTCTCATGAAACCTCCACTTAGGTGTGTTTAGGAATGCAGGCCTCCCCTGAGAAGAGAGTGGTGACACTATTTGGAATTGGAATTCCCCCCTTTAAGCTAAAGCATTTGTTGGGGTGGCAGGGGAAGCTACTGCCTCAGCAACCGTGATGATCCATAAGGCACTTCCATAACCTCCCCAGATTTGCAAAAAAGGAATGTTCTATCCTAATTAGATGTTAACACATTAGTCTTATATGATCTTTTTCACCAAAAATC